ACTTGGCGTCGACAGTAGCATGATTTCGCGGATGATTTTTGCTTGATGTCACACAAAATCGAAGACTTACAAGCGAAAACCGACAAACTGGTCGAAGAAGCAGCCGGCGAAGACAGGACTCCAGGTGAACGTAGACAAGACGGAGGTTATGAAAATAACCAACCAACAAAAACAACAACATCCAACGCCAATCACCATCAACGGGAGGGATTTGAAAAAGGTTACTTCATTCACTTATCTAGGGGGAATTGTTTCAGCTACAGGCAGTCGGGACGGACGAGGATGTCAAATCGAGCGACAATCGGGAGGGCGAGAAACACATTCATCAACCTGAAATCATTCTGGAAATCTTCGTCACTCAGCATCAACAACAAAATTCAGTCGGATTTTCAATACAAACTTCAAGTCACTTCTTCTATACGGATCAGAAACTTGGTGGGTCACAAAGAATATTTCCAACAGCTTGTTGCAGACCTTTATCAACAACTGTCTTCGCTGGCTCTATACTGAAGATCAGATGGCCGGGTCGGAAAGAATCACCAACAAGAGACTATGAGAACAAACAAAACAAGAAGCAATTGCCAACCAACAAATATGCAGGAGAAAGTCGAGATGGATTGGATCATTATATATATTGGATTATTATTATTCGTCATAATTTATGCCCTTCATGCAAACATTCCCTCAATACTATCGAATTTTTCATTTATACTATCCGGACTTATTATTAGTGATATTATCTCTTTTCTCAATATGTGCCTCCACCTGTTTCATTTAACATATTCGTTATCTCATTATGAACCTCTCATTTCAGTCTTATTATCTCCTATTTATAACACAGACCACTTTGTACTAGCCACTCACCTGACACCTTTTGTAACCTTGATCTGACTTGTCAATTTTCCTACCCCACACTCTACAAATCTATTATGATTAATCAACACCATTTTCTCCTGTTTTAGAATATTCTGTAATCGATTTCAGCCTAGCACGTTTCTCACGCAAACACGACTATTTATTTTGATACCCCATATCTAATCTGTTATTCTACGTTAAAATTGTTTCTGCCGCACAACTGGCTATCGTTATTGTAACGATAACAAATATTATACTTTATAATTGTAAGAACCTGAAGAGAAATTATTGAAAAGAATATTCTTCATGGAATTGAATTTGAGATTTTCCCGTCGATTGATTGGACCGAAGTGCTCGGTCTCAGGTTGACATGTCGACTTCTTGTGCAGATGCTTCGACGATGTCTGGGCATTTAGTTAGTATACAATTGGTGGATGGTGGCTAGCAGTGGAATCCAGGATGCGCATTTCGTCCTATTTGGGAGTCGTTGCACAAGAGGTGGCTCTCGTGGCCCAAGTGGTCTAGTGGATAACGCTTTGGCGTTTGAAACTATGGGTACTGGGTTAGAGCCTCGGTGGGAACATCATCACTCACTGAGGAATGCAGGTACATCCAGCTGACGAGTCCCAAATAGGACGAAATGTGCATCCTGGATTCCACTGCTAGCCACCATCCACCAATTGTATAAGAATATTCTTCGTTCAGATTGACTTTTAATTCACAACGTGGTAATATTTCACACTTTCAAATCCCATAAATAAATGCTTTTTTTTAACTCATGGAAAGTGCCCATTGTAACATACAGAGAATCAAAGCTAGTGATTCAGGTTAGAGACTCTTTTCAACGAATTTATTATCAAGCTGTACAATCACATATGTATGGTTTTTAAGAAATTATATCCGGTGAGGGAATTGTGTTATGGGTGTGAATTCACTAAATAATAATAGTAGTATGAAATGCAATCAAAACGTTTGTGATTATAAGCACAGTTTAGTGTCAAGTGACAAAACAATTAAATTAAAACAATTAGTTCCCTTTATGAATTTAGATAAAGCACTAAGAAGACGTAACTTGTCTGAATCGTGTAATGTATTCGGGGAACACATTTCGAACAATCTGATCACACAGGGACTTGTCATAGGAATATATATGAAATTATTAAAGAGGTAAGAGGTGAGAAAATAGACTCAGGTCAAGTTAAAAGGACATGTTCAAGGTCAAAATAACAATGAGGACCACTAAACCAGTAACAGTACATCTGTTATGGTATCAGAACAAAATGTGATGATGAGTTGTTTTTGAATGCATGAAGGTTGCTTAAACTTTCTAATTGCTAGGGCTCCCATAAACTTTAGGATATGCCCCATACACGTTTTATTCAGACAAATTACGTCTTCTTATTGCTTTATCTAAAACAGTTAATGTCAAATATAGAATAATTCATAAGGTGTATAGATGTTGGGAAGGGGTGCATACTTATAGGATTAGTAGGCTAATTTAAAATGTTACATAACATGGTGTGAAAATCGATAAAATAGAATTCAATATTGTAAAAAAATGGTTTTGGATTTAAAATGACAAGTGGGACAAGCGGAAACAATTCGTAGTGAGAATAGTAATAATAGTAATAATCGTGGTAATGGGGGAAAGGTACATAGATTAACTAAATAAATGTCTATCCCTCTACGGCCAAGGCAGAAGTAGGGATTGTACATGTTTCTTTTGTACACGAAGGTCTGGCTTAAATTCATGAATGGCCAAGGCTTCCGCTTTTTTAGAAGTTTATAATGAATAAAACGCGGCAAGGTAACATGGATTTGGTAGATGATCTTAAAATCATGGTTACGGTTGGTAGAGTGACACGAGTCGACCAGGTGCTCTAAACTAGAGCTTTACACACACTTCCTTTCGCCTTGTAAAATCATGCTGGAGTATGTTTTCATATCCATGTGGAAAGCGTCCTCTGGCTACGGCCAATGTACCTCACTCCACAAGAACAGGTGAACTGAAAGATGCACATGAAGGCGGCCAGAGGAGGAACCTTATCTTTTACAGAGATGGAGAACAACTTGCGGCTGGTGAACGTCATTTGTAATTTTGCTGCAAAGAACGTCTTACTAACTGATTTAAAGAGACGGTTTTTGAGCATATCTGAAGCTTGATCACCTTTGAATTCCAAGTTCATGAATAAGGTCTTCTTTGGAACTGAGTCGGTTACCAGTTTAGACTGCTATATCTTCTGTGTTGCTGTCAATAAATCAGTTCAGGTAACCGTTTCTGCTAGCGTGGCTTTTAGGAAGTCAACATCGAATTCTATCATATCAAATTTCACACCATGTTATGTAACATTTTAAATTAGCCTACTAATCCTATAAGTATGCACCCCTTCCCAACATCTATACACCTTATGAATTATTCTATATTTGACATTAACTGTTTTAGATAAAGCAATAAGAAGACGTAATTTGTCTGAATAAAACGTGTATGGGGCATATCCTAAAGTTTATGGGAGCCCTAGCAATTAGAAAGTTTAAGCAACCTTCATGCATTCAAAAACAACTCATCATCACATTTTGTTCTGATACCATAACAGATGTACTGTTACTGGTTTAGTGGTCCTCATTGTTATTTTGACCTTGAACATGTCCTTTTAACTTGACCTGAGTCTATTTTCTCACCTCTTACCTCTTTAATAATTTCATATATATTCCTATGACAAGTCCCTGTGTGATCAGATTGTTCGAAATGTGTTCCCCGAATACATTACACGATTCAGACAAGTTACGTCTTCTTAGTGCTTTATCTAAATTCATAAAGGGAACTAATTGTTTTAATTTAATTGTTTTGTCACTTGACACTAAACTGTGCTTATAATCACAAACGTTTTGATTGCATTTCATACTACTATTATTATTTAGTGAATTCACACCCATAACACAATTCCCTCATCGGATATAATTTCTTAAAAACCATACATATGTGATTGTACAGCTTGATAATAAATTCGTTGAAAAGAGTCTCTAATCTGAATCACTAGCTTTGATTCTCTATATATTAATGCAGCCTTATGAACGAATTTTCTTCTTTAAGAACTCTGTTTTATGTAAGTTTATTTTGTCCTTGAGACGCTAATTGGTGTGAGACTAAATTTTAGTACTGGTTTATGTGAATCTACACGTATTCATAAGAGCATAAACTCAAGAGGTGAGTATATAGGTTGTCGTCAAAAGAAATTTACCTCCCCAGTTGAATAGGTAGAACGGAAACAGGCAATTACGATTGCGATTTAAGTAGTCGGTCTTATGTGATTTCTTATTATGAGCTTGGAGAAACTGTAATCATATAAAATGTTGTGTTTGTCTATTTTATCGACTTTTAACACACTGGAATATCTGTTGTAACGCTTACTATACTATACGCGAAAATGACTCACGTTATCTTTTATCCTCACTCAAACTTAAGACGAGTTTGTTTGTTTTCTCTTGAATTTTACCCTAATATTACACATTCGACGAAAATTTGAATTGTTTGAGTATCATATTTATTATGACCAAAAGCTGAAATCATTTAGAGAACCACTGGAACACCTGGGAGTATTGGACAGCTGGGTAGGGTACAGCAGGTTGAAGATGAAGCAGGAACTCATCGAAGAAGACATTTCGAAATGGTCGCGCTATGTCGTGAATTGGCAGAAGTTAGAATTCATGGGCCATTGGATCGGGTCCCAGTGGCTCAATGGTCTACGAGCTCGCCTTGTAACTAGAAGGTCCTGGGTTCGAAAGCTGGTGGGTAGGTAGAGTCCAAAACTAGGACGAAACGGATGTTCGATACTCCCAGGTTTTCCAGTGGTTCTCTAACTGATGCCAGCTCATGATGAAATCCTCCACTCAATTCTTAATTTGATTAACTGTAACATAATTTTGTGTCAGTGAGCACGTTACATGGAAATGGATGGGATAAATTGTGAGTCCTAAAAACTGACAGTCTTTATTCAGCCAGATTTATAATTCAAGCCTTGGTTCATTGAGGAAAAATCATATAGGCATAATAAAATTGTGAAAATCTGGAATGTTCTATTACTCTTGCAACAAAACAGCCTAAGCAGGAGATATGCATTAACACTGATATTATCAATGAAACTAACCTCGACAAGGATCATTTTTCACTAAGAACTCATCCAATGCTACCCAACCACCGCCAACACGAACCATAACAGCACTGCGAAGAATACGAACCAGGCATAACTTTTGTGAATCTCCAAACTAGAATGAAGAAAAATAATTCTACTTAAAACTATACTATGGGAGTGGACAAATTAGCGTAAGAAAACATTTACAGTATGCCTTTTAGGCACATATTTTACTTACTGATCAACTAATATCAAATTAAACATAGAATTTACGCAAAATTCGAAATATATTCAACTGAAACTAACCCGATACTTATTTGTTGCCATTTTTCTAATCTTATATGTATTATGACATGTACAAAGACCCACTTGACGTCTTAATTCATCATTAATAGTCTCTTCATCTGACGGACCGAAACGATTCAAACTCAACGAACTACCGCCTGTTGTATTAGAGGATGATGCTCTGTCTAGATTTATATAGTTGGTCCTTAGGGCATTTAGGCATTCGCGATAATCGATATAACCATCACCGTTGGCGTCGAATATATCTGCAACTGCTTCCATTTCAACACGACTGGTTTGAAACTCTATATTTTAAAAAATACATTAAACAAACAAACACATAAAGTTAACAAGAGGAACAGTCAATAAGCAGTCATTAGTAGAAGTTAATTACTTGAACAATACTGTAATTAAAACGGCAATAAATAATAAATAAATAATATATGAATACTAGAAGAACTTCGAAAAACAAACCACTATGGAAACCAAAACCATACCCATATTGTTTAAAAAGTAACTTAGGCATAGAGCAAAACTACAACGAAATCTATGAAGAAGAAAATAATGCACACAAAACCTTAAGTAAGAATCAGCCTCGATAGTCTGTAGCTAAATTTTTATCACACAGACTATGCGGGCGACTTGTAAAAAATATTGATATCTGGTTGTTGGAGGCTTTATATGAAATAACTCCAATTCATCAAAGATATCCCGAATATTGATACTATTTTACTATTTTATATCGATATTAAGATATACATCAGGCGTCAGGTAACAGAAAAGTTTAGGACGAGGATTTCATGTTGTTAGGATCCCATCACATGAATACACCTACATAGTAGTGTTAGTGTTCTCAGTGAGACTTGATTTTTCATTCAGACTTTGAATTGACAGACCATTTTAATATTAGGAGATGAAAAGTAACGTTGATGCTGAGCAGGAACCAGTAGCCTGTGAGTCATCGAAAGGGCTTTCTGTTAACTGAGCTGTTAGCCTGAGTCATTGGTTTGGTTAGAATATTACTTCAGCCATTCACATTTCAACCGTCTGTAATGTAAATGTGGAACTGTTATTTATCCATTTTATTACATTCCTTCGCGTTCCTAGAGGAACACAGAGCTTCAAATTTTGGGCTGTGAAGTTTCAGCAGCAGTGGTGATTTTACGGACTGAGGTTACTAGCCTCACGTCCAACCTTTCCTGTTTTCCTGACCTACTTCTGGCTTAGCGAGGTTTAGGAGTGCGTCGGTCGAGAATCGAACCCCAGACCAAATGCATGGGTGGCAGACATTCTATCACTGAACCATTGACGCCAAAATACCGAGGAATGTTGGACAGCTGTTTCGTTCTAGTTTGTGACTCTTCATCAGTAAGCACACGCCGGGATTGGAACACAGAGCCTTCCGGCTACAAGGTGAGCTGGTAGACCATTTAACTACTGGAATGTAAATGTTGAATGAGTAATTTTATCGCCTTATTTACTAAATCAAGTGAGTGAAACCACTGACGATTGAAGTGAAATTGAGCTAAAGCTAGGCGCTGCACTTTGATGCTTAGATGGTAAATCATAGTCCTAGTAACTCACAGGTTACTAGTTTAAATTCCTCTGAGACTGACGTTTTGATTATAGCCTTATTCATTAATGTTGCCATCATCATCATCATCCCATTGCTAATATAGTCACTTTCATATATTTAAACAGATAAAAAGGTTTTAATATAGCAAAAATATTCATTCAGATATCTATAAAACACAGAATAATCGAGCAAAGAATATTCTTTTCGATAAATTCCTCTTCTGGCTCTATAATTATATACATGTTTATATACACAGAATATTCAAGGTTGGTAGTTAATAACAATATTAGTGTTTTTTAAATAATGACGAAAGTTTTCCCGACAGGAAGCTAGTTGCTTGGTAGAGTGTGGCGAGGTCTCCTTTGCATGCAGCTTGTTCTGCTTCACTAGCCATGGCTTCATAATATTTTCTTTTGTCTTTCCTGGCACTTGCATTCAACTCCTGTTTTGTTGCTCTTCGATGCACTGGATAATGTTTTGTTTCACCATCCTTCTTTCTCCTATTAGTCTCCATGTGTCCGTAGTGAGCCACCGTTTGTCCTGTCTCTTCTTTCTGCCTAGGACTTCCATGCAGGTTTGACTCCACACTGCTTCATGCAGACTGCTTCGGCAAACTTAAGGAGAATTGAACTCTTTAGCCTATTGATAATTTGAACAACCTGGTAACGTCCACCCCATGACCCATGTCAAGGAGATGCCTGGCGATGGCACTGCTTTACTGTTTTTCACCTATGTTTAACTAGTGCCACAGAACCAGTGCATAAAATTATAAATCATTGATTTCAGCAAAATTGATTATCTGACTTTCATAGCACATATAATAATACCGAGTACATTTTCAATATTTATCAGACCAACTAAATAAAACTTATACATGATTATGATATCCTCATAGTTTGTCATTATTCGCCGGTAATATATCATCAAGTGACTACCATAGAAATTTCTTTCGCAGATATATCACTATTAAACTTAGTTACACCCTGGTACTGTTGAACAGAGATTACGGAAAGAATGATGATGATAACTGAATAAGACTTAAGTGATCAAATCGACAGAGTTGGAGTTGGCTTATCTTATAAACAGGTATGACTAATTTTCTCAGCACTTCATAACTGGTTTATTGGTCTTGAATAAAACTGTTTCGACATAAAGAACTAATTTTTGATTTGTTCTCATTGTCCATGAATATATCGAACTATGTGATTGTCTGAACATTGAATCGCCTGATAGAAGTGATTTAAGATAATGGCAGAACCTGTCAGGAATACCATTAATACTAAATACTTTTAAAAGTATTCAGAAATATAGAAACTACTTGACAGAAAAACAGCGCAACATGTTAAAGAATTTAGTAAACATTTCATTAAAGGAAAGTGAAAACTATGAACCAACAAAGTATAATAATTATTCTTTTTTCAAAGAAAGAAATAGACTAGACCTCAGATAATATGTGCAAGAAGCATAAAATAAACAATTATGCAATAAAATTGAATACACAAACATAAGTAAACTTTTAAAGTTTGAAAAAATGTAGGCGTCAAAAACAAAGGCTATAGAAGTTGACGTCATGAAAGTAGTGAACAGACAGATAAAATAATGCACACCGGTAGGCAAATAAAACACAAATGCATACACTTACTTTTAGGCTTTGCACTGTCTATTTAATATTAAACGTAGAGAAGTTAATTGGTTATTATAAAATAATTATCAATCTTTTTGATTGAAATCATCATCTCAAAGCACAAGTCAATGATTTCTGACAGTTGCTATTTTAAAAATGAGTAGCGTTTTGGGCTACTTGAGAAATCAGCAAGCTGAAAACTTTAGTCCGAACTGTATACTACCTTTTTAATCCTGCGGTTTTTGTAGCTACCATTATAGAATAGGATGCAGCCTTTGCTCTGTTTGTGACTCATAATCTAGAGATTGGATTCATATTACACTGGGATTCAAACCAAGACCCTATCGACATTCTATCAGTTAGAGTTAACAGTCATGAAGAGGTGCGAAATATTCTATAAGCAAGTGTTCAACGCCCAATAATCTCAACTTTTACTGATCCAATATTTAAATAATCAATAACTATATGTGTACAGTTAATACGTGTTAAGTACGAGTAAATTAAGTGTGATATGAATCTACCAGTAACATTACTAACGCTTTACTGATTCTGATTCAGCAGGTATTTATTAACAGTATAGTACAATAGGTTATTGTCTGCTATGCAGATAGGCATCTGACGAAAAGTAGAAACTGTGACTACAAAAATTAGCCATTCAGAATAATTTTCAAATGGTTGGAACCTATTCATTTATAATACCATTAATGAAATTTACTTTAAAAGAATAGAATTATTATTTGGTAAACAAAATACTTCCCTGTCACAATAATTTTATTTCTTTATTAGGTTAACAAAGAATTGAACGAAAATTTATGGGACTTACTCATTTCTATAATACCATCGATAAATTCAGCCCTTGTAAGTCGACCATCACGATCACGATCTTTACGATGAAACAAGTCAATAACACGTGCTTTATTTGCACTTAACCATGAAACATAACGTTGACGCCATGATTCAAATTGAAAATCTTTCATTTTTTCCATTTCATTTAAATAGGCAAGACGTTCATTCAGATGAGATTTGCGCGCTAACATAGCTAACCATAGTTCTCTCCAACTTGAATATAACTGATTAATATTTGATGAAGTAAAAATAGATACAATTGGACTATGCTGTTGTTGATTTGTTGAACTAGGTGTACGATTCAACCGTGTTCCTCCAGATCTCATAGACATACGACCTCGACGAGTATTAGATGTATTTGTTGACTTGACTGGAGTACGTCGTTTTGCATGCTTGATTATATCTTCATAAATTGGCTGCTTTTGTTTGATTTCCTCTTCTAATTGACCATGTAAACGGAGTAAATGTTCAACAATTGAAGGTTCAGTAATTTCATTGATAATCAACGTTGAGTCTGCTACATTTTCAGACTGTTTTAAAGTTTTAACACTACCAGTAGGCACAGGTATTAAAGAGGCTGCAGAAGATAAGGCAATTCGTTCTTGTGTAGCAGAGAATAAGTCTTTGTTATCCAGAGATTGTCCACTGTGATTAGACTCCTCAGAGTCAAGTTTACTTTTTGCTGAATGTAGATTTGTTGAAGAAGATGCTAAAGATACTGGCAGTGAGACTGAAATATTTTTCAGTCCATTAATTTTCGAGTTAATCCATTTCACAAGTTCGTCACACTGAATCTTTCTTTTATGCTGTTCTTCTAGTGCTTGTTGTAAACGTTCTCCACGTTGTTCTGACCAAGATGTTAACTTTTAGGAATTAACAGGAATGAAACAATACATAATTAGTCCAGAAAAAGCTGTTTTAAATAGAATTGAAAAAAACGCTGAACAAAAATAAATTAGATGTAGAATCCAACTAGTATTGCAAACACTGTGTTTCAGATAATAGATATTAGTGTAAACAGTAAGTACCTGTCATCACACAGAAATTACCAAACCTAATCGACCAAGATTTCTCGCTAAAACTTTCAGAATTCCATACTGAAGATATATCTACCTAGCTCATCAACATAGTCTGTATTCTTGTACGATGGAAATTTTCTGTTTCAATGTTAAAAAACCAGTAAAATTACTACTACTTCCACGACCCACCTCAACGTTGCACATATCAGTTTAACTCTTTTGTCTACTGACTACAAGATAAGCTAGTTCACGACCCGCTATCACAGAATAAAAAGTAAACATATTTGATTACCATCATTCAATGAGTCGCAACTATCTGGGTGAACTCAGAGACTGTAAGGCTATTTGTTTGCACAGACTTTCAATTATAGCTTGAAATAAAGGTTAGTAACAATCATACATTAGTTTATTTTGTCATTCTGTTATACTACTTTCTGATGACTATTTGTTGATTTCACAATATATTAGTTTTGTATTTGAGTGAAAATAATAATAAACATAATTTTTACCTCTTCCCAACGCGTACGAATAGTATTCACCCACTGACGTAAACGTTTCATAGCTGCTGGATGAGCCTGAGATAGAAGTTTATTGCCCAACTGTAAAGCAGCTTCAACACGGTCAGCCTGATTCATTAAATTTGCATGTGTTTGCTGATGAGCGGTAATTGCATTGGTTAGATTAATCGGTGGACCATCAGCATTAGTTGCAACAGTTTCACCTTCCAGATCTTCATCGTCATCGAAGGTAGGCAAAGCAGCTAAACGATGAATAACACGTTCTGCACCCGCAAAATAATCCATTAGACTTCGACAAGTATCCTGAAATTGTTCAGCCTGTAAATGGGAATAATAGTATGTAAGAAACGGAATATTTACAATCACTTATTTTGATAACATACTCAAACCTTAGAAATAAATAGAAAAATTTAAGCTCCATGTTGTGGAATGACTCGTCCATACGAATTAGTAAACTTCTATAGACTTCTATAGTAGTTAGAAATTTTACTAGAAAACGACGGCAACGGAATTGGTTGAAAAGTCTATAAATCAGTTCTTTCGAACAATTCAAACAAAGCAAGAAAGAGAACAAGTGAAGAATAAAAACAGTTCATTTAACTTCATGGCTTTCCTTCAGCTGTCAACAAACTAAAATCACGGTTACTACTTAAATAAATAAAAATTTATAAAGTACTTTGAAATAGAAGAGATCCTGATTCTTAGCACACTACTGGATTGGGAGAGGTAGGCACTAGGTAGTTAATACAGACATAATCAGACAACCAGAATGCGCGTATGCATACATAGTTATGATAGAAAGTTCAAGAGTCAAGATAAAGAGGAAGAATTCAAAATACATGAGAATGAATAGATAGTGAAAGTGTAAATAAATTAGTATAAATAAGTGTCTCCAATGATGAAGGCCACCCATATGAGCGCGAATCAACAAATGTAAAGCATAAAATTGTGATTCCACAAAAAACAGAACAAAATCCAATCATCAAGTGAGAGGTTAAGCACGCCATCCTTCTTTATAGAGAGGTTAGACTGTAATTGTTTGTAAGAGTTAGTCTATAAGAATTTGATTTGTTTCAGGTTTGGCCACGGATTGGTATCAGTTAGAGAACCATTAAAAACAAGGAAGTACCAGACAGCCGTTTCGTTCAAGCCTGAGACTTTTCACTAGTACTCACCCATGGCGGTTTGAATCCAGAATCTTCTGGTTACAAGGCAAGCTCTTAGACCATTCAGCCACTGGGACCTGATTCAATGACCCATAAATTCTAACTCCTACCAATTCGGGATTCTAACACGACCACCAGTCAGTGTTATCGGTGAGTATTTGTCCTCACTTCCGACAGGGAGAGTCCAACTGGCAATGACTTCTTACTAGAACTCCAGGTAACTTCATCCTGAAGCCAGTCACTAGTGAGCATCAGATTAATTTTCAAAAATTAGTTTGTTAGCATTTGATTTGTTTCAAGTTTGTCCACGGACTGATATCAATTAGATAACCATTTAGTTTGCGTTGCGACTGGGAGGTCCTGAAGTCGAACCCCAGTGGGTGCATAAATATTTAATTGTAATGGTTGCTGAGAAATGAAGTAATCAAAATTTTCTCTGTATATTGATAATCTTAAAGAGCTGAGTGTTTGACTCCGAATATCCTTCCTATGTTGATTAATGTGAGTGGCGATTACGCTTGTAGGCTATTCAGGACATACTCACAAAACTTAGTAAATATTTCTCCATTATGGATAAAATATTATCCATAATGGAGTTACACTCTACCCAAGTGTCAAAGTTTTATACTTATATCAGTAAATGTTTGTTTTAGTTATTCTTATGTGTTCGCCCTCGTAAGATCACGTAAAATGATGAATGCCAACAGAGTCACAGTGAGCGCGATGACGTTAATAAGCATTTGTGCTATATGATAAAATCAGTATAGCCACAGAAAGTATTCTTCAGTACACACCTTGAAGGAAAATGATGACATTAACATGAACAGAATTCAATTGACAAATCATAACAAATCTATCAATTAGTCGGTACAGTCAACTGTTAAATTTACACTGAATTCTCGTCTAAGAATGACACTTACTCCTTTTCTAGTAACATCATTAATCCTAAATAACCGATATAAACATATGCCTGTCTTTTGTAGTTAATACACTAACAAATATTTATATCATATGTAGTTAATTTCCAAGATGGATGGAACTAATAGACACAATTTATGGTCTAAATTAATTACTACCTGATAGGAAAAAGAAAAATGATGAATTACCATTTTCAAAGCTTGATCTAGTCGTTCACTTCGACGTTGAGATAAATTCTGAACACGATCCCATATTTTAGTTAAGTGATTTAATTGCGATTGCATAGCAATAACATCAGCTTGATTTCCAGTTGATGAAGAAATCCCAGAATCTGTATTGGATGATGCAGCCTTAGTCATTAGATCATTGGCAGCTTGACGTATTAACTTCACTGATGTAGCACGTTGTTCCAATTCAGCTTTGAAGCGATGATGAGATTCTAATAGTTGCTAAAATGTCAAACAGTATAAAAACGGAATTGATAAAGAGCCAATGTATTAATAAAGAAAAATAGATTATAATGATATATCTTTTGTTTTCAAGGTTGAAGTGGTGAGTAATTGAAGTCTTACTATAGTAATATCTAATTTTCTACCCCATTACAAAAAGTTAGAAATAAAATATCTTTCTAATAATTCATAGACAGAATGGCAGGTGACTAGATAAAAAGTCGTGTTATGAGACAGTAACAGAAAATCGATGGGGATAAGGCAGCAGTAAGATAATTGAGAAGTTTAGTATTGGATGAAAAACAACAGATATGTTTATAACTTCAAAGAATGATTTTGCAGTTTCGTCAACTAAATATTTATTTAATTATTATGCTATTTTAATAACTGCACTCACAAAACAACTAATATCAGTAGTTAATGTCTTGTTATCAAGTCTAAATGTAAGTTGACTTAGTAAATCTTGCCTAATTTATTCATACCACAGTCAGTATATTACAGCAGAAGGCAAGACACGGAAGTCAAGGTATATCGCCAAGTGATCAAGCCGCTGTTTATATATCTACAATTTATATTCTTTAAACAATCACTTGGCTTACATTTCGGTTTACATTAAACAACATGATGTAGAATGGTCAAATATACATACTATTCTTTTCTTAATGCAGTATGTAACCGTGGGAAATGTATTCCGACTGTAACACCAAATAGAATGTTCAAATAGATATATCTCATTCTGTTGTTAACGCTGAATTGAACTGTGGGAATATGTGAGAATGATATTCCTTTGGAACACACTGTGTGTATCACACTAACACAAGTATAACTTACTGAATACAGACAATGGTAAATCGTCTTTTAAACATCTTAATACGGCTGACTGTATATTGTAGCCAAGCTATTCAAATACATGAGAATAACTGGGTCCAAATACTACTGTGGTGAGAGCTGGCTTATAGTCAAAATTGGTGGACAGTAATTTACGTCAATGTTTATGTCCCAAATATTAGACGTGAGAAAATATGAACAAAGATTGATTCAACAATCAACCACAGGAGACTTTGCGTAGGCGGATACAGTTAGCATATAGATGACCTGACATTCAAGAAAGTCACCAAAAAATGCAAGGTTAACTTTCTATGAGGAACAACCAATCAGAAGACTTTGTTTTTCTGCTAACAATAATCTAAGATATGTACATGAGAATCTATTGGTGTTGGTTTCCTTAATAAACGATCTATTGCCTGGCCCTTGTCTCCTGTTGTTACACTAGTTCCCTCATAATTCTATGCATTTTAGATGACCTAATAATATGTATTTTAACTAACATCAGTCCTTAAGCGTTGTTCACTCACGATTTTATAATTTATCTTTTCTTTGACCACCAATCTATGATTAATTTTTTTAATAAACTGAGTACATATCACATCTTAAGAATGAATACACTGTGAACGTCACAGAGTTCCTTGCTGGCTAACTCAGTGAGATATTAAAACAAATTCGTAATCATTTCAAGATTTGTATCCATATTACTCATTTTCTCAGTAAGATGAGTCGTTGTCAGCATACGTGGATGACACTTAAACTACTAATGCTGCTATATACTGAATAGAGACTGTCACTCTTCTTTTTCACTGTTTGCTTTTCGAATAGAAGATATGGCTTCAAGCTTTTGAGATTTCAGTAGCTGTGGTGTTGCTGGCCTCATCTTCAACCTTCTCTTTTCTCTCAGCTTAATATCAGCTGATAAACTAGAGGAGGTTAAGGAGTGAGAAGGCCATAAATCGACCGCTTTCCGCATGCATCAATGACAAGCATTCTTCCGTTGAGCCACTGATGCACTCCTGACAGCCATTAGTGCTCATAAATGCTCATCTTTTGTACATAAATCCCTTTTTAAATAAATTACAGGAATATTATAAACTGTTATTGGAAGAACACGCAAATTGTAAGCAATCAATGACCAACCTCTACAGTATCTACATCACCATAAATTCCAGTCTGTTGTTCGGCTAATTGGGGTTCAATTTTTCCTAACCAATCAAGTAAAGCTTCCAGTGCCTCTTTATACAAACCAGCCGCTAGAAGAGCTTGTTCCAAAACACGTTGTCTGCAAAATGCAAAATAAAATAAGAAATATATGCATATATCGAAAAACTTAGTGATTACATGCAGAGAACAATTTAGTCCAATTTCATTTTATAAATGTGTGGGCTGTGCGTAATAAAACAAAGTAAGGCAAACACTCTTTGTCAACTGATATCACTTGACTAAGCCAGATCATCAAGGAGCACTGCACAGTTTAACACTAGGAACTACCGCTGAAAAAATAACACCACAGTTTTTATGTGTTTGCTCTAATCTACATCATGCAATAATTAAAAAAATGTCTCAAGTAATAGTCGCGCAAAAAATTATATATATATATATATATATATATATATATAAACCACTTACCTGGTTAATGCTTTTGCACACACTGCTTGCCACAAGTGTTTCAGTTCACTGACCATGTCATCTAATTCATCATGATCACATACTGGGGCTCTATCGCGTAGCTGTCTAGCATAGCGACGTACTGCATCATAGGTTACAGTACGTGTACTCAACTGTCGCTGTAATTCACGATGTAATGCTAATTGGTAAGCCACCTTCTCTGGTCTTGTAGCCACACGATCACCGTCTTCTTCTAATGCAGCTAACTGTTCTTTTAACCAGTCAGTTAATGTTGTCCAATTATCAAGGAAATTAGTTGCTTCCTAAAAGTACAGAAGTAAAATTTGAGCAATCTTTTAATGGAGAGCATGATTTACACTAAAATAAAAGTAAAACAAATAAATGCTTAAGCAAAAAATATTATTCTATCTGCAGACAGTTTGTAAAGCATTCAACTTTATTTGCGGTCTACATATAGTATGGTCTAAACAACCAGATCGAACTAAGAAAATTGTCAAATGGAAATTCAACGTTCACATACCGAAACCGAAAATCCGTGACAAACTAAGGAGAATACGCTGTTTTTAAACCTTCAATTCAGAACTCGTTAATTAGCACCAAATTTTACTCACTGTATGCGAACTAAGTCGTCCTAAATTAGTTCACATCATTCTTTCCATCTGAATGGAAACTTGGGTTTCAGTTGGATTCATATCAGAAGGTTCCAAGTCTTGTAACCCATTGAGTACAGTCTCGGACTAGTAATCCAGGAAACTTTGTACGAAGAATTTATGTACACTTTTTAAAAAGAGTAGGTCAATGCGAAAATTTACCAATGAATACATATCAAACTAACAAATAATAATTCTAAAGAAGGTAATTTTATTTGATATAACACACAATGAAAAGAATATAAATGATAAGGAATTTAAAGCCTCGATAGTACTATTGTAAAGAAGAAAAGACCGATGAGGCTCGAAGGCAATGTTTATTACAGCAAACGCATTGTAAGGACTTAAATTTGGTAAACCTTATCTTTAAGTTTTTATTTGCACTTCATTAGCAAATTGGTCGAATATCACCACATTCGATAGCTTATTGGATTTTAAACAGTGTTGTAAGGTTCTTCACACAGTTCTCTTCTTCGACTACTTTCTTCCAGTGCCTAAAACATGTTGTTACTTTTCTGCTTTCATTTACTGCTATACTACTTATTTCTGATTATAAGTAACATCCACCACAATACCACATAAAGAAGGAATATAAGAAGCCCTACTTAGGATTCCTAATGAGACTGGAAATAGAGTGGCATTTATACTAATCAACTCACTCAGAGGAAAACTTTGTCTATTCAAGGAACTAATAGATTCAATTATGAAAAATAATATAATTAATCAAATGCTATGCAATGACTGTGAGGTCAATTATGTAGGTCAAACTAGTAGATAGGGTTCAATTCGACTATCAAAAGATAGGAATGATTGACCCTGGTGGGTAAAGTAGCATGGAAAAAGGCTCAACCATTGCAGTGCATTCACTTGGATGTAATCACAAAATAGGGTGGGATAGAGTGAGAGTATTAAAAAGCAATATAGTCAGGTGTAGAGAGAATGAGGTTCATCGAGTCAACACCTAACATGTGCAACAAAAATGACGCAACGCCTATACCAGATATATGGGAAATTACATTGAATGACAAGAGGAAGGGAAAAATATGTTAAGAAAATTATGAAACTGTGTGAATACATTGATATGATTAAGAGGGATAATAACGTCATTCAGTTACTAATACTTTATCACTGTGTATTATATGAAATAAGTTTATCTAATATGGAATATTACAATGTAGAACCGAGGTTTTGCACTGTCGGATGCAATAATATACAGTTTCGAAAAATTAGATGACATTTAAATGAATGTATGCATAATACAGATAAAAATACTACTAACCTTAAGACCGGTGTTTAGTTGACGTGTCCGTTCTGCACTACGTGAAACTAATTGCTCCCATCTTGTGTGAATGCTAGACAAAAGGTTTTTCACTAAGATAACATCTTGCTTTTGTGCTTGACACTGAATTTGACTCCCTAAACGGTCTAAATTAATTAAGGCATCCCGGTGTCCAGTGATCTCTTTACGTAGTTCCGTATGATCACGAATCAGTTGGAATAGACGCGCTACAATTCGACTGACTGGTTTCTGTTGTATAATAGCACGCTCCATTTGTGTTAACCATTGCATCATTTGAGACAGATGATCATGAAATTCTTCTACCTGTCTCAAACCTAATTCCATCTTCTCACGAATACTCTGAGCTTGTTGTACCAGTTGGGCATGATGATCAGAGAAGCGATTTAGATTTGCAATTAAATGATCAGTTGACTCTAAAGTAGACTGATTGACTAATAGAGCAGCTGAGTTTCGACGCAGTTCATCCAGCTATTTAAACAAATACAGCGAAAAGAGAAGCTTAAACACTAATGTAGATGCATTAATTTTTAGTAAATAACATGCAGATAACTATTTACGTAGTAACACTATATACATGTAGGAGTCTGAAAAATATTTACCTCTGTACCAACTTCAATAAGTTCATCATAAACTTCCATGAAGCGGCGTAGCTGATCGCGTGCACTGTCAGGCAAACCACCCATAATACGTGCACCTGGTAGTGGCATCCGGTTTTTTAGCTGGCGGGTACGGCGTATGAGTTTGTCCAGTTGACCGTGGAAGTTAAAAGTCTATGTAAAAAAAGAGATTTGGAAAAATAATTAATAGTGAGGTCATAAAATCTGTAATATAGCTACGGATATTATTCATTTATGCAGTTAACATTCAACAGGGAAATCATTATTATATTTCTTGTATTCAGTGAGAGATATCTGTATGCTCAAGCCAGATTTGAAATAAAGGCATTGTACGTATATTAAACTTTTAATACTCAACTTATATTACCTCAATTCTTTTTTAGCGGCATGAAACTTTTATGTAATTTCAAACCAATAAATATTAACTTCAAAGATTTCATTCTCTCCTGATTTAAATTACGCTTTGATCCTGGATAAAATCTTATTCAACCGGTTTTTAATTAGCTGATATTTATTCATTATATTCTAAGTTGAGTAAATTCATCTAACTAGGAGCACAAATTCGATTAACTTCACAACCATGAATCATAAAAACAATATTTAATTGGTGGATGGTGATTAGCAGTGGAATCCAGGATGCTCATTTCATCCTATTTGGGACTCGTCAGCTGGGTGTACCTGCATTTCTCAGTCAGCGATGATAATCCCACCGAGGCTCGAACTGAGTACCCATAGTTTCAAACGCCAAAGCGTTATCCACTAGACCACTTAGGCCACGAAAACCACCTCTTGTGCAACGGGTCATATTAATTTTATTGAATTTGAGATTTTCCCATCGACTGATTGAACCGAAGTGCTCAGTCTCAGGTTGACATGTCGGCTTCTTGTGCAGATGCTTCGACGATGTCTGGGCATTTAGTGAGTATTTAATTGGTGGATGGTGACTAGTAGTGGAATCCAGGATGCGCTAGTCACCATCCACCAATTAAATACTCACTAAATGCCCAGACATCGTCGAAGCATCTGCACAAGAAGCCGACATGTCAACCTGAGACCGAGCACTTCGGTCCAATCAGTCGATGGGAAGATCTCAAATTCAATAAAAAAAAACATGAAAACAATAGTTCAGAAAAATTGCTAGCCACTGACTAGTGGTTCTTGTTTACTATTTCTTATACTTAGCATTGACTGAGGAGTACCCTTTTAGAATGCTTCTGCAGGATTTAACATATTATGCAAATATCCTACCTCACTTAAGGCTTCTTCCAGAGCAGCTTGTTTATTGCGTACACTTAATTTCAAATATTCCCATGCTTTATTCATTTGAATAATTTTATTTCGTAGGTCTAATGTTTTGGCTTCTGAAATTTGTTGTTTTGTCTTATCATCTTTGTTCATATCATCATTTGCAGGCGATTTATCTTTCTTCTTGTGTTCATTGTATTCCAGTTTTCTTGCTTGTTCTTGTATTCTTACAACAGACAATTGATGACTGTTAATATTATGATGAATGACCTTGTGGAAGAAAGAAAGGATTTGCGAAAATCAAACAAACAAAGTAGAAATTCATTGTAAAATGTTTACGATAACCACATAACCCAGTGAGTACATTACAAAAAAAATATGTAAATAAACTGTAACCCAGCTGGAATGCTTAAATTTGCTATTCATTCATTTAATTTGTAGCGTTTTCATTTCCAGTGATAGACAGCATAATTCAGAATGTGGGACAACTAAAATGGACAGTAGGAAAACCCTAAGTGATCTGACTGAAAAATGAAAACAATCACAAAAGTACATCCATGCCCCAACTTTTTTGCCTATTTTTTATTTTCGACTCATGGTTTTTGACAATTATTGATGATACTGTCTATACTTTTCTTCATTTTCTTCTTGTGCTAGTAGGACTTCACGCATGTTACTAGGAGTAGGCAATCTGTACTAAGCCGAATTCCTCCATCCTTAATGTAGAATGAGTGACTAGTAAGAAGCTCAAGTGCTGCAATACGAACGCCACCTTATAAACCCACTAAAGAGGAGTAAAATCGAGTGGAAGTTCTAAAATCCAGTAGATTTAAGTGAGGAACTGATTGTTGACTCCTCGTCCATAGAAACGCCATATCATTCAAGCAATAGGAGTGATTTAACATTCATCTTATAAAATCCTCCTAGTAAATTCATTATAAGAATGAAATAATGATGAAAATTGGAAATTTAAAAATTAGCTTGAATGTGACGTTTATACCATCATGATATGATCAAGAATAAAAGGTGACCAAAATGTCTTCTGGTAAGTAATATTGCCCGATTTTAAGAGCTAGTAACTCATTCATAGTGTGTACCTGCAACATCCAGGAAACTAATATACCTTCGAGAATAGCTCTCAAAAAGGTGAAGCTCAATGGCTTTTCTCAAGTTATTTCTTATATACGGTTCAAAGACTTGGCAAGTCACCAAAAGCATTTCCAACAGACTTCAAACTTTTATCAACAGCTGTCTTTGCTGGCTCCATACTGAAGATTAAACTGCTGGCCGACCAGAAAGGATTAGCAGCAATGAAAAGTTGGAACAATGAATCAGTCAAGAACCTATAGTCCAGCAAATGTAGCGAAGAAAATTGACATAGATCGGACATACTCTAAGAAGACTGCTGAATGACATCACATGCCAGATCCTAGAGTGGAATCTGAATGGGAAAAGACGAATTGGACGTCCAACGGTGACATGGAAGAAAACATGTGAGGAGGAGATAAAGTTTATGGGAGGTCGTGGGACCAGTTAAATACGACTTCAGACAACAGGAAGGGTTGGTAAATTGTCACTGAACCCTTGTGTGTACTAGGAACCTAAGGGAATAATAGTTATTCCACAACATACATTTCAACCCACACACCTAGTATTAAACAACTAAATCAGTCATCATAAAGCAACTAGTTTTCGTGAATAACACTCAATCAACGTGTGTTACATCGAATACGTAAATTGCCAAGAGCCTACTTCTAGTCTAGCCAACAATCACAAGGCTACTATTTATTTACCTACTTATGAGTAATTTGTAGAGTTTTAAGAAATCATCAGCAATGTCAGCATTATTAATTTCACGAACTAATCATGCCATAATAAGCCCATAAAATTCACATATTCATTAACGGATTACATTAAACATAAACAGTTAACAACATCGGTAAATAATGAGAACAATGAGGAGAATTATTACTTCATTTTTTCCACTTTCAGTATCCAAACGATTTAAAACCATCACATTATACTGATAACGTGCAATCAGTTTAACAAATAACTGTTTAACATAAATGAATGAGAGCAATAAAGCAATAACCATTGACCCCATGACATATAAAAATGTGATACAGAAATAAACAGAAACACGAAAGTCAATAAAACAATACCACATACCACACAGATTAAATTAGAAAACACCCAACAAGTAACAAACATACGTGACAGAACAACACAAAAATTAAATAGTGAAAATAAGAAAGAGGGAAATAAAAAAAAACAGAAAGTTATTTGAGTTTTATAGAAGACATATAATGGTTTATTCATGTAATATAACTGAACATCAAGTCAAATTCTAATCAGGCTCTGGATTCGAGTAACATAACAATATTCATATCAGGTGTTTACATAAATGCTGGACATACTATAGTAGGAGTTGGCATTTGTAGTTAGAACACCCATGGGTCACTTGTTATTTTAAATTGAGTACACCTCTCATTATTGAAAGTGAGGGTTTGGGAAGTGTGTAGAACTTCGATTCTGTGATAGGCGATATGACTACAGTAATTCCATTATGGGTAAATTTAATGATATGACTACAGTGTATTTCTCCTGTACCATCTCACATCATAAAGCGACACTGAAGACAGAGGCTATCAATCTCAATAGAATATCGACCTTACTACACAATATATTCCTTTCCGAACAACCCAGGATTATAGAAGATCGATCATTCGTTTACTGATTATTTAAACCAAGTACTAAAATTAGTGTGGTTTTAAACTTCTATATCTGGTGGAAAGTTACAATCTATCTCCCAGATTTAACATAAATAACAGATGTGCTATAAATTTAAAAGTTTAATCAGTCTAACAGATAATCTGCCAAGAAGACTAGTGAATATTGGGTATTATTCCAATTTACTAACAAACTTCACCGAAACAGTGAAGTCACGATAAACACCAAATGAACATTTTACTCGTTAGATATGGAACTCTTCAATAGTCTGTTTGAGTAGATTCAGTAAGAGGGAAGAATCTTATTTCTGATCTGCTTTCATGTTTAGATCATGTTGAACTGGACGGATCTGTGTTTACGCTGTTTAATTATTTTTTTTACCGAAAAATAAACTTTATCATCAATAAAACTTTTCTTCTAAACGTATCAAGACCCAAAGAAACCATGAACACTTCATTGGGAAGTAAAAGCTGAAGAAGTTTAAAAGGATATTGAAAGCCTTGGAGTTAAATCATCTAACTTGAATAGCATAACACCAAAAACCATGAGAAATGTCCTGTAATCAAACTATGGCGGATTGTCATTTAATATGCATACAATTTAAATTTTTCACTTGTTAACTGACCATTCTTTACAACATTTAATTAAAAGTTCAGTGTCCGGATAAACGTATGACCGAAAATGTTTAAAATAATAGACAAGACTAACTTTGATTCGTGCTAAATCAGCCTCCAATCCCCTAATATTTCCACGACGTACAGGTATCTGATCAACAGTTGTTTGCATTTGTTGAATCCACTTGACTAATCCATCTATGGCACTTTCGAATTCACCTAGACCAAGAAGAACAGTCTGTAGACGATGACGTCTACTGTTTCCCGAATCTAGTAGGTTATCCCATCGTCGGTTAGCTGCAGTCAAATCAGACTGCAAGGATGAATTCTGTTGAACTGGGAATGATCCATCATCACCTATAGAAAATCAGGTTAAAAAAGTAATGTAACTGGCTATCGAGGTGAAATAATATTGAAACTGTATCAAGGTTATACAATTCTAATCACTGTCTATGCAGAGACACAGCATACTCCATTTCTTCAAGAAATATAGAATACGTCGATATCGTTAACAAGCAACAGAGTTTCCCGTGTGTTTCTGTAGGATAACAGTTGACGAATAGACACATCACTTATTCATTCAATAGAATTAGCGAGTCAGGATGGTTTACCACAGTCACCGCTTACTTTATAAATCAGAAAATTGATACAACAAAAGAAAGTTTAGCGTCATTTAAGAAAGAAAAGCATTTACACTCTTTTCTCTTACTTGTGTCATCCAAAGTAAAACATTCATTATCTGCATTAGACATAAGCTTTCCAGCTGACCAATTTAACGCTTCTACCTCAGCGTGTTTGTTCATTAAATTGTCGTTCCACTGAACAATTTCATTCAGTTGTTTAGTAACAGTCTCAACATTATTTGATATAGGCGCGAAATTATCCCAGATATTCTCTTGTTCTGACAACCATTTTAATAAATTTTCTAAATCAGACTGTGAATAAAAAAGTGTGAATTGATAATCAAAGAAGTGTTATGAAAATGTTACAGAAATTAATAAATAAAGATGTATACATATCAAGCAGAAGCTCTCGTGTCTAGGTAGATTACACTGGGAAGCAACAAATACAACGAAGCAAAAAAAAGGAAGGACAGTTTCACACATCCGGTTCCCTAGATAAATTTCGATAAAGAAAGGTAGACGTAATTTGTAGTATAAAATGATATCATTCTATTTCACATGTTCTCATCAGTTGCATACTACCTGAAATTACAATGGTTGTATAGATGATAATAACAAACTTTTGAGTGTTTGAGTGGTAGTTGAGAAGAGATACTATAAAATTTTTTGAATATTATGAATTAAAAGTCAATCTGAACGAAGAATATTCTTTTCAATAATTTCTCTTTAGGTTCTTACAATTATAAAATATAATATTTGTTGTCATACAATAACGATAGCCAGTTGTGCGGCGGAAACATTTTTAACGTAGAATAAAAGATTAGATATGGGGTGTCAAAATAAATAGTCGTGTTTGCGTGAGAAACGTGCTAGGCTGAAATCGATTACAGAATATTCTAAAACAGGAGAAAATGGTGTTGATTAATCATAATAGATTTGTAGAGTGTGGGGTAGGAAAATTGACAAGTCAATTCAACGTTCGAGAACATTTACCAGTTTGGTCCAGCAGGGGGGAAATTAAGTGCATAAAAAGCTTGATCCTGTCACACTTGGTCGATACTGGACATCGTATCGGTGCTAACACAGCTTTCAGGGTTATATACCGAATTCCGAAGTCGTCATAACGTGCAGTTAGCTTACGTCTCCTACACATAGCTGAAGCTGTTGCAATAAGATCGACTAAACAGGAACTTTGTATCCAAAAAGGACACGTCCAGGCGCTGTTCCTACCGTGGTCAAACTTGGATTGATGATTCTTCTTCTCACCAAGAGTGTTCCTTCCCTTTAAACCTCTTGGTTTTTTTCCTTTGCTTATTATTACAAATATTATTATTAAGGCGGCCTGCTTAAATCATCGGGCTACCGAAATTACTTTCCTCCAAAATGCTTAATTTCATTTGGGTTTATCACTGTTTTAATCGTCCAGTTATATCAAATGACCTATACATAAACTTGCGCGATGATTTAACTTGCTCCCAAGTAAACGCTGTACAATTCTTCAACGAAATGAAGATACACTTCAGATTATTACTTTACATGTGAATCCTGTGTGAAGATAAAAGTACTTCGGAACTGAATACGCTGAAAATTTTTGTACCGCATATTCTCATACTGTCTTAAATAGAGCTTTACCATTATTATTATTATTATTATATATGCCTCTACCTGTTTCATTTAACATATTCGTTATCCCATTATGAACCTCTCATTTCAGTCTTATTATCTCCTATTTATAACACAGACCACTTTGTACTAGCCACTCACCTGACACTTTTTAATAACCTTGATCTGATTTGTCAATTTTCCTACCCCACACTCTACAAATCTATTATGAATAATCACTACCATTGTCTCCCGTTTTACAATATTTTGTAATCAAAGGAATTTTGACTTTGATTAGTCATCTAATTCAGTGATCTCAACTCACTGAACAAATCTTAATCTCATAAACTGTAACCGCTTTTGTTTTTTGAGTTGCTATGTGAACCTACAAGCTAACACTGTTCTGTTAATCAATTTTTTCTGTTTTCTGTCTTACCCCTCCCCCCTCTTTTCAACTTTAAAAGCGTATAAATTGATGATGACAGCTTAAACCAAAAATTTGTAATGCTTTCATTTTGGATCCGTCAATTTTATAGTATTTCTTCTCTACTACCACTCAAACACTCAAAAGTTTGTTATTATCATCTATACAACCATTGTAATTTCAGGTAGTATGCAGCTGATAAGAACCTGTGAAATAGAATGATATCATCTTATCCTGCAAATTTCGTTTTCCTTTCTTTATCGAAAGGACAGTTTCCAAATGAAAGTGAAGGAGGAGCTTCAAAATATTTCTAATATGAGTCCATAATCACTACAGCACAATAAGTTTATTATGAAGTTTTTTATACACTTTTGATACTGAACGACGACTGCCCTACACATAAAGAACTTGAAGAGGTTGGGTTTGATACATTATTAGATTTCGATACAGTAATTGGGAAATAATCAAGTCTGGCCTGAAAGCTTGAAAGACCTAAGCTTTATCTCTCACATGATAGCGGATGCGAACTTTTAAACAGTTAGAAACCAGCAGCAGCAGCAGCAGAAAGATTTCCATTTTACATAAATGATATTTATAACAAGATTGATGGGGTCTGTAACAATACGATTGTACATTCTTTTGTTAGATGTTAAAAATAGAAACATTGTACACAACTTTTGTTTCAAAACGATTCATGTTGAAATATACATAACTTCGGAATACAATCTAAAATACAGTGCGCTGCTTGCCGCTTCATCTTCTCACTAGTCTGTACTGTTCACTTGTTTCGCTACTAACTGTGTTGTGTACTTTGGATTTTGCTGGAATCTCTTATCCTCATCCGAAGACAATTCTACAACCGGTGCACAGCTTCTATCAGTAGACATGACTCCAGCAGTAAACACTATTTTGGATTGCATTAATAATTTGTAGAAGCAGACTTTAACTATATAATCAAGTAACCAATTAATTTACATAACTCATTACTGGATCTTTTTTATAATATACTGTTACACCATCATTTCATTAACTTGGATTTTTTATGCTAATATATGTCCTGTTACTGAGCTCGTTAGAAAGTCCCCTACAGATTCAATACATTGGTTAAGTTAGTCTTTCAAAGGTGTTTACACTATTTTGCATAGTTAAGAAGTGATTATAGTCACCAAAAGAATCTAAAAAGGTATTGGTAATTCACATCTATAGGTAGAGTAACATTTTTAAAAATTTAGTTAGTAATTTGCATGAATCTTTAACTGTTCATTGAAAATATTTTAAAAAAAAAACATTGAATTTTTACACTGATGTTGTAAACAAGTCTGGTTGATTGCTTATTCTTATGGAGCATGACTCATTCCAAAAAAAAAGAAAAAAATTATATTGAAATTACAATAAAATCCCTTATGTTTTGTATATGTTATTACTAAACTCACCTTAAATTGTGAAGCGCACAACTCACGTTCATTTAATTCTTTAGTCAAATGTTTACACTTATTAACAAGATGTTCTTGTTGTACTTTTAAACCATGCAGGGCATAATCAACTTCATTGCGTATAGCTTGTTCTTCATCTCGTCTTAAAATAAAACTATCAGTTACTTTGGTTGGCTTATCATCGGATTGACCGTTAATTAGACGAATTAAGCGTTGTCCAGCTTCATATGATTTGTTCAAGTGTTGATTGACATCATCCAATTCTTCTCTTAAATCATCTAACTCTTGATATTGTTCTTTATAACTTTTAGGATCAAGTGGGTCGCGTCGAGTACACGGATCATTTCTACTACAACCAGTTGCAATAATGTTTAATGCTTCTTTAATTTTATCTAATTTATTTCTTAGATCACTTATAACTGGCCAAAATTGTTCAGATGATGTTCTGTAGGCTGATTGTAATGTGTTGACACGTGCAGTTAGTTTATTCTGAAGGTGTATCCAATCAGTTTGTAGTTTTTCTGCATTCTTCAAGACTGAAAAATATGCATTGTGAAGAGAAAAAAACGCAAAGAAGAGAGTCACATAGTTGTAGAATTTTTGTCTCATTACAAAATAGATAAACGGACAAACAGCCATAAACATTAGTAAGTGTCCAATCAAACTACCTACTACAGTCCTACATGAGGTCAATCGTGAGCCTGAATAGCTCAGTGATAACGTCTCTGACTGCAGCACTGGGTGACGCAGGTTTGAATCTCAGAAGGGATATGAGTTCCTTCAAGGTTGCAAATACGCCTTGCTGACGAGTGCCAACTAACACGAAACCTAGGTCCAAGGCTTCCTTCCGATTGCCTCCAACCATCTAATATCATCAAATCAACGTGCATCATGATGGTGAGCTACCTAGAATGGTGGCCATACTACAATCTGACAGATAGAATTCAGTCTGCACCAAAGAAAGGACTAGATACGTCACACTAGATACTAGTGTCCAATCAAACATTAGTAAGATTTATTTGATTCACATTTGATTTCGTATATACTGTAAATCTAGCAACCATATTTTCTGGCGTTTAAAGCTAGTCACAAACTCTACTACTTACGACTGACTTCATAAAAAGCTAGGTAGTATATAAAATTTAGGCTGGAAAATAGTCACTGCAAATATAATGGGTGGATTTCAATCAGAAGTGAAGGCCTAACATCTACATTATTCAAATCCAGTTTTTGATCAATACACCTCATATATGTACACCTTACAAATACTGTTAATGTCCTTAATAACTTTAACTACCAGATTTAAGTTTACAGAAACCAATAATTCACTCTGTGACGTATTGGAGCCATGTATTAAATGTTAGAAGTAGAAAGGTCTCCAGGTTCAGTATTCAGTGTCTCAGCTTCGTATCGTACAAAGAAAGAGAATTTCCTCAAGGTTGACTACACTCAGTATACTTATGACTTCCAACAAACATAAGGCAGAGTTAACTATCCATTTTCTCTTGTCACTTTATTTTCTTATTAACCACTACTTCAGGAAGTTCTCCAGAGAAGTCGTGACTCATATGAACCATTAAGTAAGGTATGTGGATAATTTTTCACTAAATATACCGAATGGCAATACTGCTGCTACATGGCGAATCCGTATATGCTAACTGAATTGTGTCATAATTGCCTCGAAACTTGACTGTTATGGACCAACTTCTTCACTAGGGAAAAGGATAGCGAAAATGACTGAAACTAATAGGAACAGTTATTCTTTTCTATTTCAAATGTAGAATGAACTCAGGGAATTTCACTATCGCCTTCTACAAATAACACATTTGTAGAATTATCTTCATTTTTTTTCTCTCTTGAATATTTCTCTTGAATATTTCTAAAAGAAATAAAGTGGCATTAATTTTCTAAGAATAAAATATACATATTTTTTGTTAATCATCCTTCACAAAAGTGCATCTAGAGGGAATAAATAATTTGAACACAGAAATCTATGTGTACTATAAAACACAACAAAATTAATTACGGGGATACATTCACACAAATTAACATAAACAAAAGTGCATAACTATCCAACACATAACAACATTCAACAAAAGAGGTTACAACAGAACGTAAAACATAAACAAAAACAAAATCCTCATTATTTGAAAGTATAGACTATTATCCATTCCTAGGCCTTATCAAGTAGAAATGCATAAATATGAACAGAAATTCACTCATTTAAATACTACATGAATTTGTTCGATAGAATAACAACATTCAAGATAATCTGTGCATTCAACAAATGAAATAAACTTTATAATACAACGCAGAGATGTGTGAAATTCATATTTACAGGGGATAATATGAACTAGCGACATAAAATGAATATATGATAAGGCCATAATAAATCTGTCTAAATATAAAGAAGCCAGACTCCACAAAACTTTTGGAAAGCACTATATTCTAAATAAACTCTGTCAAAGTGTGACATATACATTGCCAAAATAACAGCAACTGTCTTTGTGAATAACATAGAGATTACATTCAGTCTCTTGTACAAGCATCTCTGAAGATCAAGCAAGCATAAACTGAGGTCAAAAGATTCCCGTATAAAGGGTTCCATGCTAGTCAGTAACAACATTTAACAGAATTAGATATGCATAGATAGTGTTAAGTCTAATTCATCTGCAAATTATATCAGATGAAATCATGCCTTGAATGAGTAACACAAATAATTGTTACTAGACCAGTAGATATTCTAAACTTGTGTAACCTACTATGATGTTTACCAGCATATTGATCTGGTAGTAGTACAGATACATTCTGTCTGCAGGAGCAGTTACACTGGGAGGACGGAAAGAAGAGCACACCTCCAATTCTGCGAACATGTACCAAAAAGCCTACGTCTCAAGAGAACAAATGCTTACAATAGTGCCATTGCCAGGCATCTTCTTGATACGAGTCATGAGGTGGATACCGCAAAATTCTTTAAAATTATCAATAGACAAGATAGTTCAGTTTTCCTCAAGTTTACCGAAGTAATCACTATCGAAAGCCTGAAACCCGACTTATGTGTTCAGAAAGCAGCAGTTAACAGTCTTTCCTTGCCCTAGTAACTGGATGTCTTTATTTTCCTCTTCATTTGATTGCACTGTCTTTGGTATTAACCTCTTTGCCATTTCGCACAGTGTAACTGCTTGTGTCTTGTTTCTATAACTACAAGTAGAGTCATTACCTTATATCATCATCACCTATCATCTTACTAACCTCTTGTCTTTATTACTCAACTCCTTTGTCACTGTTTGCAAACATTTATTTTTGTTTAAACTTAAATTCTCTGACTGAAAACTATACATGCGTAATTTTCTGAAAACTGTTCACTAATCCCGGAATCTCCTATCAACTGACATCATGTGGAATTTGCAAGTTAAAATTCTTCTGTAAATAAACTTAACAATCTCTTTAGGCTGTACACAGATGATGAGAAGCCAACGAAATAAATGGTGGTACCATCTTATTTTGCACAAACTGTTGTTCTTGCTTTATTCATATTCCTAAAGGGGAATAAATGTATGAAATACATTCTAGTAATAAGCTGCGTATAGCCATGTGTCAAGCTAGAATTGAACTAAGACCTTTGTGAATCACTTGCTACGCATATCAATTAAGTAGCAACTGTCATAGCTACATAACAGTTGTTCCAGTTACAACCTAATTATAAATCCCGATCTCATGCATAAAACGATTATATATCTTCTTTCTTCTCATCCACTGTTGGACTATAGTTATTTCAGGGTAAAATTCACAAAAAAGACAGTGTATTATTAAGTTAAACAAAACCACTACCAATTATAAATATGCTTTGTACAGAAATGAAATTCTATGAAAAGTAATTTTAACTTAGTCATAAAAACTTCTTTTCATTATATTGAAGTGAAACAACATTATTGTTAATTATTGAAGGCATGCATAGAAGAAGCTTACTGGAATGCTGTAAAGCAAATAATTGGTCTGGAAAGTAAAACGGGAGGATATAAACAGATGCGAAACAATAGTGATAAACTATACAGGTAATATTCACTTGACTTGAGTACACTTATCTGGTACTAATAAGCTTTTTTAAGCACCTCACCACCACTTTATAAAATTGTAACGCTCAATATTGAGACACTGTGTATTTGGCAATACCGTAGAAAATGAGGCGAAATTTACTGCTTGGGTTTTAAAATTCATATCATATGGATAATGAGAAACAAAATGTTTATACTAAATATCCTTGAATTTCATTAATATCCCAGTCTCATTAAAGTAGAGGACTAATCTCATTCAAAAAGAACTGTTTCATTGAAAACTGTGATAAATAGCTTCATTTTGATTAACGAAGACTAACACTTTATATCACACTTTGTTGTTAAACTGAAATATAGGTTAACTTTATTGTGGAGAAAGACGAGAAATATGTCATCCTGGATAAAGTCAGGTTTATTAAAAGACAGGGAAAAAGTAGAAAAAAAAGGAATAAGTTAAGCACGTTTACTGATAGTAAACAATGATCGATTGGCTGACAGATCTGTATAGAATTTGAGATAGATATGCATCAGTTCAAGTCAACAAACTTCGAATAATCAAAAAAAGAAAAAAAAACGTAATCATGCTAAAACGACAAATGTAGGCGTAACGAAGAGGATAATTAGGTGAAAACTAGGGAAATCACCCAGAATTGATTCCATTTTCTGCTCTGGTTACCTCTAGTGCTTTTGTAGCCTGATTTTACTTCAACCAGCATTCATCGTTGATGAGACTTCGCAACTTTACCAACAGATACACCCTATCACTCTATGACTAACTGCAGTACTGCTTATCATAGTTTTCGACTTAACAGAACAAATGGAAGGAGAGTACTTAGGGTGGTAAACCTAATTCGACTGGAACATGCCTTACAGAGTTAACGCATGACAGGAAGGACTGCTGTTCAGTACCCAAGTCTTTTGAAAGGAAGTCACACTTGCAATGAAGCCAAGACCGATACGTAAAGATCAACGAACCCGTTGTACCTATAACGATATTTCGTCAGCAATCAGTTCATCAGGGCTGATAGAACCTCCCATCAGAACATTTAACTGCTTTACTGCCGATCCGGAACCGAGCCTAGGATTTAAGACACGTATTAGTCACGTGGTCCTCCTGATGAGTAGCTGGATTGCTACTCAAAGTATTCTAACCAACGTTCCAGACATGTATCCTCAGAAGCTATCAAAGTTCCATCCTTCTTCCAGACAGTTACAATTAGCTACAGGACCAGTTTCCTTAATAAGCCTAAATAATTGACGGGTGTTAACTAGTACCGATTCTTTTTCTGCTTCCTTCGCTTTTATCAGCTACCATCGTTCGCGTGTTTTACATCAGCATATTATTGTTAGGAAGGAAAATATTCAGAAAACAAAGTCACAAAGCCTGCAGAATAAACGCTTACAACAACTTTATCAAACAGAAATATACTAACCTGCTTCTAAGTCAACTGACTCAATCAGTTCTACTGTTCCTGATTCACGCTTTTTAGTTGATTCCTTGACAGTGGGTTTTGTTTCTAGTTGGGCTCTAATACTTACAGTAAGAGCCTCTAATTCAGGCAGACGAGATTCCAATGCTTCCATTAAAGCTGAAGTTCCACTTATATGTTCCTCTAAATGATCTGGTTGAACACTTGTCATTGAATGTATTCTACCCAGCATATCTAACGCCTGATGTTGGTCTAGTAACTGTTCTGGTATTTGAGCTTGATGATGTGACGATATAGATGGTTTAACAGTGGTACCAGTTATTTCTAATGGTACACCTAAACGAACAGCTTGTTCAGAAATAGCAGCAAATAGGTCTGTCATTGAATGCAACTGTTCGACAAACTAAAAACAAACAAAAAGAAGAGAAATTCAGCAAACCGGTAAAAATATGCGCCTGTAAATAACAATAAATGTATGAATTATCTGTTTAAACAACTTAAAGGCAACCTGTAAACATTTTGAAGATATGTCTTGATATGCTACTGCAGTTATTAAGATTGAAGCAAAAACGCCCAATAAGGTTAAATTCATTAGTTTAAAGATATTGTGAACAGCTAATTAGTGTTGTGGTTCTTTTTTCTTACTACCGACAAAAATTGATCTAAGAAAATTGATGAGTGGAATTCAGTTGAATGTTTGGCAAGTACAGTTACAAAGATCTATTTCAATAACATTGTGGTGGTGTGATACAGAAAATGTGTTGTGCCAATGGAATATTATTCTCACATATTCACACAATTCAGTACTGTATTAGCAGCAGTATAATATATGTATTTGAACATTCTATTTCACGTCGTTTAATGAAAACCGAAATCACACATTCATTAATTAGTTAAAGAATAGAAAACTATGTAGCGGTTTGTTCACTGGAAAACATACCTTGGCTTGCGTGTCTTGCCTTGGGCTGTTAAAACACTATACAAAGTGGCATAACTAAATCACTTTATTATTCGGAAAGATGGACTCTGCGGGATAGTTAAATCAATGATGATAACTCGTGTATCTCATTGAAAATCCTCCCATCCACAAACTTCATTCACCATACACCTTCGCTTAGACATTAATTTACTACAAACACTTAAAATGATTGATTGCTGATTATTCATTATTTCACACTTATTGCGTCATGCCAACTTCTGTCTCCTTTCTAACTTATAATTAGTCATCCCTTCTTACACCTTAGATTATGTAATATAATTTTTCAAGGACAAAATTTACCAGTATCTGATTGGTCTAAAGATTCCTTCGTTAATTGTAATGACCATGGACATTGATCATTGATCATTAGTATGTATGTAATTGTCGTGATCTTTACAGGATTTCATCATGAGATGACATTAGTTAGAGAACCATCGGAAAACCTGGGAGTACTGGACAGCCGTTTCGTCATAGTTTGAGACTCTTCGGGAGTACACACCCACCGGGGTTCGAACCCAGGACCTTCTGGTTACAAGACGAGTTAGCTTGTAGACCATTAAGCCACTGGGACCCGATCCAATGGCTCATGAATTCTAACTTCTGCCAATTCACGATATAGCCCAACCGCTAGCCAATGTCTTCGGCGAGTATTTGTCTCCACACCCGACCTGCTGCACCCTACTGGACATTGGCTAGGGGTCGCGCTATGTCGTGAATCGGAAGAAGTTAGAATTCATGGGCTATTGGACCGGGTCCCAGTGGCTTAATGGTATACGAGCATGCCTTGTAACCGGAAGGTCCTGGGTTCGAATCCCGGTGGGTGTGTACTCATGAAGAGTCTCAAACTAGGACGAAACAGATGTCCAGTACTCTCAGGTTTTCCAATGGTTCTCTAACTAATGTCAGCTCATGATGAAATCCTGTAAAGATCATTCCCCACAAACCACTACTTGAATGTCATGAACTTTATTTTATTATTGTTAACCATGATGGTTGTAAAGTGGTTGTAAAGAAACTACGAAATGATATCATCTCGCGAATTTGTCTTCTTAATGCCTTATTCAAAATTATAATTACGATTGTACAGCTCATAAATCGTCGAAAAGTAAAATTTCTTCTCTGTTTGTGCCTTTTTCTTATGACTCAATATGGGAATATTTCGTTCACTTAAAATTATGCTCAAATCGCATGTATAATACTCCATAAATTTAAACGAAAATGAGATTCTATGACGAATCATATTTCGTGAAGTCCTTCACTGTGTTCATCAACACTAACCCAATCTGTGTTTTATAAAAACTTCAAGCGCTATACACCACTGACACATAAATATGATAATTCATACTATCCGGGGTAATTTAGCTAAAGTTGTACCGCACAAAAATAGGTAAGAGAAATCCTGTGGTGTGATATATTTTATGATCTATAGTAGTGAATGTCTGACACCAAATTAAAATGTACCGCATGAATGACAATGTCGTTTCACTTAGCCCAGTTACCGTAATAAATACATTTGGGACTAGAGAACTATATTAGTTAACGTCCGACAACAGATTAGTATAGACAGTTTAGTAAAACAGATAGTTAAGCTTACTTCATCTGATTGTTTCAAACCGGTTTCTGCGTTGATCACTCGACTTTTAATTAATTTACGTAAATTGGTGTAGGAGTCACAGATCTGTTTAATCTGTGAGTGGACGGCATTAGCTTCATTTGGAGCGATTAGGGATAACAAAGGTCCACTTGTTCGTATAATTCTATCTAGTACAGATTTTTGACGGTTGACTTCTTCATCCAGACTCTATGAATAGAAGATTTATGCACAATTATATTGCCAATAAATTTTGATATCACCGTACAGTATTTGATATAACGATAAATATTTACAGCTAGTTTTGTCTTTGGGTTTGAATATTTTCTAATGAGGCAAAACCAAAGATTGTGTCCATATTAACATTAAAAGCTTTACAAAGAAATAACCAAGCTCAGAGAGGAAGAAAACTGCTAGAATGAAGTGATATTTAGGAAACTGCATCAATTAGTTCTAATTAGAACTGAAAACTTAATCTAGTATATGGATTGAAAAAACTTCAGGAATCTGCTGTGCAGTAACAACAATACTTTATACAAAAAAAAAACGGAAATCCGAGTTTCAATACGATTTTTAGTGGGGATTATCACATTGTTGTTTGGAAATTATATCATACTTTTTGTTGAATGAACGTGTATTTTGGATAGAGTGATAAAAATTACATCAGGACCCTCTGTGAATTAAACTTTCCCTGGACACCTGGTATACCTCCATGTATATAAACCAACATTATTATTCCTTTAACTTCTGAGCGAAAAATTGAGCTTCAACAGAACATCTACATCTCCACTTGTTCTCCTCCATGTCTACCTCAGACACCCAACTCGTCGTTCCCCATTCACGTTCCACTCGAAAAACGGCTTGACAGGTCATGTCAACCGACGGCCTCCTCTGCGTGTGTCCTATCCATCTCCATTTGTCTCGGCGTACTTGTTGGACAATGGGTTCTGATTGGTTCATTGTCCTCACAGTTGATTGTTCCTAATCATTTCCGATCGGTCAACCAGCCGGCCAGCCAGCCATCAGTCTAATCTTCAGTAAGCAGACAGCGAAGGGAGATATTGATAGAAGTCTGCAGTGGCCAGTTGGAAACGATTTCGATGACTCGTGACACAAATACACACACATACACAGAGAGAAATACTGACCTGACATCAGTGTTAAAAGTCCAAATCTTGTTCTGTATGCTGGTCACAGTAGATTTCCAAACTGATTTCAGACTGACGAAGGTCTGTCTTGCCTTGGAAACCATCCTCCCTTGCGTCGTATCTCCATCAGACGACATGTCTGTAGTTGGAATGATGTTGTCTAAATAAGTGGAGGAAGTGACTTCCCCCCCCTCAAATTTATTTCCTTGATAGTGAGTGAATGGTGTTTGTCGTTGTTGTAGTTGGTGATGATGATGATGTTGTTGTTGGTTAGGTGTCTTCATCCCCTTTGTGTTTTCTGTTTTCACCTGAAGTCCTGTGTTTGTTGCTGTCCCCTTCTGACAAGTTGTTGGTTTTCACCTGTAGATCTTCGAGTTTGTGAGACATTAGACATAGATCGTCGGCGAAGTGCATATCTTCTGGAGTCTTCTTGTCGGTGGTCCAACGTACTCCTTTCTCGTCGCTCCCCATAGTCTTCTGAATTGTCGAGTCCACCACAATAAGGGATATGATGAGTGATTGTAGGCAATCTTATCTTACTCTTGTTCTCACTTCAAAGGTTGTTCTAAGTTTTCCATTTTGGACTACTTGATACGTGGCGCTGTCATATAGCTGTTCAATGAGGTTTATAAAAGTTTTCTATACTGAACTCTGTAGTGTTGAAGCAGTTTCAAAATTATTTCACAATCAACGCTGTCACAGGCCTTTTCAGAGTAGATGGAGTAGATAGAGGTGTAAATTCGACTACCAATCTATACTCCGTTCAGTGATGATGTGTAGAGTTGCTATTTGACCAGCGCATGATTTGCTTCCACTGGATTCGGCATGTTCCGAACAGCTTTGAATATGCAAAACACTACTAACCCACGTGGTGATGAATAATAGCAGGAACAAGATGATTAGATCTTATTGCTTCTAACCATCCAGTGTAGCATAATCTTGTTTTTGATAAAGTAATAATAAATGCTTCTAAAAATAACAGTTGCTATATCAAAAATGATTGATTTTAAGGATTTGGAAGGAGATAGGACTTGTTAGTACGATGTATTGCATACTCTATACTTCGTTCACTTTAAGGCTGATGGCTTCCGTTACTATGGCACTCTAGATAAATTAGCGGTCACCTGAAGTAGTATACCTTATCCTTGAAGTAATCAGTGCTTACAGAGAACTCACAAGCTGAAGGTTACACTACTAGTGAGTCTTCAGAAAACAACAAGTTAAGAAGTAGAATGTTTGAACAGAATGTGAACATATTAATGAGAACATAACATTCAAGAAATGGATAAGCATTTTGTTAAAATGTAAAAAAATGTTAAAAAGAGAAAATCAATAGTGTGGTGGCATACAAATAGACAGAAGTAATGATCTCTGGGTAGATAGAAACTGTTGACTTAAAACTTGTCATAACTAAGTATTAACTCAAGATTTCATACTTAAGCTTAAAAATCTAGGTTTGTAACTCAGTTTAGTGCATTTATTTCTTTAATATTACATTCACTAAAGTAAGAGTTACTTTAATGATGTCACCAGTATGATTTTGTTATTTAAAGCCATTCAGTTAATGTGAATAAGGCTTGACAAAAACAAACAAAACAATGAATGATTTTAATTGCTGGATGGTGACTAGAAGTGGAATCCAGGATACACATCTCGTACTACTTAGGACATGTCATCTGGATGTACGTGCATTCCGCAGTCAGTGGTGATGTTCCCACCGAGACTCGAACTCAGTGCCCATAGTAGCAAACACCAGCCAAAGCGTTATCCACTAGACCACTTGCGCTACATGAGAGCTACCTCTTGTACAACGGATCATATTAATTATTTAATTTAATTTTAGATTTTCCCGTCGACTGACTGGACCGAAGTGCTCGGTCTCAGGTTGACATGTCGGCTTCTTATGCAGACGCTTCGACGATCACCGGGCATGTAATTAGAAGTTAACTGATGGATGGTGCAGTCAACATGTCAACCTGAGACTGAAACATCCGGAACATCTGATATGCTTCTTCTAATAATGTCCAAAATATACAAAAAACATTTGGAAAAGGAGAGAGACACAAGATACATAAGTGTATAAGTATACCTAATCTTACCTTAATACTTTCAAGTCTTTTTCGATTACCGCCAAAGTCATGATCATCATCGTCAGAATGAGGTAAGTTACTGACATCTTCATATTTCGAGACAATTTGTTGAAACCACTGTTGAAATTCATTGACATCTTTTGTAAAGCATTTAGCCAACGGATAAACTTCAGCAAATCTGATTTCCGCTTGACTAAGACGGTTATCAAGTGAGATAATTTGCTTTGAAACACTTGATACAAGATCGCCTAATTCATGATAGAATTTATCTGTTGTAAATGGTACAAAAGATTTGCTTGATTTATGAGATGGTGAGAGATTCTGTGAAGTGACAGCTGTACCACTTGTAATTAGCGCATAACTCGTGGAATTTGTTGACAACTGCATAACATCATAGATTTCATCACAGAGTTTATTTATTTCAACTTGACGTTTTTTCCAATTTTCCTGAAACTGTTCCATTCTTTCATGAAGTTTATCAAGCATATCAGGTTGATATGATAAAACAGCTAGATAAGGGTACTCTGTACCAAGGGAATTCAATGTTGGCATTTGTTCTGGTGGTTCATCAATCATAAAGCTACTTTCATCTAAATAGGCATCCCAATCTAATGAAGGTGTGTCAGATATTTTTGGATCCCAACGTCTCAGTGCTAAATCTAACCATTCAGATTTCGGTTCTAATTTATCCATTAATTGTATTGCTTTTTGTCGATTACTACCAACCATTCTGGCTAAATCTGTCAGCTGAAATAAAGAAGAATATAAGTAATATCAACAATTTAAAAAAAATGAAGGAGAATATATGAAGAGATCATAAAGAAGGACAGTAGTTAGTTATGCATATTAATCATTCTTTCGTCCTTTGGTAAACTTGAATAGAATTACCACAGTTCAAGCATTTATATCTAGGAATAGTTTTATTTGGATTGAAAATGAGACAAAAGAGCTATCACAATGTCAGATAAAGATGGAATAGCATCTTCTGAAGTCAGTTAATACAGCAACAAAAAAATTTAAAAGTGCATGATCACTTTTGCACGTGAACGTCAACAACTTCATCTGTTAAGTCGCCTAAAATAGGAGCAATATCATTCTAAGAAGTCATGACTTGTAATTTACCTAGTATGCTTCATACATGAATTCTCCTTTATAAATCTGAGGAGAGAGGAAGAACAAATATTGGTGCACAACAAAATTATTTAGGTGTTATATGGTTACATCTGCCATCTGTCAACATCTAAGAACAAGGATATTCGAGATAGCTTGATTGCCAACCAGTCTGTTGTGCCAGTTAACTCTATTTGATTTTATTTGAACTAATTCGGAACCTTTATTATAATGAATATCATATACCCAATGCCTAATTTTTTTTTCAAACTGTTGAAAGTGAACTTGGTTTGATTATATATAACTGATCATTCACTCTTGGAGGCCTCTTCATTTGAAGTTATTTATCAAATGGAAAGCATTTTTTTCAAAGGATGTTTGTTTCTAGGTTGTAGATAAAACAAACGCGATCAACCATTGTTTCCCTCACGATCTTAGTTTTGTGTTGATTTCCTCAGGTTTTTCTTTCAGTGTGTTCACCCCTTACTGAACATCCATTCATTTGTGCTTCTATATTTTTTCTCATGGTTGCAAATAATTTACCAAGCATTTCGTTTATATTGTGCAACATATCATTAAAACCTACGAAGCTTTTCACAGTTTTTAATATTCTGATTAATCTTCACTTTTCCCAAAGAGTTTTGAATATTTTCTTAGTAATACAGACGTTTCCACTGTTGGTTATTCAGTTTTGCCTGTTAACAAGCCCAATAAACTACTGTAAATACTAAACACATAGCCAATCACCAAAAGAAAAGTACATGATTACGACCGCACAGCTGAAAAGTGTCTTTTCAAAGAACTATGGAATTGTTATTCTACAGTATAATTTGTAAATTATTTTTCTAATTTTATTCCTTTACGTTTCCAGTGGAACATAGGACTTCAAGCTAGAGGCTTGAGGCTTTGGTAGCAGTGGTGATTATTTTTTTTACAGGATGGAGTTGCTAGCCTCATGCTCAGCCTCTCCTCTTTACCGGTCTTATTACTGGCTTAGCGAGGTAAAGGAGGACATCGGCTGGGGATCGAGCCCCGGACCACCTGCGTAATTGGCGACCACTCTACCGCTGTGCCACCGACGCACACTTATAAAGTATACTTTTCTTATATCATCTTTCTTTCTGTATTCTGTTTCTAAATGTAACAAACAACGTTCATTGTTCTGCATTGTTCACTTACATCTTGTATAATTAATTTTATTGTACTGGTGAGTGTAATGAATCATGATTTCGAACAATTGTGATCAATGTTTGTTTGTGTTCGCTAAAGCGCAAAATGTAGAAACGCTTCTTACAAATGTCATGTCAGATAAATAGGCAACAAGGCTATATCATATTAGAAAAGATCATTTGATATAATACACAGTGATACGGTGTTAATAACTGGGTGGCGTTTTAAGCACAATTTAATGCTCATAATCATATCAACCGATATAGAATATATAGTTAAACTCTACCACAATGCTCAAGTTCTACGCTTACATTGAACAAATCACCATTATTTATTATTAGTAGTATTATTTCATTTTTTGTAAAAACGATGTGTATTTGTTTATCATTGTTTCATTTCAACTAACCTTTCTGTTGAATTCCTCGTATCGTTTTAGTTCATTGTCAATCTGTTCCACATGTCCAAGTTTTTCATCAGAATGACTAGGTAGACATGTTGTCAACGATGATGAGCTAGTAAATAAATCAATAGGCTTACAAATTTGTTTTAATTGATCCCAATAGTCATGAACTTGTTGATATTGTGGTTCTAAAGCGTTGACCATTTCGAATTCCAATTGATCTATTAATGATTTCTGCATCTGGTCAGAATAAATTTCTTTGGCATCACTTTCAAGTAGTGCATCTAAGCGTGATTCTGCTGTTGCCATACGTAAGCTAAGCGTGTTTACAGAAGATGTGAGACACTGGGCTACTGGTAGAGCTGATTCTAGAAGAATCAGTTTTCGTTTAGTATCTGATTTCAATTCTTCATAGATGTCACTTAAATTGATTAGTCGATTTTGAATAGAATCTTCATTTACAAGAACTGTGTTTTCAATGGAAGATGAAAAAGATCCAGTGTAAATTTTGTGAATTGATGACAAAATAAATGATTCTTGAAAAAAAGTATGAAAATAATTTACAATTTCATGCTATGCTTGTCTCAGTCTTTAGTTAGATTTGCAGTGGAAACTGACTGAAAAAGACTGTTGAAAAAACAAGCAAACAAACAACGATATACACCACTGATATTCATCTACAGTTCACGACCATGATCTAAACATCAGATAGTCTGCTGTATTTGCCTAGAGTATAATTCAACAATGGTGTATTCATGGTGACTTCATTTCGCCTGATTTTATCTTCTCTATGATTATTATCAGTAGTATTAGAATTCTTCTTCTCACAGTAATTTCAATTTTTCTCAACAATACCTGTTTTATTTTGTGAGTCTTAATATCACACAACCGGTTCCCTTTATTCGTTTGAACAAAGGAAGAACTAACATTTACAGGATAATATGAGCTCATTTTATTTTCGTAGATTCTTTTTAACAGCGTACATTCTAAACAGTCTCAAAATATAAGTTTCAAAATTTCTGAACATACTTTTCTCCCAGTGACATCGAGTTAGAGACAGAAAGTATAAGCAAGATAATAGTGAAAGCTCTATAAGTAGACAAAAAGACTTACAGTGAATAATTTTTTGTATGTGAAAAAGCTTTGTTCAGAAATTTTGTAACTTATATTTTGATACTGTTTAAGATGTACACAGTTGAATAGAACCCATGAGATAAAATCCGCTCATATTATCCTGCAAATATGTTTGTTTCTTCTTTGTTCAAACTATTAATATCATTTCCATTTTTTAACAACCTTTTCAGTATTTTATCCACTCTAGTTTGAATTAATCTTTTAAGATTACTGAAGTACACACAGTTTCAGATAAACGAAGTACTAGGCATCAATAGGGCAGTTGAGTAACTTACGTCCTCCTGATTTGCATAACTGTTCACCGCTTAATTTTATTTCGTCAATATTTTTCTGATAATTTTCAATTTCCTCTGATAAATTCTGAATGAATAAAAAGAAAAGAAATATACAGATGCGATATATTGAATACAGTGTAGATGAGACACATTAAAATAGCCCACAAGTCATCAAATCAGAAAACCATTATAAACAATTAACAAACAATTAATTATTTAAATACTGTGAATAAAAAATGAAATAAGCTATGGTTAATTGGAAAGTGTATCCAATAAGGAAAATAATAACAATTTAAAAAGCCATCGTCTATCTCTGTTTAGAAATTAATTATGATATAAACAAACTGTGGACTGCGTCATACAGAAAACTTACTTAGTTCTGCTAATTGTTGTTGGGGAGGTTTGAAACTATGTTGACCGTTTGAGCCTTCGAACTGAATAAACTTGGACATGCTTATCATAAACGTGATTCAAGCCAGTGAAATGGGTGTTTTTTAGGGGACAATTCAATCTTCTAGGCCAGATTTATCGATAAACAATATTCAAATACTAGTATACCCCTGTATTACGCATCATAAATTCAACATCAGTGCTGTACAGGCATACCCCCAATTCATCAGTCAATGGAAATATTTACAGTGAGATTTCAAGCTGTCAAACTTTATTCCGAGTAAATTAGCTACTACATTCATTATACTCCTTTAATTGTATACCAATTGATCCACACAATTCTAGGTGTTTAGACATTGATGTTTAATGACATTCATTTATCAGGCAGGAGATATGGTACTTAGGCTAAATCACAGTACACTTTCGTTTACTGTGCTGGGTTGTTATTTTGTATTATACATTATGAAGTATCAGTCTGTAAGGAAACTCTGCGTTACCTAGTATACGTGCCTTTCGGTACTCACCTGCAAAGCGTATCACGGAGGGGATGTGGATTCCTTAAAATGATAAATAAATAAATGATGATACATACACATCAGCACAAAGAAGCACGAAAGCTAGGTCATGAGAAGATTCCTATAGATTGACTGATTGGATTATATGGTAACTGGAAATAACTAATTCCATCAATGGAAAGTTTTTTTGCAGAGCATGCTGATCTCGAAAAAAATGTCCATATCTAATTACCCCGTCACATAAATTATCTTTTGTACTCATCCCGAGTACAATCATTTGTGGATACAATTAGCAAACGGCGAGAAAACAACAACTGTTGGGTGCATTATAGATCCGGCTTGTACTGAATGCCCATATCACTATTCTGATACTTTAAGGATTTTTCCAAGCCTTCCTGATTCATTCTCACATCAATTACCTTATGCATTAACTTCATACAATGTTAAATTCCCCACAATGGAATTGTGAATATGTTAAAGTGAATCTGTTTGTTTTCCGGTCGACCCTAATTAAAGACAACAAGGAAATATGATAAGATAGTGACTGAAGCTGATTAAAAACTCAAACGGCCTCAGGATCCGAGCTAACGAAATCTACGTTACTGGTGTAGTGCCTTATTCAATGAATTATGAGGAGTAAAGTAAAATAATCTCACAAAGGTCTGTACTTTTCTTTTTTAACTCGCTGTGATTAGAACTGTCATGAGATTACTGTTGTAGACGGCTCCTGTGAAAATGTTGAAATGATGGTTTTGTATAATCTATTCATATAATAACTGGATAAAATCTACAGTGATACAAATGATACTGCTGTTTAGTTTATACCTTGGTATTCTAGTTCAGCTTGTTAACTACTGCGCCAATATTCTGGTTTGATTAATTTTCAGCTTGGCTGATGAAAGGAATAATCAGTTAAGAGTGAGAGATCTTGGTTTCGTTATTTATTGTCCTCATCTGCTAACAGCTTGGTGCTTTTTAAGTTTTGAACAAGTATTTGTAAAAAGCACTTTAGGCTAGTAGAATATTTGTAGTAACTTTGGTTTTGATAGTTCGCTTCACACCTAAATATAAAGAGTGAACGTAATAATAGCCGATAAAGAAAGACTTCTCCGTTTTGACTGTCTAATTATTAGACCTCAGAAGTGACCCTAATTGAAGATGCGACTAACCATAGCAACACGGAAAGATGAAGGACATAAGAATCTGGCAAATCGATGCTGTATCAAAAAGTCTCAACAACATATGTAGAAATACTACAAACTTGAGCAGATAGATTATACAGAACTTTGCGAAGTGCACAATTCGCTTTAGAAAAAATTAATTCATGTCCTCTAGTATGTAAGTATATATAGGCTGAGAAATAGATGTACATTTAACAAATAAATAGTTACTTTTGCGAAGAAGTTATCTTCTAACGTCAATAATCATGTCCACAATACAAAAGGCTTTAGTCAACAAGTTAAGCTTACTTTCAATTTCTTTAGTTCTTGACCAAGATCCGATAGGATTGTTGTATTTCCAGGCGTTGTTTTGGTCACTTGTATTGTTGAAGGCGTAGTTAGATAATCTTGTTTCTGTTTTATCCACTTTGATATTTCATGCATTCGTTGATTAAATAATTTCTCACTTTCATTAGCCAACCGAAACTTATTCAAATTGAACTGTATCTCTTTATGCACAGAATCATAATCAGTTTTCAGCAGGTCTTTTTCAGAATTCAATATATTCTGACGTGACACATTATTAACAGATTGAATTAATTTATCTAGTTGTTCAAAACTATCATTTCTGGCTAGTATACGACTATTCAGTGTGTAATAACCATCGAGTAGTGAGGTAAGCACATCTTGATCTACTGAAAACAGATCTGATTTTGAATGGCTAGAGAGTATGTGAAGATCATGTTGAACCTGAAGGTAAAAAATCGTTGTTTAGTTTAAGTAATATGTGGAAATATCATATTACACAATGGCATATTATGGACAGAATCTGTGCTTGACAAAAGTTTTCTCATGATCGTCACTTATAGGGAGGATGTATTTATAAATTTGAGATTCAATCCTACATAGAGATTTTACCAGTGATCTGTTTAGAAAAACATGATAACCAGTGCGTCGACTGACTTGCGTTGTAACAACAGAAAGCAGGATACGGAAGCCAAGGTATCTTCTTCACTAATCTAATCGCTGTTTATATATATATATATATATATATATATTCGTTTATATTCGTTAACCAATCACTGAGCGTGTGATTTTGGTTTACATTAAAAGATATAAACTAGAACGTATTCTGTTGCTATTGCCTTTCACCTTTTAGGGAATTATAAACATACAATCATGGTAGGGTAAGGAAATTTAATTGAGAATTGACAAAGTCAGAAATTACAGGTCACTGGATTCCGGCTCAAATGACTTAACGTATAACGAGCTTTTCCTCATAACTTGATGATCCCAGGTCCCATCCGTGGAGCAGTTGTGGGGTTACATTGTTGAAGAATCCCAAACTAGGATGAAACGACCATCTAGAGCTCCCCGATTTTCAATGATTCTCTAAATGATGCTGATTCGTGACGACGTCTACATTGAGATTAAGAAGAGTTTAAATGAAAATCATCAGGCAAACATTCTTCCCTAAAAGTTTGTGTTACCTTTCATTTCTCAATGATTGCTTGTAACACTGTCCCCACTCGTTTTCTAAAACTTAGCATACATGAAGCAGATTCAAAACTTGTCTTCCGACAAGAATTCATACTGTAGACGGTATGTTCTTGTCTTTGACAATTCTATCTGTTTTCAAAATAGTAACAGTTTTATTTATGTTTCATAAGTGCCAAATTTTAGCACGCAATACAACCAGCAAAACATTATTTTGCAGGCATACAAAATTTATGAGAATGCACCGTTTTAATCTCATGACAATTGCGAAGTCAGTGACTGGTCAAAGAGTAGGATTGAAAGTTAGAAGGCAGAAGAATCTAAAATCTAAAGTGAGGCAATTGTTCATTTTCTTTTTGAGTTTTTAAAGTTTATAAGTTGAATTAGTCCATAGGACAGAAAAATAAGAAGACAGAAAACGGAAAAATCAAGTTGTGAAAACAAAGACCAACAAATCATTATACTTTTTAGAACATACCTCAATGAGAGTATCACGTAAATGTGATATAAGCCTTTCAGCTTGTTTATCAGGCGCTACAACAGACGATGGACTGGCCAATTCATCACGAATTATATTCTCTATTGATTTGATTTCATACTCCAATTGATGTGAACTGATCTGACTGTCCAATGATTTATCTCCTGGTTTACAAAGTTCTTCACTCAACTGTTTCAATGATTGGACATCAGCATTCAGTTCATCTAGTTCTGTTTGACTGAATCTAAGGGAAATTAAAGCACAACATCATCAAAGCTAACAAAATGAAATCTGCTTGCCGAAATAAACTGATCGTTAGTGGTATCGGTTCCTTAAACACATTTCAACACAACCTCCAGTTTATTAGTCAAAGGAGAAAACTGGACTCTCGGAAATACGACCAGATCTGCACATATGGTTCTTCTGAGAGACTTTTTAAGGTAGATTCTATTGGAAAGATCCTAAATACCATCAGTGCATACCTATGCAGAATAATCTTGATTAAAAAAAATTAAAATTGATTCTTATGTGTCGGAGCATTGGAAAAAACTTATTAGTTTTACAAGGACTATATTGGTAATTTTTTTTTCACCATCAGAATGTATTTACTCAATGTTCTTTGTTGGCTTATTTGACTGATGTCAGTTTATTAGGTGAGATGTTTTGGAATCTGTTTAAAATCTCCGTTTTATTAAATCAAAATGCAATTTTAAAAGTGTTTGCACTTTTGTTTCTATTATTATTATTTTACTAATTAGACACGGATACCCTCCTATAGTTACTCAATGCGCATGCATTCAAATAAATATTTACAGCTTAACGCGATATGTATGCCTCACTTCAACTTGTAAGTAATAAGAATAATAGTTAATAATATTTAATCTGAGAGGCTGTAATAAAATATGTTGTGTTCTTGTAAAACAAAACAACCTAGTGGCATCAATTAAATGAATACTTAGAAAGAAACTGCCTAGCTTACTTTTTGTCTGGATATTGTTGACGAGATTCTCTAACTTTTTTCAATGAGCTACTGACATTTTGACGAAGTGTTGCCAATTGTTCAGTTTGTTTAACTCGACTATTCAGTGCAGCGATTAGCTGATTGATTTGTTTCTCCACATTATTACACTGAAGATTATACTGATTTAGAGTAGTTGAGAAGTTTGCATAGATTGGGCTTAGCTTCTTTTCATCGGGTAATGATGTCATTTTACCAGTTAATTCAATACGAGCATCATTTAGATTTAATTTACAATCGCTAAGCTATAGAAGACATTGAATAGAAAATCATTTCGAGTAAAACAATAATTTTAAATAAGTGTGAATAATATGAAGATTTATAAAATGAAGTAGTTTATTTAGGTTGTGCGTCGGTGGTACAGTGGTTAGGACTCTCGCCGACCATGCACATGGTCCGAGGTTCGATCCTCTGCCGACGCACACCTGATATCTATGGTCAGCCTGCAAAATTCGGGCAACCGATATTCATTCTGAAAATTCCATACTTGTACCAAAAATACAGTGTGGAATCAAGCTGCAATCAAAAATAAAATAAATAAAAAAATTTATCATTCACTGTAACTCTACATTATTCATTGAAATAAATTAGCAAGCTGTTGACAAATATAAATACTGAAGAGGAGTTGATTTGTATTAGTCAAGAATTATTTAACAATACGTACATACTTCTTGATTCTTAAGCATACTGTATAACACCTTTAACCTTTAGTTTACGTCCACACTGTATTTACAACTCATCCACTTGTTCAGGATATGTCTGATACTTAATGATTTTAGTCGACTAGTCATGTAGGTCATTTCAGTAGTAGAATACTTTTCGACATAATCAACCATAAGACAGAAGGAGGACCAAAGGAACCGAATAGTTGCAGAGAGTTTTAATCCAAAACTATGTATCAGCTTAATTGGACCGATGATTAATATGCTAAGCCTTGGACGAACAATAACATCTTATTGAAATCAGTCTAGATTTTTTCATATTTGATATCAACATATGCTACTCTCTCATTTAGTTTCCTTTTCTAAACTAATTGTTTAAGTGTATCACATCAAAACTTTATAGCCAGGCCCTCAAACCTCAGAATATATGCAAGTCATCGAACATTTTTTCTACTATAAGATGGATGATCACATCTATAATAACTTCAAGTCTACTTTTTCTAGAAGTGAATTCTTATTTTAGAATGAACTGTTTTATATTATGGACAGTTTAATCGAGTTGAATATTCCTAATATACGTTGTTATAGAAAAATAAGCAAGGAGGTATAGACTGCCTAGGTTGTAGACCTTAGAAGGCTAAGATCCAAAGGTTGGAGACTATTGGTAATATAGCTCAAAATTGTTTACAATGACTCAGGAAACAAAACAAGTAAAACATCTCACCTGTTTTAATAATTCTTCAAAATATCCTATTCGTTGTTTTGTTGTCTCTGAATTTAAATTAGCTATCTTCTCATTTTCATTTACATTCGATTGAATATTTTGTAACTCAGCAAATATGAAGTTCAATTTTTTAATAAAATGAATCGAGAACTGATCCATATCCTTGACATGAAACATTTCAAAATTCATTTCCAAGGCTTGTCCAATGGTTTCCAGTCTTTTCGTTGTTAATTGAAGATCGTCTAGAAGCTTACTAATTGATTGTTGTGGTTTTCGATCACCAACTGATTGAAGTAACGATTCCAACTGATTTAATTCATGCGTTAAAGTTACATTTGAATTTTGATTAGAAGCCGTATAGTTAGTCAGTTCTAATAATTCAGCTTGTAGTTCAATCATTTGACTGCGTATTTGTTTTAACTGATTAGATGGTCTCGTAAGAGTTGGGGAAGATGGTGGAGATATAGATGATGCTGCTTTTAATAAGTCTTTTGCTTCCATACTGGATAAGACTTGTTGTAGATTTAACCATCGAGTTTCAAGATCATCACACGACTGTTTATAAGTGTCGATTTCATTTTGGGCAACAGAATAAGCCTTCTGAATCTTATCGATTTGAGACTTGAAAGAAAAAAGAGAAAGGAAGTGGAAGATGAAGTAAATAATAGTGAAAACTCTTATGGAAATGTGAAATTTTGTGAGGAAAGGTGGTAAATTCATGCTATGTCTCTTCGGTGTAAGTAGGATAAAATCCTCCTCTTCTTGGAGGGATATTAAAGTGTTCCTGTGCCTAAATCATCAAGTGAACGAATTGTTAAGTTTAGACCTATTGCTATTACTTCACTTTTTCTAAACAATGGAAAAACTGTTTTTACTTAAACTTGAACTTTCATTTAAGGCTTTTAACGACCCTGATCAATATGTTTATAAACATAGTAAGTTTACTTTAGATGCCACTGTCGTCTTATGTCATAATATTGTCTCTAATTAAGATAGTGGTGTAAAATATGTATGGAGTATGGGCGTATACCAAAAAAGAAACACTAAGATAACCAACTGCAAGTCCAACTAAAAGAAAATGTTTGCTACTATACAACAAACATTTCATTCTTTCAATGAAAAAGAATGTAATCAAATAACTGATATATTGATTGATATCTTACGGCCTCTTTTATAACAAAAGTGATGTGAAAGTAGATACTTGCATTTTTACCTCAAAATAGCTCCCTGTATAATGTTAGACTTTTATGCACACATATAATTTTGAACAGCGAGGTTTTCAAATAGTCCGACAGTGTAGCGACAGGAGCACTACTAGGCTAACCAACCACACATCTAGAATGTAGTCAGTTCTCTATACTAACTATAAGAGTTTTTTTCTAGATAAACAAAATATTTCATGTACAAGTTCTTTGACACCTAAAAACCACCATAATAAGGACAGTGCAATAGAACTACATTTAACAAAAAACTTACTAGTTTTTTATTAACGTCACTTTGAAGTTTGTCCAACTTAATCTGTAGAAGATTTGCGGTATTAAGCAACTTCTTTTGTTGACTCTCGTCGAGTGCTGATTCACTATCTTTTGATTTTTGAATGTTATTCAATTTTTCAGTTGACGAGTTCAATTCATTTTGTTTAACACGAATTAGTTGTAAAAGATTTTGTAATTTTTCTTGTTGTATTTGGCATGGATGTGGTTTCTCTTCTAAATAGTTTCCGTCTGTTGCGAAGGGTTCGTTTAGAATTTGAATCGCTTCAGTGTTTATCCATGTCTGAAAAAAAGTTTTAAACTTATTAACACCTGAAAATTAAAATCAGGTGGATATTAAAACAACCCATTGGGAGATTAATCACTAATAACTCAGTCAGATTGACAACTTCTTTTGTTAATTGCTTTGCACACTTTAAACAGGCTAAGTTGATGCTGTGTATACGTCGTTTTGATGATTAACGTTTCTACTTGAGTGCTACAATTCCTTTACATAAAGAATGCTGTAAACTTATAACCTAAGACAGGAGACGAGTGAAAACTGAATACCACTGGTTAACCTCAACGTGGTCCAACAGTCTTTACCGATGATCACTACAGACCCCAGAACCATCAGGCTGAAAGGCTACGACATCTCCATTTAACTACTGCGTTGAAATCTGATGACGCATGTTTTCCACATACTACAATAGACGGTTTAAAACCGAGTCCACCATTACCATGACTATTAGAAAATAGCAAATAAACAATATGTATATGTATGTACATCTGAGAGTTGTTCACTCCCTCCAAAAACTCACAACAGTTTATCTGGATTAGTATGCCAAGCATTTGTATCAGTTTGTAAATTCTTGTATTCTACCCATCCCACCTTTACTGCTCTCCATTAATCTTTCCTGGACTACTTAAGAAAGACTTTGCTTCGCTGAGAAGGGCACTAAAAGCCGTTCGTAGGGCAAGTGGGATATCGTTAAACCAACTGGTTAACACTATTGTAGATAGACATATTATATCATGTAAGAAACTAGCGAATACAATATTGTCAGACCCCGAGCATCCTCTCTACACGCAGCTGTCCCCTTGCATTTCATCTGGTAGAACTGGAAGCAGCTATAGGCGGCTATATGCTAGGACTACAAAGTACAAAACTCCACAATACCATATCTGGCACAGCTGTTATGTGATGAGAAATCCGTTAGGTATAACACGATAAACTTACTGCGGCACTCTAACAAATAGTCCCATTAGTTTTTGTTTTCCTTTCCTCGTTACTATTACACTGTTGTTCTCATCTTCTATAACACATCAGCTTTATATTTCATATCCTGTGGTGCTTTGTTTGAAATGTAAACTCTACGCTGTTTGTTTTTTATATTTTTATTTATCTTTTATTTTTCTGGCGTTGGTTTATTTCATTTATTTATTTTTTTGATTTTAAAAATCTTATATAATTTATGAGGTAATTAGATGCAGTATACTGTAATGCACGCTAAAAATTCCATACCTGTACCACAAATGCCGTTTGGAATAAAGCTGTTATTATTATTATTATTAAAAAAACTTACGTAAGGGAATATTCAGCTTAGGAAAGGCTTTAACAAGCACGTAATCAGGCAAGTGGAAAAGGTAGTATGGATATTCACACGAAAATCACCAATTTCCAAACCGCTCTCAGTGTTGTTGAACTTTACTTTAAGTAATGTCGCATGAGACGCTAACCCTAGACCTTTCTAGTCACAGGTATTCATTATTATTTCAGATAAGTTATATATAAAATGAATAAATGTCTAATAATATTGTTATCACATCAAATTAACTAGAAATCAGATTCACATTTCACAGTTGGAGCTTTCAGTCGCATCTTTGGAAATCGTTACATTATATGTTAAATTACCTTCTACTATTTCATACTACTAAAATGATGATGATAATACGCATAGTAATCAATAGTATAAAAACAGTTATACGGAGCGAATGGGATGTTGTAATTAGAAAACATAACTAGTAAATGAAGCCTATATATTGAAAACAATGATAATTTAATACCCTTATTTTTATATTTTCGTTGAAGATACTTGTAAATCATGCTTTAATTTGACTATCTGGGAGACTGTAGCAGCCACTAACTATATTTCGTTAACAAGTTATCATTAAAACAATAAATTAAAATTGATAACAGTAGTCTTCGATTGACTGACTAGGCTGACATGTTATAGCCGCCTGACTTACAACCAGCAGGTTATAGACTGGGACTTTACACAACCGACTGAAATTTTCACACCCCTATATCCCCCATACAACACATCGAACAAATGTTAATAGGATTTCTGAATTAGTGATTTCAACAGTCATGAAAATACAGGCCATTTTATAATCAGAGAATATATGAAGCCTTACTTCTAATTGCTCTAACTGTTCAGATAACAGAAAGGCTTCACTTATTCTTGACTTTAGTTGTTTCTGTTGTTCAGTTAAAGCCTTTTGTAGTAAATTCATTTGATTCATGCATGAATCTATAGATTTAATATGAGTTGGTGTAAGCGACTCGTCCAATTGAACACTATCTTGTAAATCCTTCAGTTCCCTTTGTTTTATCTTTAATTCTTCTGACATTGACTGTAAAATGAGAAAGAAAAAGAATCGTAACAAGGCAGGAGAGATCGTTAGGGGAAAAATTGAGATAAATAAAAATCCCCCGAATCACACCCATGATGGCATATAAGCAAACGATGACTTTCATAATAGGAATATATCTGGGAATTTAGCATATTTTACGTTAAACTACATGGGTAGACCTTGGTAAAGCAGATAGTTGCTAGTATATGCGGATGATAAATGAAGTTGACAGTAGCTCCGGAGCTACTGATTAAGTTGGAAGGTTAAGAAAGTCTCAGTTTCATCTAAACTTTCTGAACCCTCATGCCACTGCATTGTGAATGCATTGTCTGTTACTGTGCTTTCATTATCGTGGCGACTAACCAGTCCGGGTTTTTTTAGTTCAAATCTTGAATACACCGTATTCAAAGACTAGTCTTAATACACTGTAAGAAATCGAAACGTGACCAGTCGAATTTAAATGCAAAATCAGCAAAGGCTGAAAGTTCAAAGTCATTTAGAGGGTCCTTGGTGGTGACTGCTAGATATCAGTTTCTCTCAATATACCACCACTAATAAATTAATTTATTACAAGGAATGAAAGTGTCAACTAAAACTTACTTCTAGGTTTTGTAATTCAGATTCAATCTGTTTTCTTTCCGGTATTTGTATGCGCGATCCTCCAGAATCTAGTACATCATGAGATATATCTTGTAGTTGTGTATTTTTAAGTGACAACCACTGATTCAAATTTTCTAGCTGATTTGATCGATCACTTTCAGATGTTGCTGGTGGTGTTGTAGGACCGTGTATCTGTTCACCTTCACGTTTATGACACTCATAAACTAGGTGCTCATATGTATTTTGAAGATCCAAAAGCTAGAATTATTGTTAAAGATAGAATGTAAATAAAGAACATGGCGTTTTGTAAGTAGAAAGTGATAAATGTTATGACTAGATTTCAAGCAGTTAGATATAATACTTATTTATTATGAGTGTTCGACCCACAAATTGACACAACTATTTTTAAGCCTAAGTTTGAAATTCAATAAATAATATTTACACAAAGTTCATTAAATCTAAAAACGCATTTAGATTAGCCAACATTGTGATACTGACTGACCGATTGAATCTTAAACTTAGAACTTAGCAAAGAAGTGCAATAATTCGAGCTGTTGTACTTCAGGAAAGCACACATAAAAGTAGACAGAAGTATTGCAAGGACACTATAATAAACATGAAAATACAGGAGAAAGAATAATTACATGAAGAATAATGTGAACTTAATGAATCTGGAAGATGACAAGGAGCGAGTGCATCTGCACCATTATATGCGATTTTGAATCATACTACCAATAGTTTCCAGCCATCGATTCATAGAATCTCGAGCATGCCCCGGGCAGGTAGGCTACATCTACCAACGTGGCTCAAAGCAACAGTTTAAGATCAAATGAATCTATGTTATGCTTCTGTTTAGCCGACCGAAACCAATAGGATATAACCTAACATTGCTGGTCGAGTTGGCAATTGTAAAAGATAGGTTTGCTTTGACGTGTAAAATAAAGGATGTTCAGTACTACATTTAAATCTTGGACAAAACGAAACTCTAATCGCAACTTCATGTTTTAAGCACACATTAAAATGCTAATGAGTTAGTAAAATGAAACTCACACAGTTATATATGAGGAATATATCTGAAGGAAGATCAGTGCAATCTTCCTACCGAAAAAAATGATGACTAAACACTAATCTAACTGATTATTATTTTATTCAGTGATTACAAAGTGACACAACTACAGGTAAAACCATAGCGCTTATATTATAACTACAGACCGAAAAGGACTCGATGATAACTATCAGTGTTATTTCATTGACAGTTATTATCGATGTGGTATTTAGAATAAAAACATTATTTTAACTTGCTAGTTTTATAAAGACAGAGAAACGTATAAACATTTGAAATACATGATAAGTTGATGTATTTCACTTTAACTAGTGTTTTCTAGTGATTTTTAAGCTGGAACACTGAAATCGCTTCTTTCCGTCGAAATCATGCCTGAAATTTGCTTTCTTCCCACACAAATTTGTACCTATAATTGAAATATGCACCAGCTGAGTTTCGAATCATTATTTTCAAACTCCATTTATTATTATTAATCCATTGGGCTCCTCCAAGGGTGAGGAGGAGCGTATATCAAACTAATTTCAATTTCCATTGGCATATCTGCTGGGCGATAGGTTCTTGGTTAGATTACTGGAAATAATTAAACAACTTTATCCTACATTACTACTGTTATAATCCCGACCGAAAGCTGCTACCTTGATGTGGTGGTCGGGCTTGAACACCGCAATTACCCAACAAGCTATACTGGCTGAGACTTATGTCTCTTGAGGTCCTACCATGCCAGAAAGGTTGTTTGGATAGCGGTTAGACAAAAAGCAGTTACCCAATCCAATACTATGATTCAAACAAACTCACAAAATATCGTGCCAGATCGGTCGGGGCCCGGATTAATAACGACCGCGCTTCCTGCTACCGTGTCACAGGGTAGAAGTGATAAATATGCTACTGAGACACACCAAACAAAAGAGAACAAACAAAAACAGGCCGCATGTGACCGGCCTCAAGCAGTTGTCCCCTGGGCTCTGCGGTCATGCAACCAACTTCCACGGTGTGGGCAACCGGAAAGTAACAATCGCCCTCACAATCCGAAATGCACACGAAACCTCTCTATTACTCACTCATCTTCGTCTTCATCTTCACCTCTATTATCTTGCCTTCCTTCCACTGTTTCAACTCCTCTACTTGGTGGCTCTTCACTCTGTGTCCGCTAAAAACGACGGAAGCCGAAAAACCACCACCGATAGTCTCCAAAAGCCACGCCACCAATTTCATATAGGAGCATTTAATGTTAGGACACTGTGCCAAATAGGACAACATGCATCACTAGCCAAGACCCTGGCATTCCGAGCCATTGATGTATGTTGTGTTTGAGAAACACGCATACAAGACCCAAGTGTGGTTATTCACCTAACCCCACCTGGCCAACAGGATGAATCTGCAAAATTCACCTTGAGGGTGTCAGGAGATGCCACAGCTAGTTCACGAGGATTAGCTGGTGTAGGGATAGCTTTGAGTACTAGGACAGAAAAGACATTACTTGACTGGATCCCGATAGACAGCGAATGTGTGCTGTCCGTCTGAACGGATCAGTAAAAAGGAGAAAGGACTGCACTACTCGCCGATGCATTTTCGTAATCTCCGCCTACACCCCCAGTGACCTCAGTTCGGTTGAAATGAAGGATGAGAGGCTGTCTAGTTTGCTGCGAAAGGCTAAACGCTCAGATATAGTCGTTCTAGCTGGTGACTTTGATGCTCAAGTAGGGAAATTGTGTCAATCTGAGAAGGATGTCGGTGGCGCCTATGGAGTTCCATGCCAGCGAACCGACAACGGTGACCGCCTCCTACAGTTCTGTTGAGATAGTCATTTGTTTCGTGTAAGCACTAACTTCAAACACAAGGAGAGACACTGTTTGACCTGGTGACCCCAATCATCAAACCAACGCTGGGCACAAATAGACCACATAGCGATAGGATATCGTTGGCAAGGGTCAGTAGAAGACTATCGCTCCTTCTGGACCACGTGCGTAGACTCTGATCACGCTCTGGTTCGCTCACGTTTATGCTTAAAACTAATTGGACATAAGAAATTGACGGCAGCGAAACAGTTACGTCCCCAACTAGAGAGAGACACTGAGTCCTTATTTAAGGAAGAAATTGCGAGACGAGTTTCGACAGCACGACTTCCCCTGAGGTAGCCTGGCACAACATACAGCTAGCTGTAGACACAGCTTTGAAATCTGCTAACAACCTAAAACTAAAAGTTAGTAAGAGCCATTGGATCTCTACCACCTCATCCGAACCTATTGACGCAAGAAGACTGATTCCAGCGAGCTCCAATTATGATGAGGAGCGAAAGATACTCAAACGAAAACTTACAAAAAGTCTTCGCAACGACCGTGAACAGTGGTGGGCGACAAAAGCGAAAGAGATAGAAAAGGCATCGGAGATTGGCAACACCAGACAACTATTTAGGCCTATCATGGAAACAGGTGGTAAAAGGCAAATGATAAGTGAAACAATCTCTGAGAAGAATGGCACCATAATTAGCTCCCAGTGTGGTGAGAGCAGGCTGCTAGCCGATTGGTTGGCACTAATCTACGTTAAGGTCTAGGTCACTAATATGGGCCGTGAGAAAATATGAACAAGCCTGAGTCAACAACCAATCACAGCAAAGTTAACGTGGCAAAATATGATTCGCAGAGAGAACTCTATTTGTCAAGGAATCCCGAAACAACCAATCAGAAGCCTGCGTTTGTCTACCTAAACAACCAATCAGATGACTGCGCTTGTCTATAATAATGTAGTTGAAAGATGTATAAATACGTGTTGATTTTCATAATAAAACGATCTGTTGCCTGGCCCTTGTCTTCTGTTGTTACATTTGGTGTCGCTGCCTACCGACAAATGGAAAGCCTATGCCCTGCTGTTTTCGATGGAGACATATGGATCTTCGGGCAGGACTTCAAGGCTTCTGCGCAGTTGAGTGGCGTTCAAGATCTGTCAGCGATGGAGCTGCTACTTGGGACGCTGCTGGGAGGTCGGGTGAAAGCAGCATATGAAAGTGTGAGCCGAAGTATGGACGAATGTTCGACAGGGTCAGGCAAACAGTTTCCAAAGTGGGAAGGGCCATATATGGTCACTTCGAGATGGGGTTACGCAGACACAGTCGCAATAGCGAACAATGAGAGGCGCGTGAACGTCAGCGAGCTCCAGAAATGGATACAGCGAGACAAGCCAACGATGACGCCTGCACCAAGTAGATCAAGCCGACTTCAGTCGCACGTAATTGACGGGGGGACGAGTGTGGTGAGAGCAGGCTGCTAGCCGATTGGTTGGCACTAATCTACGTTAAGGTCTAGGTCACTAATATGGGCCGTGAGAAAATATGAACAAGCCTGAGTCAACAACCAATCACAGCAAAGTTAACGTGGCAAAATATGATTCGCAGAGAGAACTCTATTTGTCAAGGAATCCCGAAACAACCAATCAGAAGCCTGCGTTTGTCTACCTAAACAACCAATCAGATGACTGCGCTTGTCTATAATAATGTAGTTGAAAGATGTATAAATACGTGTTGATTTTCATAATAAAACGATCTGTTGCCTGGCCCTTGTCTTCTGTTGTTACACCAGTATAGACGACTGGAACGCTGGAAAGAGCACTATGAAGAGCAGCTTAATTGGCCCACAGCCACGCTCAACCTGCCGAACATCCAACACCTCCCTGAATCGGACATAGACACAGGTACCCCTTCCTTAACTGAGGTTACTAAAGCAGTCACCAATCTGAAACAAGGCAAAGCAACAGGACCTGATGGAATGACTCTAGAGGTATTTAAGTATGGTGGAGACAGTTTACTGTCTGCATTAACTGAAGTACTAGGCAACGTCTGGGAATCAGAGGAAGTCCCGTCGGATTGGTGTAAGTCACTGATTATCCCCATACACAAGAAGGGAGAGACGTCTTCCTGTGATAATCACAGAGGGATTAGCTTGACTAATATTGTATCTAAAGTCCTAGGCTCAACAATATTGTGTAGACTAAGTGGTGCTCGGGAGGCACAAACACGAGAGAGCCAGGCAGGCTTTAGACCAGAAAGAGGGTGTATTGATCATATCTTCACCCTCCGACAGATTCTAGAACATAGGGATTCCTACCGGCGTCCAACAATCATTATATTTCTTGACCTATAGGCGTCATTTGATTCTCTCGACCGAGAGGTTCTCTGGCGATGCTTGGCTGTAAAGGGAATTCCGAGAAAATACATTGCACTGATTAAAGCAATCTACTCGAACTCAAGCAGCCAGGTGAGGGCTTACGGCGAGTTGTCATCTGAACTGGTGACAACTAGTGGTGTCCGTCAGGGATGCCCATTATCCCCATTCATATTCAACTTCATCATAGATGTACTGATGGACTTAACCCTAACTCACTTCAGAGACTCATGGATTGACTTGCTACCGGGGAATAATCTCGTTGACTTAGAATATGCAGACGATATAGTCCTACTAGGCGAAGACGCTGACAAAATGCAGAGTCTTCTGAACACCTGGAGCCGCAATCTACGAATGTTTAGAATGCGATTCGCTCCCGCCAAATGTAAGATGATGTTACAGGACTGGGCGACACTGACTCCTAGTTTAGAAATAGGAAGTGAAGTGGTAGAGCACGTTGACCGCTTCACTTATTTGGGAAGTACCATCAGCCAGTGCCAACGGGTTGATCTCTGACGAAATCTCAGCTGGGTACGGATACGGAGGGCTAGTTTCGCATATGTCAGTTTACGCCGTGTCTGGCGTAGACGCGATATCCGGCTATCGACCAAAGGGCGTGTGTACTGCCCATCAGTCCGCTCCGTCCTCCTTTATGGCTGTGAGACCTGGCCACTGAGAGTGGAAGACATGAAAAGACTAGCTATCTTTGAACATAGGTGCCTGCGCTCTATCTCCCGTGTGAAGTGGTATAATAAGTTCCTTATAGATAAGATTTTATTTTGATAAATCGCACAGTGTTTACAGTTACATGAACTGATAATAATATAAGGTGAGTGATATTGAGGTTAGGCATTGATCGAGTGCTAGGTAAGGAGGGGAAATCAATCGACGAGGCTGTGAAGCTACATCGGCTGAGATGGTTAGGACATGTGTTACGTATGTCTAGTCATCGCCTCCCTCGACCGACGGGCAATGTTAGCTGACATAGGATTGGTCAGGCTGGAAAAGAGCTAGCGGCTGTCAGACCAAAACATGGCAGTCGTCAATGAAATGTACAACAGTTAATCTAAGCCACGTAGGAAGGTGTAGACTTCTTGGTTGGTTGGGGTCTTTGGGACGGTAAAAACCAGTGGTTGGAAACAATTGGTGATATGGCTCAAAGTCGTTCTCAAAGGCCCAAATGCATTCACTCCCTGTGACTTATGATTTCCAATGAAACTATATTCTTCTTCGTCATTACTATTCCTTTGCCTCACTCCTCTGTTTACTGTCTCTATTATGCATTTCTTCTACTTTCTTCTCTTGCTTTGTGTGCTACATGGAGTGTGGCGACTCGAACTGTCACACATCGGTGCAAAGTTCTATGTTGAAACAGACAGACAGAGACTGTTATAAGCTCATATTCATCACTGGCACGAAGAAATATACTCACCTTAGTCTTCATATTGTACTGGTCACTTGGATTCGCAGAATGTTCACACAACTCTTTGCACAACTGCTGAGCTTGTTCCAAAACTGGTTTCATTTCTTCTATCTTCTTATTTGTCTCATTCATATCAACTGTTTTCTTGTCAGGTTCTATTTCAAGGCTAGTGAAATTGAAATTAGTAAAATCAAATTTAATTTGGCAGTAGTGAGAAATAACCTACATTTCCTGAAAATATAACAGTAGTAATAATAATAATAACGATTCCAAAGAAAGACTAATTGATTCTTTATGCTACACAAAATGAATTTGCGCGTTCCAACATTATAAAAAATGGTAAATTAGAATAATCAAAGTACGGCCAAAAAGCTGAAATAACTTCTCCAGTGAGCGGTATCAACGGTCATTAACAGTGGACAGTTGAAGCTAGTAAAAGCTTTATGAGGGTTCTATTCTATCTATTAAAGTAAACTGTCAACTTAATGCCGATTAAAAAAAACTGAGCATGTTGAATTCTATAGTAATTTATCAAGTAAAACATCCATAATTTGTCACAAGAAGAATTAATATCTCGTATTTTCATAAGCTGTGATGTTGCAATAGGAGAAGGAATTAAATTCTTAACTTGTTAATCTGAAACTACGGATACAAAGTACTACAAATCAGTATGTAAAGGTTAGACAATCAGTAATTATCCCCGAGGAAATAATGGTAAGGAAGAGGAATGATTCAGTATGCAGACCAGCAATTAACAATAAAGCTCCTAAGTGATGGTAGACTTCTGTTGTACAAGAGACTAGATGCTTTACTTCAAAATGAAAGGAGACTTCCTCAAGACTAGAAATACGATTAGTCGACTGGTGTTCCAAGTTTCACTTTTGTCATTCTTAAAACTTTATTTGATAACAATTCACAGTCCTCAGTTTGTAGTGGAAATAAGTGCAAATCTCGTAAACAGTATGTCTTGATCAACATAATAATCATTATTTATAAGATAATAAGTCTAAGAAATTTTTCACTTACTCTTCAACATCTCTCTTGATGATTTCCATTTGTGAGGCTAATTTTTGAACCAATTGTGCATACTGATTGCTGGGATCAATTGTTGTCTTAGCTTCATTTTCCCATTTTGACAACTCTCCAACTACTTGATTGAATTCGCTACGAACACGTTCATTTGTATTGTTTATGCCTAGCTGATTTATTAAAGATTCAGGCAGGGAATTTTCTAAACTTTGTACTAAACGATTAAATTTATTTAATTCCGGGACAATAGCATCCAATTCTTGTCGACATTCTTGTATCTAAATGAAGTAAAAGAAGATTATTTGTTTTTCTGATTACGTTTATTGTAGGAAATACAAATACACAAGTATATATATATATATATAATTTATTAAGCTGTACTAGAAACCTAATTTAGACTTACTAATCCTCCGACGTTGTAGATGAAAGCGGTGTATCTGGGATGTGCTTCCCCGTTTATAACTTTTTAGTAAGATGCTGTTGTTTCTGGTTTTTCCCCTGGTTAGACTTATACAGAGCTCACACTATTTTAAATACATTTAAAAAAAATTGTATTAACTTCGACGAAGCCTCGCAAATCTGACCATATCTCTCATCCAAATAAGTGAAAAGTCTTAATATCTAGTCATCTTTGTAAACATGCTCATAGTAAGTTTGAACCACTGCAGTATATAGTTAAAGAGACACTCCATAACTAATCTGTTATTCTACGTAAAAGTGTATCCGCCGCATAACTGTCCATTACTGTATCGATAAGAAAATGTCGAATTTTATAGTTGTAAGGACCTGAGGAGAAATTATTGAAAAGAATATTCTTTGTTCAGATTGACTTTTAAGACATAATAATGTTTAGTGCTATTCTTTTGATAAAGCAGACTGAGTAGCCTCTGTTGGCGTTAGGATCTCCTACACATTGTTCGACATTATACAAACATACATAACTACAATTAAAACTACAAACTTGTTTATAAACAAACTAAAGCGGCTACAGTAAACAGCGGAACCCATAAAACATAATAACTCCGTTTATTTAGTACCATGAGATAAGTGTGGAGTCAAAAACAAAAGTCAGAGTTATAGAATAGTATGAATTTGACTAACAAAGCACGAAAGAGATGTAGAGAAAAGCTCAGCTATAGCGTTTCATGCATTTACATACAACCATAAAATATGATTTGACGAAATGACCGTGTTAAAATTGAACAAAGCAGATGAGAGGGAGAGATCGATGATTAAAGCTTTGTTTATCGAATTAACTGAGGGTGACTCAACACCTGTGCTGGAAAGTTTCACTACCCTTATGAGAAATGGGAAAGAAGAACGAGAAATACAAAAACTAATTTAAAGGTTATGGTGTTGCTATTGTTGTGATTATGAAGAATGAACTGTGTTCAGAATGTCAACCCGTACATAACATTGTTTCACTGACTGATATACCTAATAAACAAATTAATGTGGGAAATTACTTAAGACGTTAAAAATGTACACAAATAATATCACTTACTTTTTCCAAGTGACTTTCACTCCCCATTGTAGAATCTGTTAAACACTTTTCATGTACACCGTGGACTTGATTAACCTTTTTTCGTAGTTTCTGTGTTAAATCAGTATTTAATTTGTCAAATTCATCTAAATCCTGTTTCACTTTATTCAATTCTTGTTGTAATTTGTCATTTTGTTTAGCGGCTTCATTCCATTGTTGTTCAAGTGAATGCATTGAATTTCTTAATTCTACAGCACCTGGTAGATGGTCACGATTATGCAAAACATGTGAAAAACTCTGGCGTACACTGTCGAGTTTAGGCAGTTGTTCATTGAATTGAGCGCGGTACCTAAGGAAGAAAAAACTTTCATATATGTGTATATGTCATAGCTTTACCCCTAAAATGCTGTACAAATTGAAGTTACTGACGGGAATCATTTAAGAATGAATAAAACCAAAATAATGCGACATTTCAAGTGGAGATTTGGAAATATTTTAGCTACATTTCTTACCAAGTAGCTGTTACATAGGACGAGCAAATAATTCGATGAAATTATCCATCACCATCATACGGAATGCTCAAAGTATGAGCTATGCATGCTTGTTTGCCTGAATCTGTTTGGGAGTAAAGGAAATCTAAGTGTTTTCAGACTAAAGCCTAACTCTAATCCGTTTAGTTATCGACAGCCAATCTAAATCGTGTAGGGAATATACATTTCCTGAGAAAAACTTACAAAGCAACCGCAATTAGGAGTTGGAATTCAAAATGTTATAGCTCATAGTTTATCAAAGTAGTGAAAGCTTTGGTATCATCAATAGTGGTTATTTATTTGAAAACTGCAATCGATGAAACTTTCGACTAGACAATGAAGTTAACTGTATTCAAATGAGTGATGCTTCTGCTGACCAATGCATGCTAGGTTCAGGGGTAAATAGGAGCAAAACATTTCCATGTAAGTAAACTCCACTGACAGATTTGGATGTGCACTCTAAATTGTACTGCTATTCTCTAACAATTACTCACTTCATCTCAATTGGCTTCATGAGCATTAAATCGTCACAATTTCAAAAAAGAGAAAAACGCTAATGAAAACAAGGTATACAGACAATAATCAGTATCTAACAACAATAACAATTTCTTACTTTTTCAAATCATTTATAGCTCGATCTACAGATTGTAAAGAAGACAGGTCTTTATTCACACTGTTCACTGTTTTTACATGATCATTGAGCCAGTTTAATAATTCTGAACGTTTCTCTTCGAAATTATTCAAACTGTTTATAATGGATTTAAATTCATTCCTCCGTTCATTTAAACAATTTCCCAATTGATCATAACGTTCATGTAGCTCATCTAACTCACGATTGACTTCATTAATTTCTTTATTTTTTATTTCGTATGAATTTTAATTGAAAGAGTCAAAGGGAAAAATAAACAGAAAATAAAACTGTTAGACATTTGATTTACTTTAAAACAAAGATGCATTCAGTTATACGTCTAGACTGTGACTTCTTTTACAAAAACTCTTGATAGACAGTTGAACAAGAGCTTAAAAATATCTCCGCGTTACGCACGTTCATCTTAGTTTTCAAACAATTACACTTTGGCGTAGAAATATTCTACAAACCTTTTTGTCACTGCAATAAAGCAGTTAATAAATAATTTAGCTCACAGTCACGTACACTAGTTACTGACGCATATATACTGTGACGGTTAGTAATGCTATCCGGTTGTCCAAAACTCGAGTGTTTACGAGTTGACTGTCTAGAGAAACGACCCGCAGAAAATGAGAGAATGATGAAGGTTATTGTTATTCAGATAAATTTTCTGTAAACAGTTTGGATCTTAACTCAGAAAACACGTGTAACACAAAAATTAAGTATCGCAGGTGAGGAAATCAGGTCAAGTTCACTTGTCTACGAGAAAACTTAACCACTCATAAAATTCAAGTTTGATAAGATTTAGAATATTTTTAACCCAGGTAGATCTTTTTTAGGAAACATTTATTTTCAAGTGTTAGTTTTCTAAGGATTGCGTTTTTGATTGGTTGGAGGGTCTCATCATGAGATGGCATTAGTCAGAGAACCACTGGAAAACCTGGGAGTACTGGACAGCTGTTTCGTCCTAGTTTGGGACTCTTCAGAAGTACGCACCCACCGGGGTTCTAGTTGGAAGGCATGACCAGTAAGGTACCACAGGTCGAAGGTGAGGCAGTAACTCATCGAAGAAGACATTACGAAATGGTCGCGCTATGTCATGAATTGGCAGAAGTTAGAATTCATGGGCCGTTGGGTCGAGTCCCAGTGGCTTAATGGTCTGGGTTCGAGCCACGGTGGATGCCTACCGATAAAGAATCCCAAACTAGGACAAGACAACCGTCCAATATTACCAGGTTTTCCAGAGATTCTCTAACCGATTTCAGCTCACGAAGAAATCCTCCAAGCAACAAACAATCCTGATAAGGATTTGGAAAAAGTAATAAAGGTTAATAAAGCAAGATTTAATGAATTCATCGAATTTTGGTGGGACTATACAGGGTTGTATATATATATATATACCATTGGGAGATATATGACTGATAAGCAAATAAACTACATTGAATCAGTCATGCAAAACGACAGGTGTTAGTGTTATTACTAGGTCATGGTTAGATAGACAAGGGGAAGGAAATATGAGAGATTAGAATTAAGATAATAGTGTGTCACAGTTCGGTTACATAACTTAAACAGGCGATTCGTTATCAAAGAAATAACTTGATAGTATCACGAACTGCAGACTGAATAATATTGATAATGATGGTAATAATAAGAGGTAGACTAAACTATGGAAAAGAAATATTAATAATAATAATAACTCGAAAAATACCCATTTAATCATAAGTAAAAACACAGTTTTTGTCCAGAGAAAGAACACAAAAGACAACTAAATGAATTGCTTAACAACAAAAACATAATACTGATTCGTCCAGACAAGGGATCAGGTATTGTTATTCTTAATCGTGATGATTATGTCAATAAATTATGTACCATCCTGAGTGATGAAGAAAAATTTCTAAAATCACCCCATCAAAAGGACAAGACAGATAACATTAAGAAGGAATTATCTAAAATTTTGACGAAATTGAAGCAAGAATGCATCATTACTCCATATATGTATGAACAGCTTAAACCATCTGGTTCAACTATCCCTCGTTTATATGGTCTTCCAAAGGTGCACAAAGATGATGTCCCTCTGCGACCTGTATTGGATATGCTGAATTCAACTTATCACTCTACCGCTAAATGGCTTGCGGAAATTCTGGAACCAGTTAGATTAAATCTATGTAAACATGGTCTTTCTGACACTTTTGACTTCGTCAGTTGTGTTGATGAAATTAATGTGACTGTTAAGCATATGATTTCGTTAGATATTTGTTCATTGTTCACAAATGTACCACTAGTAGACACTATCTGCTATCTATGGGAGTATATTGATTCAAACAGCATGAACATTGGCTTACCAACTGATTATCTTAAACAACTACTACTGAGATGCACACTGAATGTGCAATTTAGATTTAATTATGTCATCTACAATCAAAGGGATGGAGTCGCCATGGGGTCTCCTTTAGGACCGCTCTTAGCGGACGTTTTCATGGCAAGCTTAGAGAATGGCCCACTAAAGGAAACCATCGATGGTCTGTCTATGTATAAAAGATATGTTGATGATACCTCCATTGTGTGTGATGAAAACTCTTCAACTGCCGAACTTCTTAGAATATTTAATGGTTCTCACCCATCATTGCTTTTCACGATCGAAGAAGAGTCGGATTCTTCGTTTCACTTTCTTGATGTTAAGCTAGATAGAAGAGAGAATGGAATGCTGTTAAAGTCGATTTACCGAAAGCCAACATTCACTGGGCAGTACACTAACTTCAACAGTTGGGTACCTTTAGGGAGTAAGAGAAATCTCATTCATTCCTTATGATTCCATTATAGATAAGATTTTATTTTGATAAATCGCACAGTGTTTACAGTTATATGAACTGATGACGTTTCGAGCACAAACTATTGCTCATAATCATATCAACTTGATATGATTATGAGCAATAGTTTGTGCTCGAAACAGTGCCCAAGTTTTATACTTATATCATTCCTTATGCTCCAGAATTCGTAAAATCTTCTCTGCAGAGACAATCGATAGGGAACTAGATAACCTTCGATCAAATCTCCTTAACAATGGTTATCCCACAAGGTTCATTGAACGTAACATCAAGAAAGAATCCGCCCCGAGACAAGTCACAGTACCAAAGAAAAAACTGTTTATGAGTCTGGCATTCAAAGGTGACACCATTTCAGAATTGATTAAAAATCGTCTATCTAAATGTGTTAAACGCACTTTTCCTGCAGCTGACCTGCAACTAGTTTTTACCAGCCGAAATATGATTAGACAATGCGTCAATGATAGATTACCGCTTTTGTCCACATCTATGTGCATTTACTCTTTTACCTGCTCTTGTGGAGCTGTTTATATTGGACGTTGTAAGCGTAATCTCCGAAAACGTGTAGCTGAACACTATCCGGTTTGGTTAATGAAAGGCGAACGTAGAACTGCAAAGTCGTCTATTGGTGATCACCTGTTAGAATCTGGTCATTTAGCCCCACGTGATTCACCTTTCAAAGTTATCTACATGGCAAAATCGAATAGATCCAAAAGTTTACGTTTTCTTCACTTATGCATAGCCGAAGCTTTAGCTATACATGAACAGAAACCTAAATTATGTGTTCAAAAGCGTTTTGTCAAACCCCTTTCTTTACCTTGGTCATAATAATGTTCTTTCTAGTTTTTATTTTATTTTACCACTTGAATTCATTCCACTTCACTTCACATCTTCATTCTTATCGTAATCGTACTCCTAATTTTCAAAATGTTTAGACAACACTTGACATTTTTGTTATAAAACAATCTTTAATATTTTTGTAATTTATGCACTTCAACTCTACCCCCGTTATAACTTTTAACACATATATACGTACACTGACTTTTTTTTTTTTTTTTTTTGATTTACAGCTTGATTCCACACTGTATTTTTTTTTGGTACAAGTATGGAATTTTCAGCATGGATATCGGTAGCCCAAATTTCGCAGGCCAACCATAGATATCAGCTGAGCAATTATTTAGTTCCACTTAATAACCTTGTTCTGTAATATAAATACGACTGTACAGCTTGAAAATGAAGTCGTTGAAAAGAAATTTCTTCGCTGAACAAAAACTGAGTTTTTACTTATGAATAATGATAACCGTTAATAAGCAAGACATCACCATGTTAGATTCAGAGTGACCATCATTTCTTTCTGTACACAAAGACTGGCTTTATAAGCTCTAACTGCACAAGCTTCTGCAACTACAAGCATCTTCTTGTTTGTTTGTCTGTTGACAACGGTGAATCACTTGACAGCGTCAACATCATACCTGTAGTCATCTTGCTTTTTAAACCTTTCTTGCTTGTTTCAGTTTTTTTTGTTGGTGATATTGTATTCTCTTTCATTCATGGAGAGTTTCGAAAGCTTACTTCATTTTGAAGTAAGCTCTAAATGTGTTGTTAAGATGGTGAATACAGGCTTTGCAATTACATAGTCAAGCTGATTAAACGCACCGATGCCAAGAAATTAAGTTTACAACGATAGTTTACTTGGATTTATAGATTGCTGAGAAAAAATTGTATTCAAGTAATTTGGTGGAGGCTGACTAGCAGTGAAATCCAAGATAAACATTTCCTCAGCTGGATATACCAGCATTCCCCAGTGGTTGGTGGTGATTTCACAGAGACTCAAACCCGGTGCCCATCGTTTCAAACGCTAAAGCGTTATCCGCTAGACCACTTGGACCAATAAGGATTGACCGTTGCATCATTTATTAATTGTTTTTAAGTGAATTTCGATTTTTCCGTTAACTGTCTGTACCAAAATGGAACTAAATGCTCATCCTGGATTCCACCGCTAGTCGTCATCTACCAAATTATTTCAAGCTGATCATCAGATATCATCGAAGCATCCGTAGTAGGAAACAACATGTCAATAGAGGCCGAACATTTCGACCCAATCAGTTAACAGGAAACTCAAAATTGATTTAAAAAACCAAAAATAATTGCATTACATTTGCAGACCGGCAAATAATATTAAACAACTCACACGAAGGAAAAAGTACTGAAGCTGTTTGAAGTCATACGAATAAATATTTTACAATGGGTAACAACAACAAAAGACAATGCAACAGATGACTAAATTTCGATGTTATGAACCGAGTAACATGAATTCATGTCCACAACACAAACTCCATGTTAATGTTTAGAGAAATGATAAAAATGTAGTAATTTATGCATTCCAAAGTAAATCCAACAAATCAAATAGAATAATATCACAGAAATCGTACAAAATAATATGAATTGTGTATAATCAACAGGACAAATTAGGACAAAAAAAAATACGAAAAACAGGCAAAGCAGGAAATTATAACTGCAAACGTAAAGTAACTTACAAAACAAGTTAATTAACTGTGGGATCAAGTTGCCATCGCATAAACCATGCTAAATCATCTGTATAGCCGAGTTAATCTTAGTGTCTTAGACTATTTGTACTCTTACACCAGTAATTATGTTTATTTGGAATAGTCATACTGACTATATGCTAGTGAAGTTCATAAACATTCGGCATTATGTATTATGACAACTGATATTTAAGCATGTAATACAACGCGTTCTCATTTAGTTTGATAGCTGTATACAAATAAACAGCAATAAGTCATTCCGCATGTCGTACATTACCAGTGGTTAATCATACCGTGTTAATTTCTCTTGAACTATATGAAAGCTATTCAAAACAAACCATTGATGATGAAATAAGCTTAAAATTGCATATCATGGTAGTTGTAGTATGGTCATTACATTATTTTTATGAACACAGAAGTTGGTATTCCATCTCTAACAATAAAGTTCTTTCTAAAAGCATTTCTGATGTTAAGTTAATATCCTATGAGAATTAAATGTGTTATTAAAGTGTTTTGCGTAATACTTTCGGTGTGTATTCAGTGAAATGAATACGGACCAGTCTTTCAGGCTTTATCAGATATCTGCTTTAGCAGAAAATAATGTGGATTATTAAACGCTTGTCCGTTAATGCTTACAACTGACCAAGCCTAGAAGTATGCAGTATGTTACCAGACTCTTTAAATATGTATCACTCACACTGAAATTCGAAAGTGGTCATCCTAATGTGTTCTGTTTAACATAACAAAAATTCTGGATATCTTAAGCTTTCCTTAAGATGAAACTTTACATTAGGTTTTATGCTGTTTTTGAGGTTGTATTGTAAAGTGATTGCTAAAGGTTGTAAGCACACAAAAAAAAGTAAGAATCATCTGGTTATCCAACACAATGCATGATATTTTCTTAACTTCTTATTGTTTTAACCATTTATTAATATCCTTGAGTCACAAAATGCACTCACGCACATTTTTCATTGGCTTCTAAACTTCCGGTGAGCATATCTTGGAGACCATGGAAAAAAATAAGGAATTAGTCTGTGCTTTAGAACAAATGGCACTACGTTCCATGATATACTTTCGATTGCTACCTTGCTTGAAAATCGTGGATGAAGAGAAAATATTATATAGTAAATTACGCTAAGAACAGTGTGCACTGAATGAACATTTTGTCCAGAATAAAGCTGTTATTTTCAAGTATTCGTTTTGTAGGGATTGTGTTTGATTGGTTAGAGGGTTTCATCATCAGATGACATCAGTTAGAGAATCATTGGAAAACCTGGAAGTAGAGGACAGCTGTTTCGTTTTAGTTTGAGACTCTTCATTGGTACGCACCCATTGGGGTTCGAACCCGATCATAGGTCATTGGATCGGGTCTCAGTGGCTCAATGGTCTACGAGCTCACTGGCATTGTAATCAGAATGTCCTGGGTTCGACTCCTGGCGGTGGGTACGTACTGCCGAAGAGTCTCAAGCTAGGACGAAACAGCTGTCCAGTACTCCCAGGTTTTCCAATGGTTCTCTAAATGATATCAGCTTATGAAGAAACCCTCTAGCCAACCAAAGCTATTATTTATCATTATTTTTAATTGAAACCCAAAATCTAAACAGACAGGTAGTGGACACGGAGTAATGAATTTAAAGGAAGCAGTCAATAAATATTAGCCTCAGTTACTCTGGCAGTTATTCATAGGGGTGTAATATATCCGTTTAACGAGTAGGATTTTGATAACACGTAGAGGTGTCACACGGATCTGAATTTAAGGTCAGAGGTTGTCAGTAAATATTACTGTATAACACTGTGAGACTTTATTTTTTTATTTTCTCCATAACAGAGTCAGAAGTCATCTTCCCACTAACTAAGGTATTCCTAACCAATAAATAAAGGCATGATTTACACGTAAAAATCCAAGCCAAAATAGGTTATTAATTAATATATTTACCTAAATAGTGAAAAGTTACTAGAAATTTCCATTAATTTGTAGATGTTTTAAATACTTACATTCATTTAATGAATGTCACTAAGAGCTGTCTTATTAACTAATACACGACTACCTAAAATGGACCTAGATCTGTCAACATGTACTAAAAGATGAAAGTACCCGGTTAAAGCAACGAAATCCGATTGATTGTTTGCTTTGAAACCATTTTGATTTCAATGTCAATAATAGAGACAGGTAGCATAACTGTAACAGATGTAACTACTAAGATAATATTTAGAATCAGTATAAATTAATCTCAATAAAAGCTTGTAAAGACAGTCATATTACATTTCGTGCTATACATCAAGATGATGAGAATCAGGACCTCTTTAAACACAAAAATATTGTGACGATCAGTGATACAACGATACATGTAATAATCTGAAATGAATTTCATTATTGGATAACAAGGGAATTGGAAAATTATGGGTTAAGATGTAAGAGAAAACAGTCATATGGAAAAGGAAAGACCAAAGACATGCACATTAATCAGACAACAGTTTGTTTCGTATTGCATGCGAGACAGTACACTTATCTAGGTATTTTGTATGCTTCAACGAGCTTACCATATAGATTACACATAGGATCAGCACTGGAGATACCACTTGATCCACTGCTAGCCATCGGACTTAATATATTCATCAGTTTATTCTCTTTATAAGCCATGAAAGTAGATACACGTGACGCTGTTGAAGTATAACATTGTATACATACAAACATACATAATATAAACATATTGAGTAAGTATTTAAGCGTAGATAACTTTAAAGGACAATATAAGTTAGATAAAGTTATACAGTAATTAAGTAGATACACCCATTACAATACAAGCAACACACATTTAAGTGAGATTCAAGAACTTGTTAGAATTTAACACTAATACAACAGCTTTTAGATAAAATATGAAAAGTTTTCAGGCAATATTCAGGTTTTACATGTTCTAAAACGGTTCTTATACCTTTTCAGTTAGTTTGTCATCATTGGCTCTATAGCATAGAGTCTTTTAAAAGGTATATATTCATCTCGACTTGCTGTTTTTCTAAATGTGTAAATGAGTACTTTTAAATTCTTATTTCATTCATTACAACTGTTGAAAAAAGATAATGGGCATTGCACTTCAGTACCAATCGAAATATTATAAAGTAAGGACTATTGAGGTAGGTCGAATGTTTCTTGGTAATCATTGAACTCTGAATTTTTCGCTGTTTGTAGGGAAACGTTCACCTATCAATCAAGACCGGAAATATTTATAACTAAATTCAACTTCAACTTTGGTTGGTGAAAGTCTGGCTTTCTGATAGACGTCGCTTCCTTTGATGTGACTGAAATGCTTTTCAGATGAGTACTAAAACTCCTCTGTCAAGGAACTGGTAACTAAAACAACCCATTTTTATCACAGATCTGATTTGCTTATTTCAAAGGCTGACTGGAATCTCCCCAAACATTATGTAAAAGTATTTTTTTAAACTGTATGATAAAGCTATAGATATATAATGTTAAGTTTTTAAAATTACCTGGAGGTACATAAGGATCATGTGAAGTTGCACCACGTCCAAAATGTTTCTCCACTCCACTTGATGTGTGCAATAAAGTGTCATAAGCAGATCCTAATTGATCCGCTTCCGTTAAGTGTGTTTTTATTGTCTCCCAAAATGAATGTACTGAATTCAGTCGTTCAAGCTGTTGATTAAGTGTGTTCATATTCAATGTAATCGGTGATGATAATGTGGTTAAACGTCCATCTGCAGTTAATAACATTTCTTGAACTTGGTTACGTGCTTGTATGTAGGAGTCACTGAGTGATTCTCTCGCCTTCAAATCATCTTCACGTGTGTCTAGCAGACCAAGTAACTGTGACCAACGCTTATTTAAGTTGCACATATTTTCTTTGATCAACTTTACGTCACCATCGCTTTCAGGTAGTCTAGTTACTAGTGCTTCAACTGATTGCTGCAAGCTGTCTAGATGGAGCTGACGATTCGGTATTTGCATCTAACATATTAAATTTTAACAGAAAAAAGAAGTTATACTAGCAAAAATATAAAAAAATACTTCTATTACTAATAGTAGTAGCAATGATTCTGTAGATAATATGCATATCCAGTTACTCAACAGTAAAAAATTCTTATTATGTAACTGTCAGTAGTACCACATAACTGCTAAAGCTTCAGTAAGTGATGAGGAATTCAAAAAAGTAGCTCGTTAGTAAAAAGTTATATAGCAAAACTAATGAGCTAAAATCACATTATCAGAGAACAGTTTACAACCTAATACCAGGCATATTAACTGAAATATCAAAGTATTCCAGCTGATATAAGCGGACACAATAAAAAGGTAGTTATTAATACTTTAATAATACTTTGATAAAGCTATTAGCATCAAATAGTGAAACGTCAGTAAAACAATATCATTTTGTTTTTCATTCATTGGGAAATACAAAAACCTTTATTCTAATGAAAAGGTAGTTAGTTTAAAATTCATTTAGTCATTGGTTTTAAGATGAGTTTTGTGATTTTCACTGGGCATCAAACAGGCCTAAGAAAGACCGAAAAACATTGCTGAATGTTTCTTGATTTCCAGAGGTTTTCTTACAGTCGGTCCAGTTAAATTTCATAAATCTACAAACCAACATCTTAAATTTTATAATGGAGCGTCCAGATTGCGATAAGCTAAGGTACGCACCGTAAATTCCATGGCTGTTACCGACGAAAAAAACCCTTTGATAAATATATAATGACAATATCGAGTTACTCGTGTTAAGATGCCTATATGCTAACAGAATTCGACAGCAATTTAGTCTATTAAAGTAGAACAAGACAAAATTATGAATTCTAGTAATGCCAGTTATTATCTATCTTACAAAATGTAGTTTTCTCGACAAATTACCTTAAAAATGGTTCTTAAGAGTTGGAAGCAAAGAGTGTCACTTTTAATTACTCGATAGGATAAAGAGTCCTAAGCTTAGTTTGTGATCTACGAACACCAAACTGATACATTTTATTATCTAAATGAAACCGAGAGGGTGTAAGCAAATCAATCAGCGAAAAGGTTAAGTATACTCATATTACAGAAAAGAATTTAGTTGACTCAAGTCGAATTTCGAAATTCGACATTCATATATAACGCCGTTAGAGATACAATATTGTTTTTCTTTGAAAGTAAAATAAGAATAACACAATAAAGCATACTTTTATCATTTGTAGTTTATGTTTTAAATAATTTTCTGGTAAGTGAGCCGTTGCTTGACTATTCAACTGATTACCAATTTGATCTAGCCATGTATGGAATTCATTTATATCATTCTCATATTGAGCAAACTCATTCCTCAGTGAACTTAATTGTGAAATACGGGAAATCACATCATCCTTCAGTGTTTCAAGCCTACAAAGAAATAATAGTAAAAATAAGTAGGAAACAAAAAGATAGCATCATTTTGAAGAAAATTATCGACTTTATCTTATGTTGATTATGTGTCCCTGTCCTAACATAAATCAAGAATTGAAATGACTAACAGTTAGTTACAACAAAAGAATTGTATCAAGAGTCAGTTAGCCATTTGGTTGGAGAATGATGATTCTCACTAACACGGAAAGGACAGCTAATCTATAAAAGTATGCCTTCATCTCTATCACCTTTGACTGATGATGAGTACAGTTTCTGTGAATATATTTTGATAATTGTCAACGTACGAAAATGTCTACACGTGACTTCTATTTAAGACACAGACTGATCTATTGACTAATGAAAACAGTTTAGACTAATAAAGGAAGAACACTTATAGAGGGTGTGTCGTGTAATTCAGTGATGTTATTCAAGTGTATTAAATCTCTATTAAATCATCTTAAAGTATTTGATGATTAGCTGTTGCATACATAAGCATTTGCCAAACATGTTATTACCCTTCGGATGTATTTTCACTTGAAGGATAATTAATGCAGTCAAAATTGTACTATTTAATAAAAGGAAATGAGTCGTTTCACTAAATGCAATCCTGTAATGTCAACAAGCTTGCTAAGGTGTTTTGTTCATGGAATACTGTTAGCACAATGAGCATTCAAATAAAAATACTTATATGGTTACAGTGACTTAATGTTTACTGAGTACTAATTTAAATGAAATCTGATTAATCTGTAACCGATAAAGAACAAAAATAACAAATCAGTTATACCGATTATCCAAAACGTCAGTTTGTTTTAATTCAGATTGAACTGCTCGAAGTTTGCTAGGATCAGTTAACTTGACTTCTTCAACTGTTTGATTTAAACGATCTCTTATTGACTGTGAAGCAGATTGCATAGTGTTGATGTGTGCTAAAGTTTCATGTAATTTAGTTAAATCTGAAGGAAGTCCATCCGTCTTTATTATACTCTTGTCGCCGACACTGTCACGTGATAAGTCATCTCCAATTCGATCAGTGTGATTCATGAATTCATTCAAACATTCCTGAACAGTTTGATTTGTCAAAATATACTTCATAAATTGTTTTTCTAACTGTTCACATTGATCACTTAATTGTTTTTGATAAATCAGTGAGTTTGATAATGGTTCAGTAATTACACTGATTAAATTATTTGAGATTAGATTAGCTTCTGTTAACTTATCTTTAAGTGAATGCAAATCTACACTTTCCAAAGTCTAAAGAATAAGAAAAGAAAACAACCCAAACATTACTATTATTAAAAACATATTATAGGTTAACAGTTAGTATACAAGACTTTGTTACTGAAATAGGTTCGTGATTATGAGGACTTATCGAGAAAGTCTATTTACGACTGTAGGGAAACATATTTCCTCTGCACCATTTAAACTTACGCCAGTCATTTTTGGAGTCAGAAATTTTGACAGTAAGCTATTCATTTCACAAATGACCGTGGAACATGACTGTATTGATAACTGGAGTTAACCGGAAAATGGCAGACATTATGTTTGTTTAGCTCTCAGTTTTGAACAAAATATACCGGTTGGGTATGCGTATATGTTCAGTATGACATTTAGCATACAAACAAGAGTAGACTTTAGTGTATGACATTGTAGTTTCGCTTAACCAGGCGACCACTTTGCAAATTCAGTCAATAATCTTCAAAAAACTCTTAGGAACAGACGGCTATATTGGTTGCTGAGCTTGTTCACCAAAAATGAAGATATATCTTCCTAATGATTGCCACCTATCTGAGTTAGTGAGTTGAATACTCATTTGTTAGATAACACGAAGCCTGTGATAAATGAGAAAAGCAAAATTGTGACAAATGACTATATGAAAATTTAAGCAAGGCAGTAATCCCCATTATTGTCATTATAATCACTGTAGTTTGAAGCACTTGTTAAACAGTTGTGTGGCAGAAGAAATTACTAGAAAAAATCATGGCGGAGAGCTTATCCCTTCACTGGTTCACTTCTCAAGAGTAAACTAAAGAGGATGTAGAGTTATTATGACTAAAAATAATAAGAAACGCAAAAACCACGGGATGAGGTGAAATATATATATATATATATATATATATATATATATATATATATATATATATATATCTTCGAACCCTGAATCTGTGGATGTAATCTTGTTAACTGATAATACCTATAACTAACTGTTTAGCATTTTGTGACTGTTTGATACTAACTAATATCTATAATTGTATATATTATTGGATTTATATAACCAAGTTGACCCAGTTCAACGGGTCTATGGTTTTGATATCAGAGACTTGGTGCGTCACAAAGGGCACTTCGAACAAACTACAGACCTTCATCAACAACTGTCTTCGCTCAGTACTTCGCTCAAGATCAGATGGCCGGCCAGAAAATATCAGAGACAAGGAGGGATCTCTGGGAGCGAACCAATCCAGTAGAAACCAATTGTGCAACAAATGGAGGTGGATTGGCCATAATCTGAGAAAACCATCAAGTGATATCACACGCCAGGACATCACTCGAGTGAAACCCGAACGGGAAGCGACGAGTTGGTCGTCAGTGCGAGGGTAACATGGAGGAGATCATGTGAAGAGGAGATGAAAGCATGTGGGCAGACGTGGAGGCATGTGAAAACGTTGGCAGAGAACCGAACGCAATGGAGACGTGCAGCTGAAGCCCTTTGTTCCTCTATGAATTAAAGGAAACGATCATATATATATTACTCACCTTTAAATCATTTTCAATTTTACTTAAATCCCCTTGTAGTGTATATAATTTATTCAGTTGTTCTTGACTAATTTGTTTAATCTTATTAGAAGATAAAGTGTTTAATTCTTCAGGTCGCAGAACACTTTTCTGAATATTACTCAATTGTAATTTAATTTTATCTAATTGACTCGTTGATTCAGATAATTGCTTTTGATAGTGATTGTTGATTGCATCAACTTCATTAAGGTGTGTTGATTGTGTCTCTAAACGACTGAGTAATTGTACAAGACGATTGTTGGCTTCTTTAACTGTATTCTGTATCCGATCTTCTAACTCCCTATCATTTCTTTCCATTTCTTCTTCATACTGTTTACCCTTCAAGCCAGTAAAATGATTCAATTTGTTGTTATATGCTTTCTGTGTTCAAAAAATTAAAAAAAAATTATCAGAGGAGGAAAGTCAAACGTGTTTACATTAAGAAACGAATACATTTCCAATATAATGATTATGATATAAATATAATGATAGCAGAAGTGTAGGTGCGTCGGTGGCACAACGGTAGGATGCTCGCCAACCACGCAGGTGGTTCAGGGTTCAATCCCTGACCGACGCACTCCTTTACCTCGCTAAGTCAGTAATGAGACTTTGAAGCAATCAGCACCCTTTATGAATTTCGACAATACAATAAGTAGACGTAGTTTATCTGAAAAGTAATGAGACTGGTAAAGAGGGAAAGTTGGGCATGAGGCTAGCAACCCCATCCCATTGAAATAGACACCACTTCTACTGAAACTTCAAGCCTCCAGCTTGAAGCCCTGTGTTCCACTGGGAAGGTAAGGGAATAAAATAAAAGTGTAATACATCTTGAAGGTTTGTGATGGATGGGTTTTTATTGCTCATCAACGTCAGCTGGGAATACATTGGAAAAAAGTATTGAATAAATGTTCTGAGCATAAATTAAGAGTATTGAATATGGACGAAAAGAGACTGCCCAATTCTATCCTTCAAATAATGTGTACTCATCATGAAAACTGTTTTGAAATATAACATTAAAGTATTAGGTGTAATTGAGAACTAGATATCCACCATAGTCGATTTGCCAGTCGCGTTGTCCAATGTCGTGAATGTGTACTGCTGATGAATTTTAAACACCGGGATAAGAACTTTGTCCATTGTCCTTTCAGTTTTCATGCTACATTAGCGGACATAAATTTGTGTTAGGATTGAAGACGACAGTTGATTCATGTTTCATGATCCGGATGATTTCGCCCTCAAAGTACACAAACGTGTGAAACACAGATAAAAAAAATTTCTAAAAACCATTATTTTACGAATGAACCGTATTTACGTGGGGCTTAGAAAGTCCATCAATAATGCCATTATGAGGGTATGATATGATTATGAGCAATAAATTGTGCTCGAAACGTCATCAGTAAACATTACTGTATAACACTGTGAGAATTTATCAAAACAAATTTCACCCATAATGGAATTATACTCTACCAAAGTGCACAAGTTTTATTCGTATATCCATCAATAATAGTATGGTGTGTATTCATAAAAAAGACAACAACAACAACAACAAAATACAACTGCCATATACTTACCTTACTGTCAGAATAGCGATAAACAGTTGCCATAAATTTCTGCACTACACTAGGTAATGTGCTGATAATATTATTGTGAGCTGAATTCGATTCAGTTAGTGCAGCTTTTAAGCGTAAAATAAGTGGCGTTATTTCGTCTGGATGATTAAGAGCTTTCAGCTTGTTTGCAAGTTGATTCTCTTCACCTTTCATTGTTGTATTGGATGCACTGAGAACTAGTACAGACTCTAAATTTTCTAACAGACTTCGAAGACTTTGAAGTTTATAAGTAAGGTGTTCTAATGAATCTAAACTATTGAGTAGAATACGTACACGACTTTCTGCTTCAGTTTGCAGCTGAAAATATAAAAAGAAAAGAGTAGACAGTAACTTATGCCGTTGTTCAAAGATAATTTTATTCTAATGTTTGTAGGTGAATCCATTTACTAAGTGTCTACCGATAAATTTTAAAACATTTCAGTTGTATATAATCTTAACTTCTCAAAAGTTTAAGTAATACATGAGTAATTATTTCCGGGAAGTTAATGTAAAGAATAATAAACAGAAAGGGATGAAAGCTGCCGAACTAAAGACAAGTCTACGAATAAGTGAAAGTAAAACTTATTATCTGAATAATAATAATAATAATATGGGGCTCGTGATATCATTGGGGTTTTCTTAGGCATTCAAAGACATAAGCTTATGAGTGAATTAGAATTCAGACAAAATTTCTATCCTTAGTGTAATTTATGTTATGTGTTCGTAATTAGCGCACTTGTCAAGTCCTAAGGATTGAACAGTGTCTATTAAATGAACTATCAGTATGATCATTAAGATAAGTGGTAATTTACAGGAATGAATGTCTAATAAGAAAGTGATGTTACTTAATGTTTTTATTCAATCTCACTCTATTGTGTGATTACATGCAAATGAATGCATTGCGACGACCGACTATTTTTATAGATTTCACAACTTTGCAGGGTCAGTTATTCCAGATCTAGTTCATAATAACTGGATTGTTATCTGCTTTCGCATATCTAATTTTCAAGCATTGATTTTATAGGGATTTGTTTTAATTAGTTGGAGGATTTCATCATGAGCATCCGCCGCCAGGGTTCAAACTTAGGACCTTCTGGTTACAAGGCCAGCGAGCTCGTAGACCATTAAGCCACTGGGACCCAAACCAATGACCAGCCCATGAATTCTAGCTTTTGCCAATTCATGACACAGTGCAACCACTTCGCAATGTCTTCTTCGATGAGTTACTGCTTCATCTTCAACCTGTTGTACCCTACTGGTCATTGCTTCCCACTAGAACCCCAGGTAAATGCCTGAATAGAGACAGTCGCTAGCGAGCATTAGATCAGTTTCCAAGTATTTGTTTTGTAGGGACTGTGTTCAATTGGTTGGAGGATTTCATCATGAGCTGACATCAGTTAGAGAACCATTGGAAATGTATGTTGAGACAAAACTATTGAACCAAAAATGCCAACATGACTGAGTGTAAATAGATAATTAATATTTGACCAAGACTGAACTAAAATTAGATACCTAGTTAATGGCTGTATTTTTGCAACTGACCAAGAAGATTCCTTGAAATGCAGCGTGAAGGTTACTAGTTATCAGAATGACTTCCATTCCACAGCAACCATTGTATCGTATTTTATCAACAAGGAATCCGCAACAAGACTGAAGTGTGCAACAGTGTCATAAAAGTAGTTAGTTCTACAAAAGTGAAGTTAATGCGCAATTAGGTTTCAGTTTGTCAAATGACGTATTGACGAAGGATATCACTGATTCAGTTCATTGACCATAATCGTAAGCTGTGTGAAAAAATATCCTGACTGATAATCATCCTCGAAATTGTGATAATCAGTATACTTTCTTTTATTAATCGAAATCAAAGCATTCCACTATCTGTCGTTTTTGAAATACTTAACAACTTACTAATCTTCATTGACTTCTTCACTCTCCTCTAATATTTTTCTAGTTAATCTCCCGACTTCTAGTGATGTTCTCTTTTCATGGACAATCCCAATTCAGGCATTAATGAATGTTCTCTTTTTACTGCTGAAAACCCCACCATTTTGTCCAGGATTCAGTACTGCTTTAACAGTTTATCTTACACATTTATATCACGCTTGTTAAAACTTGTTGAAATCTAGTTAACCGATACCCAGGCTGGTAATCTTTTTCCAGAAGAACAGAGAACTATTTAGAAAAAATACAATATTCGTTTTTACATTAGTAGAAGTAGTAATAGTGTTGAGGAGCAATATTTACTTACTGTACTAAATACATAGTTTGAAATGAATAAATGACATTTGGAGTGACTGAGGCAATAGACATTTACCCTTACAAATAAAGGGATCTTCGTTTCGGTCTCCAAACACACCTGTTATCGAAAATTTTCCCCATTAAATGTCAGTCAGTTCAACGTTAAAAATATCCATAAACAATGTAAATTTTATGACAAAACAAATATATTACGATTGTGATCTTACATCTTCTAATCTTGTTCTTAACTCCTGACATTTAGACTGTAATGGTTTCCAAATAAATTCAGATTGATTTCCATTACGTAGTGCTTCAACAGCTTGTTCAGCTTGAAATAGTATAGATCTACTTGTAGACTGACGAATACGAATTTTATCTAAGATCTCCTGCAGTAAAAAGACATGCAGTAAAAGTTCATTAGATTTAGTATTGAAAGGAGAAAAGTTGGGAAAATCCATTCAGAAAAACACTGGAAGAAACAATGTCAGAATTATTCGACAAGAGAAGAGTTTTTACACAATGAACATTTCCAACTCTATGCAGATTTCATATATTGGAGGATCTTTATCATAAAAATATGATGAGATAAGATATTTTCAAGTATTGGTTTTGTAGGGATTTCGTTTGATTGCATGGAGGATTTAACCATGAGCTGACATCAGTTAGAGAACCACTGGAAAAACTGGGAGTACTGGACAGCTGTTTCGTCCTAGTTTGGGACTCTTCATCAGTATGCACCCACCGGGATTCGAACCCAGGACCTTCTGGTTACAAGGCGACCTCGTAGACTATTGAGCCACTGGGACCCGATCCAATGGTCCTTGAATTCTAACTTCTGCCAATTCACGACATAGCGCGACCACTTCGCAATGTCTTCTTCGATGAGTTACTGCCTCATCTTCAACCTGCTGTACCCTACTGGTCACGGCTTCCCACTAGAACCCCAGGTTAACTGCCTGAATAGGGCCAGTCACTAGTGAGCATCAGATTAATTTTCAAGTATTGGTTTTGTTTGATTGCATGGAGGATTTACTCATGAGATAAGATATCACAACTTAGCTGATGATGCATTCATTTAATCATATAAACTGTTATTATCATACCAATTACTTATATCAGTCAATAGTATATACAATTTTTAGATTTACCTGTTTCCTTGACCTATGAGACCAAGCAGATCACACACCGTTATCTGAAGATTTTAAGTTATATACGGAAACTGTGGTGAATTTTCATCACGAACTCTATAATTCCTGAATTATGATTTTAGATTTTCCTAGTTCACCCAAGTAGCTAACTGAAATTCGGGCCGTTTGAAGTGATTTGGTTCTCTGGAGTGTGTAGAACGGGGTGAGCTGCTGATAAACTCGACTCCAAACCAGTGAAACTTCGGTTTAGCCAGCAAGCACTACTGATTGACGTGGGTGGCTCCCGACTACTGATACAAACCAGTAGTACGTATCATCTTTTAAGTGCTCATCAGGCTTTTGAGACATTGTTATTTTCATTTTGTAACTGGTGGAGTTCGATAGAGTAGTTCTCCACTTTTCATTATTAATCTGTTAAAACTCTGGTTTACAAAGACGACAACCAGTTACTCAAAATGTACCATAGAGTTTTAACTTGAGAAGAACTATGCTTATTTTTATACCATTGATTAGGATACCAAAAATCTACTTTTACGGTCTGCTATAATTTTATTACAAACAGAGAATTTATGATAAAAATAATCATTTAACCCACTTGGTGATCATCCAGAAGATGACGATTCAGATTATCATCCAGGCTTAAATGTCCCATTTTTAGAATTTGCGATTCGAAATCTGTTATCCACACAGCTTCTTTGTCAAGTGCAGCAAGTAGTTGAGAAATAAGTCGTTTAGTTGTCTCTGATCCCGTTGGCTACAAAATTTCATATGAAAATAATTTACTTTGTATTTGGATTCCTATGAATATTTCAGATATTAAAATAATTTATAAAGTATCGAAGTGATTTTAAAAGTAAACAAAAAATTCATGAGTCATTAAAATCTTAACAATACTACTTATACTGGTGTTAGTAGCTAATCTCAATATTCACTTATTTATCATAAGAAAACATTGCAAAAATTAATTGGTGAATGGTGACTAGCAGTGGAATCCGGGATGCGCATTTCGTCCTATTTGGGACTTGTCACTGGATGTACCTGCATTTGCCAGTGAGTGGTGATGTTCCCACCGAGTGCCCATAGTTTCAAACGCTAAAGCGTTATCCACGAGAACACTTGGGCCACGAAATGCGCATCCTGGATTCCATTGCTAGTCACCATTCACCAATTAAATACTAAATAAATGCCCAGACATCGTCGGAGCGTCTGCACAAGAAGCCGACATGTCAACCTGAGATAGAGCACTTCGGTCCAATCAATCGACGGGAAAATCTCAAATTCATTTAAATTGCAAAAATTAGACTGAACTAAGTAAATAAAGGTGACAAGTTAGATAATACCGGAAATTGTTCAAAGTACAATTAATAATGACAATCGACATATACTAACTGAATAAACAAAATGAAAAATAAATAGGGCTAAAGTATGAAAGGGGATTATAATACTTCTTCATATTCTTGCCTTATTGTCGATTAGTATTGTTGTTAATTTCACTTTGAGCACTTTCCGGTATCACTTAACTTGTCAGCTTTATTAATCTATTTACTCTATGAAGTAGAATCGATAGCGTACGGTGTGCTTAAATTAGTGAAAAGCAAAATTAATTCAAGAATTATATCCGCTTCAAAGTTTATTATCATAGATTTTTTCGTAAACCAGTTTCAAAAGAGTAGGTGAGTGTTAGCCAACGCTTTTTCATGCTGTGTGCTTCACTATAAAGTAGTAGTCCTAACAGAAATTACTGGAGCAAAAGCACACTTTATTGGCTTTTCCGACAGGGATATATAAACGTTGGGAAAATACACCATTCACACTGTTTTATGATATATCCTGCTCATTTTATTGAATTCTTCACTAAACAGTGATTATCGCCTTATTTCAAAAGTGTTAACTTGCACACCTTTATTCTAGGTTTGCTAGAATAAATGAAAATGAAAAAAGAAGCTTACGTATATGAAGTTATGAGACACATAAAGTTAGAGAGCGAGACGGGAACGAAAATGATTTAGAAACATTTAGTAATTCAATTAATCAAATTTTCTTCATACGACACGGATAGACGGAAAATTTTGAAACTATCCAGATAATTAGTGAAATAAGAGACATCGTATTTTTAAAAAGCTAAATTCATTCGGACATATCACCGATAGGATCCGCTGTAAATGAGTGAAATGACTGTCGGAGAATTAACTCACTATGATCTCCTTAGTAATCAGTGTTATTTAGTATGAATAGATTAAAATAATGGTGTTCGTCTGCACTGTACATACTGCCAGCCTTCACTTCAACTTAGTCTATTACCATCTGCAATATCAAGCAGACAATCAGTTGTATTCACAAAAACAAGAAATCACAACGGAATCTTATTACGGTTTGAATATTTTGAAAACAGTATACATATCCTATTATACAGAAATAGGAAAATATTAAAACTTACGGAAAACATTCAGAGATCAAGTCTCAAAAGGATTATGAGGATACTTCATAATCATTATTACTACTAGTACAACTGTAACTACTAACGTTGACAGTAGTGTACACAACTAATGACAACAAAAGCAAAACGAATAATGCTGATAAAATATACGTATATAACACGGTTCTACTAAATCGAAGGAAATGTAAACTAGTAAAAACATTTTTTTAAATAACCCATTAAAAACGATTGCCGTGATATAGGTTATACAATAAGCATCATTGTTTGTCACCATGAAAAAGCATAGGTCAGCCTTCAAATCAAAATCTATCATGCATTCTTTTGACAAAACAAAACAAATGACTAACAACATGAAATCTACTAAGAAAAATTTATCTCTGAATCAGAATTCCGATTAACTGACCAACGAACAGTAAAAATGATCGTTTTCAGGATAAGCGAATCTACCTCAAAGTGATTCAGAATAAAGTTTGTGAAAGTAAAGTAACAAATGGAATAGTAGGAAAATGTATGATGATGAAATGGTTAAGAATAAAAGGCTTACAACGAAAATAAATGAACAGTAAAGCTAGTAAATCTGATCAAGACCTAGGAATGAACCAACACGTATTAATGACCTTAGAGTTTTTCTTAATAACTCCGCATCATAAACAAAAGAGTCTACCATGGGAAACTCAAAACCCTTCAACAAATAAGCTGTGGACAAAGCAATAAGAAGACGTAATTTGTCTGAATCGTGTAATGTATTTGCACAAAACACTTCAAACAATCTGATCACATACAGACTTGTCATAGGAATATGTATGAAGTTAATCAAGAGTTAAGAGGTGAGAGAATAAACATAGATCAAGTTAAAAGGACATATTGAAGGTCAAAATAACAATGATCACTAATTTTCTATAGATGGTTTGTAAGGATTAGTTTTGTTTTTATGATCACTAAACCAAATAAGAGAGGTAACAGTACACCTACCCTGACTGGTATCAAAACAAAGTTTACCAAGGAAGGTAGTTTGAGTGTGATGACGAATTGTTTTTGAACGCATAAAAGTGGTTTAAACTTTCTAATTGCTAGGGCTTCCACAAACTTTAGGATACACCCCAACCACGTTTTATAGATAGATTTAAAAGATGTGTTAACGTCAATTTTATGTCCTGTCACTATAATATGTTTTGCAATAGAGGAGCTAGGTCTCCTGTTCTGACCATTAATGGGTTCTGGGGATTCAGTTTGCTTCTGGAGCCATTTAAGAATATGCTCCGCTAGGGCATCTTTTAGCAGATATCTGTATGTCGTACAATGAGAGTTTATAGGAAGATATAATCGAAAAAGTGCCAATTTATAGAAGGTATGTAGATGATATTGTAATCATAAATGATAAGCCTCGTTCTGCCACCTCAGTTTTAAATCGAATGAATGAAGTTCAGAGTAGCATATCACTTACCTCTGTAGAAGAGGAAAATAATTGTTTATCTTTCCTAGACACATTGCTTAGTTGACGGCTTGATAGGTCAATAAAACTATCTATTTATAGAAAACCTACCTGGGCAGGACAGTATCTTAATAACCACAGTTTCTGTCCTGTTCGGTACACAAAAGCCTTGGTAAGGTGTCTCTTCAGTAGAATCCAACCAATATGCACTGAAAACACACTTGATGAAGAAGAAAGAAAGTTGACAAAAACTCTGGTTGATAAAAGTTATCCAAACAAGTTCACCAGGAGATATATAGTAGTTAGAACACCAAGACCCACTCTCCAGCTCGCCCCTAAGAAAGATGTATACATCAAGCTACCCTATATGGGGCGTCATAGCAGCTTGATAACTAGACATAGAATGAACACTGGTATTAAAAAGACTTTTTATGCAGCTATTATCATAATAATTGAGAATGTGAAGCCAATATATCCATCTAAGCCCTCTGAACATGCAAAAAATATCACATCCCACTTTATTTACCAATTTGAGTGTATGTGTGGACACACATACATAGGGAGGACTCATCGATCTCTGCAGATTAATGGTCAGAACAGGAGACCTAGCTCCTCTATTGCAAAACATATTATAGTGACAGGACATAAAATTGACGTTAACACATCTTTTAAATCTATCTATAAAACGTGGTTGGGGTGTATCCTAAAGTTTGTGGAAGCCCTAGCAATTAGAAAGTTTAAACCACTTTTATGCGTTCAAAAACAATTCGTCATCACACTCAAACTACCTTCCTTGGTAAACTTTGTTTTGATACCAGTCAGGGTAGGTGTACTGTTACCTCTCTTATTTGGTTTAGTGATCATAAAAACAAAACTAATCCTTACAAACCATCTATAGAAAATTAGTGATCATTGTTATTTTGACCTTCAATATGTCCTTTTAACTTGATCTATGTTTATTCTCTCACCTCTTAACTCTTGATTAACTTCATACATATTCCTATGACAAGTCTGTATGTGATCAGATTGTTTGAAGTGTTTTGTGCAAATACATTACACGATTCAGACAAATTACGTCTTCTTATTGCTTTATCAAAATTCCTAAAGGGAACTAATTGTTTTGAAATAAGCTGTGATATTTGAAATTTCTAGCAAACTACATGTTATAGTGCCAAATTAAATTTGTCGAAGCGATAAGTAACTATTAAGTAAGATGTCAAATAAAAATGGATCTTATCGGATAAAAATGGCAGTAGTTGAGGTATACCTTTATCGATTTGCTCGGGCATAGAAAACATTTTAAACAGCAGACATATTACTAAACACTATATTACTAGGATGGACTTCAATTACTTTAATAACGGTCTACGAAAATAGCAATAAAACATGTCGTAATTCACTATGTGATTTAAATAAGGACTGCCAGAACAAACAGAATTAAAGATTGCAGAAGACCTGTAGTATGACTATGCGTATAGTAATGCATACATATGGCTGTATTTCTGAGAATATGATCACCGAACTATGAAATACGTATGCATTCTCATCATACCGTCGGACGGCATACATTAGAATGATGTGCTGAAGGTAACTGCAACACAATTTGAGTGTAATTAAAGGTTAAAGCTCTAATTCAAGATAACACTTTATTTCACTTTAACTTATGTACATTTACTGAAAACATCCTAAGGCAATATCGTGTAACTCCATTTTTAACTGATACGTACGCTTCATTAGTTATTTCCCTCTATTTTGAAACCTTAAACAGTATCAACGTGATATGCGAATTGTATCCCCTCAAATTTACCTCTTTAGAAATTACACACTAACAACAGATAATATTTAATGCATTGCTGAAATAAAAAAATTCATCTAGTTAGGTTTTGAAGTATTCAATAAGGAAAATTCAGATTGCAAACAGATCACCCAGAAACAGATAGTAAAGAAGGTCTGTGGCATAGGAGAGGGATAAACATAACGGCATAATGCACGATGACATCAGCAATAGATACTAATTAAATTAAGTGCCATGCTACGAATAAAAATCCAAGCTGCACCAATAACAGTCAACATTAAGGCCCAGTGATGGACCACAGTATTTGACCGAAGAAAGCAGACAATAGGGCGTAAAAAGTGTACACCAAAGACAATAGACAGCTTCCTGACAAAATAATAACACAAAACTGAGGCAGGATAACCAACTGAGGAAAAATCCAACAAGTAAAAGCTGAGACATAAAGAATCAAAATAAGGAAAACAATTACAAATACAAAAAACGCTTGAAAAAAATTTGGCGAAAAAACAAACAATTGGGGGAAAATTACTCAGCGAAAAAACAGAAAACACACAAAAAAATGAGAAAAAACACATTGAAAAAAGTGAAAAAAAGGAAAATAGAAAAATCAGCGAGAATACACAGACAAGAATAAACACATGATAGCATGAACGTCAAATCATATACACTTACCGGCGAAGCTGCAAAAACAGAAGTGTCCGAAGAGGTGCCCGATGAAGCAACCAAAGGAACGCATGAACACAAGCGTTCAGAAGAAGAAATAATGACGCCAACAGAAAGGGGAGCACGAACCTCAACAGGAAGAGAAGTATAATCAGAAAGGAAAACCGAAAAATCACCAGATATATCACACAGAGATGACTGTATGTCAGAGTCCCAACCACTGTCTCCACCTCGTCTCTCAGGAATCTCAGACAACAACTCCGAGTCACGCGTAGAATCCACTCCAATCACACCACCATCTACACCCGCCGGTAGAACACTCTCACTCCTCATCATCACTGATCTATCCACACCACCGTCGACTACGCCAACACCGGATACACCAGGCACATCCGACACACCATACTCCCTCAATCTCTCCGAAGATGCTGCTACACCAGCTACTTCGCCATCCTCTACAACAACACGTGACGCGTCATACAGGAAGCTCAAATCACCACGTTCACCAACTCTGGTGTCTGTCATCATCAGATCTGATGGACGATCTGTCGATTCTCGCTGACCTGAAGTCAATTCACTCACTACAGCACCATCATCAATAACACCCACAGCCACTGCACCGTCCAATTCACCCACTGACTCTACACCAGACAACCTCCTCACACCAACCTCAGAGACAGGCTCAAACGCCTCTGTAGACGGACACACTACACCTCCTGATCTCGACGACATCGACTCCACAGCAAGGCCAATCAAACCCACAGGCGCCAACAAACCAGTCAACATCATCTTACCAAGACTCTCAAGACGTCCAGAACTCGGATCACGAATCAACGATCGCTCACCCGATATAAGTCCACTGTCCACAGCCTGTGCCAACGTCAACACCTCACCACTCGATGGATCACGAACTAGGCCGGACTTCGTGTCAACAAGACCGGATTCAATCGCTTCACACAAATCAAGTCCACGTCGGTCATGCATAACAGACACTTCTCCAGACCTCACACCATCAGATGACAGCATGTCAGAGTCCCAACCACTGTCTCCACCTCGTCTCTCAGGAATCTCAGACAACAACTCCGAGTCACGCGTAGAATCCACTCCAATCACACCACCATCTACACCCGCCGGTAGAACACTCTCACTCCTCATCATCACTGATCTATCCACACCACCGTCGACTACGCCAACACCGGATACACCAGGCACATCCGACACACCATACTCCCTCAATCTCTCCGAAGATGCTGCTACACCAGCTACTTCGCCATCCTCTACAACAACACGTGACGCGTCATACAGGAAGCTCAAATCACCACGTTCACCAACTCTGGTGTCTGTCATCATCAGATCTGATGGACGATCTGTCGATTCTCGCTGACCTGAAGTCAATTCACTCACTACAGCACCATCATCAATAACACCCACAGCCACTGCACCGTCCAATTCACCCACTGACTCTACACCAGACAACCTCCTCACACCAACCTCAGAGACAGGCTCAAACGCCTCTGTAGACGGACACACTACACCTCCTGATCTCGACGACATCGACTCCACAGCAAGGCCAATCAAACCCACAGGCGCCAACAAACCAGTCAACATCATCTTACCAAGACTCTCAAGACGTCCAGAACTCGGATCACGAATCAACGATCGCTCACCCGATATAAGTCCACTGTCCACAGCCTGTGCCAACGTCAACACCTCACCACTCGATGGATCACGAACTAGGCCGGACTTCGTGTCAACAAGACCGGATTCAATCGCTTCACACAAATCAAGTCCACGTCGGTCATGCATAACAGACACTTCTCCAGACCTCACACCATCAGATGACAGCATGTCAGAGTCCCAACCACTGTCTCCACCTCGTCTCTCAGGAATCTCAGACAACAACTCCGAGTCACGCGTAGAATCCACTCCAATCACACCACCATCTACACCCGCCGGTAGAACACTCTCACTCCTCATCATCACTGATCTATCCACACCACCGTCGACTACGCCAACACCGGATACACCAGGCACATCCGACACACCATACTCCCTCAATCTCTCCGAAGATGCTGCTACACCAGCTACTTCGCCATCCTCTACAACAACACGTGACGCGTCATACAGGAAGCTCAAATCACCACGTTCACCAACTCTGGTGTCTGTCATCATCAGATCTGATGGACGATCTGTCGATTCTCGCTGACCTGAAGTCAATTCACTCACTACAGCACCATCATCAATAACACCCACAGCCACTGCACCGTCCAATTCACCCACTGACTCTACACCAGACAACCTCCTCACACCAACCTCAGAGACAGGCTCAAACGCCTCTGTAGACGGACACACTACACCTCCTGATCTCGACGACATCGACTCCACAGCAAGGCCAATCAAACCCACAGGCGCCAACAAACCAGTCAACATCATCTTACCAAGACTCTCAAGACGTCCAGAACTCGGATCACGAATCAACGATCGCTCACCCGATATAAGTCCACTGTCCACAGCCTGTGCCAACGTCAACACCTCACCACTCGATGGATCACGAACTAGGCCGGACTTCGTGTCAACAAGACCGGATTCAATCGCTTCACACAAATCAAGTCCACGTCGGTCATGCATAACAGACACTTCTCCAGACCTCACACCATCGGATGACAGCATGTCAGAGTCCCAACCACTGTCTCCACCTCGTCTCTCAGGAATCTCAGACAACAACTCCGAGTCACGCGTAGAATCCACTCCAATCACACCACCATCTACACCCGCCGGTAGAACACTCTCACTCCTCATCATCACTGATCTATCCACACCACCGTCGACTACGCCAACACCGGATACACCAGGCACATCCGACACACCATACTCCCTCAATCTCTCCGAAGATGCTGCTACACCAGCTACTTCGCCATCCTCTACAACAACACGTGACGCGTCATACAGGAAGCTCAAATCACCACGTTCACCAACTCTGGTGTCTGTCATCATCAGATCTGATGGACGATCTGTCGATTCTCGCTGACCTGAAGTCAATTCACTCACTACAGCACCATCATCAATAACACCCACAGCCACTGCACCGTCCAATTCACCCACTGACTCTACACCAGACAACCTCCTCACACCAACCTCAGAGACAGGCTCAAACGCCTCTGTAGACGGACACACTACACCTCCTGATCTCGACGACATCGACTCCACAGCAAGGCCAATCAAACCCACAGGCGCCAACAAACCAGTCAACATCATCTTACCAAGACTCTCAAGACGTCCAGAACTCGGATCACGAATCAACGATCGCTCACCCGATATAAGTCCACTGTCCACAGCCTGTGCCAACGTCAACACCTCACCACTCGATGGATCACGAACTAGGCCGGACTTCGTGTCAACAAGACCGGATTCAATCGCTTCACACAAATCAAGTCCACGTCGGTCATGCATAACAGACACTTCTCCAGACCTCACACCATCAGATGACAGCATGTCAGAGTCCCAACCACTGTCTCCACCTCGTCTCTCAGGAATCTCAGACAACAACTCCGAGTCACGCGTAGAATCCACTCCAATCACACCACCATCTACACCCGCCGGTAGAACACTCTCACTCCTCATCATCACTGATCTATCCACACCACCGTCGACTACGCCAACACCGGATACACCAGGCACATCCGACACACCATACTCCCTCAATCTCTCCGAAGATGCTGCTACACCAGCTACTTCGCCATCCTCTACAACAACACGTGACGCGTCATACAGGAAGCTCAAATCACCACGTTCACCAACTCTGGTGTCTGTCATCATCAGATCTGATGGACGATCTGTCGATTCTCGCTGACCTGAAGTCAATTCACTCACTACAGCACCATCATCAATAACACCCACAGCCACTGCACCGTCCAATTCACCCACTGACTCTACACCAGACAACCTCCTCACACCAACCTCAGAGACAGGCTCAAACGCCTCTGTAGACGGACACACTACACCTCCTGATCTCGACGACATCGACTCCACAGCAAGGCCAATCAAACCCACAGGCGCCAACAAACCAGTCAACATCATCTTACCAAGACTCTCAAGACGTCCAGAACTCGGATCACGAATCAACGATCGCTCACCCGATATAAGTCCACTGTCCACAGCCTGTGCCAACGTCAACACCTCACCACTCGATGGATCACGAACTAGGCCGGACTTCGTGTCAACAAGACCGGATTCAATCGCTTCACACAAATCAAGTCCACGTCGGTCATGCATAACAGACACTTCTCCAGACCTCACACCATCAGATGACAGCATGTCAGAGTCCCAACCACTGTCTCCACCTCGTCTCTCAGGAATCTCAGACAACAACTCCGAGTCACGCGTAGAATCCACTCCAATCACACCACCATCTACACCCGCCGGTAGAACACTCTCACTCCTCATCATCACTGATCTATCCACACCACCGTCGACTACGCCAACACCGGATACACCAGGCACATCCGACACACCATACTCCCTCAATCTCTCCGAAGATGCTGCTACACCAGCTACTTCGCCATCCTCTACAACAACACGTGACGCGTCATACAGGAAGCTCAAATCACCACGTTCACCAACTCTGGTGTCTGTCATCATCAGATCTGATGGACGATCTGTCGATTCTCGCTGACCTGAAGTCAATTCACTCACTACAGCACCATCATCAATAACACCCACAGCCACTGCACCGTCCAATTCACCCACTGACTCTACACCAGACAACCTCCTCACACCAACCTCAGAGACAGGCTCAAACGCCTCTGTAGACGGACACACTACACCTCCTGATCTCGACGACATCGACTCCACAGCAAGGCCAATCAAACCCACAGGCGCCAACAAACCAGTCAACATCATCTTACCAAGACTCTCAAGACGTCCAGAACTCGGATCACGAATCAACGATCGCTCACCCGATATAAGTCCACTGTCCACAGCCTGTGCCAACGTCAACACCTCACCACTCGATGGATCACGAACTAGGCCGGACTTCGTGTCAACAAGACCGGATTCAATCGCTTCACACAAATCAAGTCCACGTCGGTCATGCATAACAGACACTTCTCCAGACCTCACACCATCAGATGACAGCATGTCAGAGTCCCAACCACTGTCTCCACCTCGTCTCTCAGGAATCTCAGACAACAACTCCGAGTCACGCGTAGAATCCACTCCAATCACACCACCATCTACACCCGCCGGTAGAACACTCTCACTCCTCATCATCACTGATCTATCCACACCACCGTCGACTACGCCAACACCGGATACACCAGGCACATCCGACACACCATACTCCCTCAATCTCTCCGAAGATGCTGCTACACCAGCTACTTCGCCATCCTCTACAACAACACGTGACGCGTCATACAGGAAGCTCAAATCACCACGTTCACCAACTCTGGTGTCTGTCATCATCAGATCTGATGGACGATCTGTCGATTCTCGCTGACCTGAAGTCAATTCACTCACTACAGCACCATCATCAATAACACCCACAGCCACTGCACCGTCCAATTCACCCACTGACTCTACACCAGACAACCTCCTCACACCAACCTCAGAGACAGGCTCAAACGCCTCTGTAGACGGACACACTACACCTCCTGATCTCGACGACATCGACTCCACAGCAAGGCCAATCAAACCCACAGGCGCCAACAAACCAGTCAACATCATCTTACCAAGACTCTCAAGACGTCCAGAACTCGGATCACGAATCAACGATCGCTCACCCGATATAAGTCCACTGTCCACAGCCTGTGCCAACGTCAACACCTCACCACTCGATGGATCACGAACTAGGCCGGACTTCGTGTCAACAAGACCGGATTCAATCGCTTCACACAAATCAAGTCCACGTCGGTCATGCATAACAGACACTTCTCCAGACCTCACACCATCAGATGACAGCATGTCAGAGTCCCAACCACTGTCTCCACCTCGTCTCTCAGGAATCTCAGACAACAACTCCGAGTCACGCGTAGAATCCACTCCAATCACACCACCATCTACACCCGCCGGTAGAACACTCTCACTCCTCATCATCACTGATCTATCCACACCACCGTCGACTACGCCAACACCGGATACACCAGGCACATCCGACACACCATACTCCCTCAATCTCTCCGAAGATGCTGCTACACCAGCTACTTCGCCATCCTCTACAACAACACGTGACGCGTCATACAGGAAGCTCAAATCACCACGTTCACCAACTCTGGTGTCTGTCATCATCAGATCTGATGGACGATCTGTCGATTCTCGCTGACCTGAAGTCAATTCACTCACTACAGCACCATCATCAATAACACCCACAGCCACTGCACCGTCCAATTCACCCACTGACTCTACACCAGACAACCTCCTCACACCAACCTCAGAGACAGGCTCAAACGCCTCTGTAGACGGACACACTACACCTCCTGATCTCGACGACATCGACTCCACAGCAAGGCCAATCAAACCCACAGGCGCCAACAAACCAGTCAACATCATCTTACCAAGACTCTCAAGACGTCCAGAACTCGGATCACGAATCAACGATCGCTCACCCGATATAAGTCCACTGTCCACAGCCTGTGCCAACGTCAACACCTCACCACTCGATGGATCACGAACTAGGCCGGACTTCGTGTCAACAAGACCGGATTCAATCGCTTCACACAAATCAAGTCCACGTCGGTCATGCATAACAGACACTTCTCCAGACCTCACACCATCAGATGACAGCATGTCAGAGTCCCAACCACTGTCTCCACCTCGTCTCTCAGGAATCTCAGACAACAACTCCGAGTCACGCGTAGAATCCACTCCAATCACACCACCATCTACACCCGCCGGTAGAACACTCTCACTCCTCATCATCACTGATCTATCCACACCACCGTCGACTACGCCAACACCGGATACACCAGGCACATCCGACACACCATACTCCCTCAATCTCTCCGAAGATGCTGCTACACCAGCTACTTCGCCATCCTCTACAACAACACGTGACGCGTCATACAGGAAGCTCAAATCACCACGTTCACCAACTCTGGTGTCTGTCATCATCAGATCTGATGGACGATCTGCCGATTCTCGCTGACCTGAAGTCAATTCACTCACTACAGCACCATCATCAATAACACCCACAGCCACTGCACCGTCCAATTCACCCACTGACTCTACACCAGACAACCTCCTCACACCAACCTCAGAGACAGGCTCAAACGCCTCTGTAGACGGACACACTACACCTCCTGATCTCGACGACATCGACTCCACAGCAAGGCCAATCAAACCCACAGGCGCCAACAAACCAGTCAACATCATCTTACCAAGACTCTCAAGACGTCCAGAACTCGGATCACGAATCAACGATCGCTCACCCGATATAAGTCCACTGTCCACAGCCTGTGCCAACGTCAACACCTCACCACTCGATGGATCACGAACTAGGCCGGACTTCGTGTCAACAAGACCGGATTCAATCGCTTCACACAAATCAAGTCCACGTCGGTCATGCATAACAGACACTTCTCCAGACCTCACACCATCAGATGACAGCATGTCAGAGTCCCAACCACTGTCTCCACCTCGTCTCTCAGGAATCTCAGACAACAACTCCGAGTCACGCGTAGAATCCACTCCAATCACACCACCATCTACACCCGCCGGTAGAACACTCTCACTCCTCATCATCACTGATCTATCCACACCACCGTCGACTACGCCAACACCGGATACACCAGGCACATCCGACACACCATACTCCCTCAATCTCTCCGAAGATGCTGCTACACCAGCTACTTCGCCATCCTCTACAACAACACGTGACGCGTCATACAGGAAGCTCAAATCACCACGTTCACCAACTCTGGTGTCTGTCATCATCAGATCTGATGGACGATCTGCCGATTCTCGCTGACCTGAAGTCAATTCACTCACTACAGCACCATCATCAATAACACCCACAGCCACTGCACCGTCCAATTCACCCACTGACTCTACACCAGACAACCTCCTCACACCAACCTCAGAGACAGGCTCAAACGCCTCTGTAGACGGACACACTACACCTCCTGATCTCGACGACATCGACTCCACAGCAAGGCCAATCAAACCCACAGGCGCCAACAAACCAGTCAACATCATCTTACCAAGACTCTCAAGACGTCCAGAACTCGGATCACGAATCAACGATCGCTCACCCGATATAAGTCCACTGTCCACAGCCTGTGCCAACGTCAACACCTCACCACTCGATGGATCACGAACTAGGCCGGACTTCGTGTCAACAAGACCGGATTCAATCGCTTCACACAAATCAAGTCCACGTCGGTCATGCATAACAGACACTTCTCCAGACCTCACACCATCAGATGACAGCATGTCAGAGTCCCAACCACTGTCTCCACCTCGTCTCTCAGGAATCTCAGACAACAACTCCGAGTCACGCGTAGAATCCACTCCAATCACACCACCATCTACACCCGCCGGTAGAACACTCTCACTCCTCATCATCACTGATCTATCCACACCACCGTCGACTACGCCAACACCGGATACACCAGGCACATCCGACACACCATACTCCCTCAATCTCTCCGAAGATGCTGCTACACCAGCTACTTCGCCATCCTCTACAACAACACGTGACGCGTCATACAGGAAGCTCAAATCACCACGTTCACCAACTCTGGTGTCTGTCATCATCAGATCTGATGGACGATCTGCCGATTCTCGCTGACCTGAAGTCAATTCACTCACTACAGCACCATCATCAATAACACCCACAGCCACTGCACCGTCCAATTCACCCACTGACTCTACACCAGACAACCTCCTCACACCAACCTCAGAGACAGGCTCAAACGCCTCTGTAGACGGACACACTACACCTCCTGATCTCGACGACATCGACTCCACAGCAAGGCCAATCAAACCCACAGGCGCCAACAAACCAGTCAACATCATCTTACCAAGACTCTCAAGACGTCCAGAACTCGGATCACGAATCAACGATCGCTCACCCGATATAAGTCCACTGTCCACAGCCTGTGCCAACGTCAACACCTCACCACTCGATGGATCACGAACTAGGCCGGACTTCGTGTCAACAAGACCGGATTCAATCGCTTCACACAAATCAAGTCCACGTCGGTCATGCATAACAGACACTTCTCCAGACCTCACACCATCAGATGACAGCATGTCAGAGTCCCAACCACTGTCTCCACCTCGTCTCTCAGGAATCTCAGACAACAACTCCGAGTCACGCGTAGAATCCACTCCAATCACACCACCATCTACACCCGCCGGTAGAACACTCTCACTCCTCATCATCACTGATCTATCCACACCACCGTCGACTACGCCAACACCGGATACACAGGCACATCCGACACACCATACTCCCTCAATCTCTCCGAAGATGCTGCTACACCAGCTACTTCGCCATCCTCTACAACAACACGTGACGCGTCATACAGGAAGCTCAAATCACCACGTTCACCAACTCTGGTGTCTGTCATCATCAGATCTGATGGACGATCTGCCGATTCTCGCTGACCTGAAGTCAATTCACTCACTACAGCACCATCATCAATAACACCCACAGCCACTGCACCGTCCAATTCACCCACTGACTCTACACCAGACAACCTCCTCACACCAACCTCAGAGACAGGCTCAAACGCCTCTGTAGACGGACACACTACACCTCCTGATCTCGACGACATCGACTCCACAGCAAGGCCAATCAAACCCACAGGCGCCAACAAACCAGTCAACATCATCTTACCAAGACTCTCAAGACGTCCAGAACTCGGATCACGAATCAACGATCGCTCACCCGATATAAGTCCACTGTCCACAGCCTGTGCCAACGTCAACACCTCACCACTCGATGGATCACGAACTAGGCCGGACTTCGTGTCAACAAGACCGGATTCAATCGCTTCACACAAATCAAGTCCACGTCGGTCATGCATAACAGACACTTCTCCAGACCTCACACCATCAGATGACAGCATGTCAGAGTCCCAACCACTGTCTCCACCTCGTCTCTCAGGAATCTCAGACAACAACTCCGAGTCACGCGTAGAATCCACTCCAATCACACCACCATCTACACCCGCCGGTAGAACACTCTCACTCCTCATCATCACTGATCTATCCACACCACCGTCGACTACGCCAACACCGGATACACCAGGCACATCCGACACACCATACTCCCTCAATCTCTCCGAAGATGCTGCTACACCAGCTACTTCGCCATCCTCTACAACAACACGTGACGCGTCATACAGGAAGCTCAAATCACCACGTTCACCAACTCTGGTGTCTGTCATCATCAGATCTGATGGACGATCTGTCGATTCTCGCTGACCTGAAGTCAATTCACTCACTACAGCACCATCATCAATAACACCCACAGCCACTGCACCGTCCAATTCACCCACTGACTCTACACCAGACAACCTCCTCACACCAACCTCAGAGACAGGCTCAAACGCCTCTGTAGACGGACACACTACACCTCCTGATCTCGACGACATCGACTCCACAGCAAGGCCAATCAAACCCACAGGCGCCAACAAACCAGTCAACATCATCTTACCAAGACTCTCAAGACGTCCAGAACTCGGATCACGAATCAACGATCGCTCACCCGATATAAGTCCACTGTCCACAGCCTGTGCCAACGTCAACACCTCACCACTCGATGGATCACGAACTAGGCCGGACTTCGTGTCAACAAGACCGGATTCAATCGCTTCACACAAATCAAGTCCACGTCGGTCATGCATAACAGACACTTCTCCAGACCTCACACCATCAGATGACAGCATGTCAGAGTCCCAACCACTGTCTCCACCTCGTCTCTCAGGAATCTCAGACAACAACTCCGAGTCACGCGTAGAAGCCACTTGAATCCCTGGTTTTTTTTCAGTTTTTTGTATGTTGCTTCTGGTGGTTAATAATTTTTCGTTTTCATTTTCCCGTTGGAATTTTTTGTTGTTTTCTTGGATAGTATTTTTTTCTAGATGGGTAGTGTTTCTTTTTTTTTCCTGGGTGTTTTCATTTTGGTTTATCGAGGATGCTATATCTGTTGTGTCTGTTTCTTTGTTTTTGCATATTTGTGCTTGCTTCAGCACTGTTTTGTATATTATTTCCTGATCAGTTTCGCTTACATTCGTCTTGATTTTCACATTCCTTCTTCCACGGTTCAGTGTTCCATATTTCGCTGTTTTTAGGATAAGATTTAAGAGGTTGGAACGCCAGTGAGTGCATACTAACTCGGCAGAAACTTTCTGGATTATTGATGTTGTGGCATCTAATAATGTCGCTAAACTGTAGTAAACTGGAATTTGTTGGTCTCCGTATAAAGGATATTCACCTAAACTCTCCTCAGTATGGTGCTGTACACAGACTAATAACTGTGAGGGATCAATTAAAGCTCTTTCTACAGCTTCCATCAAATTAATGGTACTAGTTCGACCACAGTGAGTTCTAAGTAAACCATCCTGAACATCCACCCATCCCCTTTGAATGGCTGTTTCAAGAAGTATATAACGTGGAATATTTTGAGATTGTAATTTTGGTGTGATTGTTGGAGTAGGATCAGGTTGTTGATACCTAACGAGAGATAAAGTAATAGCTGGGAGTGTGGTATTATCAACTAAATTTATGGGCTGCATAAAGTGTGTATGCTTTTTCAATAAAGCTCCAGGTGAATTATCAAAATGTAAATTCTGGATATTTAAGAGGTTGAAAATCGAAATGAATATAAAAACAGGAAAATTAATTGAAATTTGTAAAATTGCAAACAATAAATTAGTAGAGGACAAACATGCAGACAAGCATGCATAATAAGCAAGCAGGCAAGTAGACAAAGAAAGCAAATGGGCAGGCAAGCAGTGGTTGGTACGATGCAGCAGGATATAGATAAGGAACCGATAAGTAACCAAACGGGAAACCAGGCGGAAAGCAACAGTAATAGGGGGAAGTGGTTTACCATAATTTGATCATCACAGTGATTATTATTATGATGATGAATGATGATGATAATGATAATGATTATTATTACGATTATAATAATGATGATGGCAGTGGTATTATTATCATTATTATATAGACACATTAAAAATGACCATCATAATAAAAATTATTAATATCATTCATGACAACAATGATACAACGTAAAAATGGGAAAAAAAGAGGAAAAGAGAGAGAACTTCAGTTAGTCTAATTATCTTTTGATATTTAAATTAAAAAAAAAAATTAAAATTACAGCGAAAAACTGATGTGTTACCAGTTGAATTGAGTTAATGTTATGTTAAAAAAAAATCAGTCCTTTGTCCCGCTACTTTATGATTGATGAGCGAAGCATTTCAACGTTTTACACGTAATATTGAATTACTCAGTTAAGCGATCGTAACGCAAATCTTATTTCATTTATTTTTTTATTACAGCTTGATTCCACACTGTATTTTTGGTACAAGTATGGAATTTTTCAGCATGGATATCGGTAACCCAAATTTTGCAGGCCGATCATACATATCAGGTGTGCGCCGGCGTGGGCTCGAACCCCGGACCATGTGCATGGTCGGCGAGAGTCATAACCACTTTGCCACCGACCATAAACTCAACCATTCGGTCAATAATTTATATAAAATGTAATACAAATGTAGGCACAATATCTTATAAGTAAAATTAAGTGGTTATTCAGAACTGATTAACTTTGTTTTGTTAGTTTTCAGCTAAACAAAGGGTAGTTTTCATCTTCTGTATCACAAATCATTCAATACTAAGTTGTCTTAATTTGATATAATCTATGGATTTTTAAAAGATGGAAATTGATTTTTTGAATCTTCTCTCAATTACCCGGAGCAGATTTTTCATGTTCCCGGCTAAGAACTGAACCTATCGTGTTAGGGCTTATAATACTGACCAGTTGCATAGGCTGAAGTAGGTGGAGCGGAACTCGAACCCGTGGAAACCAAATGATAAAGCGAATGGCCCAACATCTCGCTACCTAGACCATTCTGGACTGTTTAGTACTAGTTCACGTACACAAGAATGGTAGTATAAGTTCCCTCCTCTTAAAGTTAGTTTGTATGAATGATCCTTTATATACTTACCAATTTTATACTCTAAGTTGACTATGTGGTACGACGTAACTGTTATACACTATTATAGAAGCTAAAGACAATACAAAGTGCGGTCATTTTACAACTAATGACTGAATCATAGAAACAAAATGAAAATCACTAATCATCTTGAAATAGAAGCAGGAGGCAAAAGGTTAGATGCATTTATCTAGAGGTTCATTTATATCTATGGGATTAATTCATATTATCAAATCTTGAAATCTATCCATTTTTATTTTGAATATTCGACAGTATTTACTTCGGTTTCGAATTTAAACGATCCATAGGTTACTTTTTTTAAAACTCACACTCGATGCTATAAATGGTTAGCTCTAATGAACAATTATTTCCTGCTCTTCACTCTCCTAGCCGTTCTTCAAACGATGTTAGTTTAAAGGAAAACTACCTTCAAATTAAACAAGTCTGTAAATCACAACTTAAATGACAGTATTAGATGATATGAATGACCAAGATTAAACATTCACCAAACAGCAAATATTAGCAGTTAGACAGAAAGAAGAGGAGAATATTTCACCATAATATAAAGGTTAGATAAAGATCAATACTTCTGTACTTTCGCTTTATGTTGTATCCTCTGGTTATAATTATAATGCTTTGAATAGTTACTCAAAAGAGGATTTAAACAGTAAGTGATTGAACTGTGTGGTAATGATTTCTATCGGAGAAAGTTTTAAAGACTTATTTCCCCTAGAGTTATTTATTTTGGTGTATTAATGACTGACGAAGTAGTGTTATTGTTTTTATTTTTATAAATAAATCTCCAAACTTTGTTTACTCAGTGTTTACTTCAAAATTTTTCATCAACTGAATTAATACAGACAAAAACGTGAATGAATAACTGAAAAATCTTTTTGTAGATATGTTCCAAGAAGTGCTGAAAACCTGTTTGAATTCATGTAACGCTTTGGTTCTGACTAAGTAGAGGAGATTGTAGCATACCTGCTTCTTGTATTAGATCGTATGTGAGGTTTTAAATTCATACTACTTTAGAGTTCCTAAGTGGGACAAAATCTCAATCCAGTACTTCTTATATTTTAGTGATTCTTCTAGATAATGCTTCAAATCCATAATATTTTCACGAAATTAATTGCTGAAAATATTATGGATTTGAAGCCTATTCAACAAGCTGGGAGAAAGAATGCAAGGAGCTTACAATCAATTAATTATGTATCATATTTAATATGACTATTTTTATTCAAATAAAAAATGAATTTAAAAAAATAAGGATATCAATAGAATTTACCTGACTAGATTTATCGAACACTTCTTTACGAAGAATAACTTGTTCGCTGGGTATTGTGTCTGTCGTATTGATCGACTTGCCTTGTTGATACACATGATCACTTTCATCTGGTTTAGACTGGTCATCTGGTTTAATATGAAATCGCATAGACGCTTCTTTCGGTGTACGATGATTCGGTCGACAACTTGGTGGTGTTTTACATGGTATTTGACGCTTTAAATTTAGTGTTGTTTGAAGTAAGGAAAGTGTAGACTTGGGATCAACTGAACAAGTTTCTTTATTGATAGCATTGTTTTGAATATTGTTACCAGCACGACGAACTGTATGTACACATGTTGTAAAAGTTGTAGTCTCTTCAATTGTACGTACATGAACATGATCAAATGAACTGCCAATTAAATCAAACGGTGGTGGATTACCAACAGGTAATGCCTGTATCCAACCTTGATAGAGAGCTTCTTCAATTGAATATAAATTTCCATTCACTGGATGAGTATATGTACAATGGATAGGATCAATAATCCCGGTATCTATAGCATCTGATATCGAAACAAGACTGTTTAAATAAGGATCAAATACTCTTTCTAGACGATATATGTCATGACGATAGTGGAAAACTTCTAGCCAGTATAATAGATTAGAATCTTGTTGGCCATTTTCTGAAAGTTGTTCAGCTTGAGTGAAAACAATACCAAAAACGAAACCTTTAGTTAGAGCTTCGGGGATAGGAAAAAACTTTCCACTTGTTGGATCACAAATAATCTTTTTGTATACATCTACACGTCCTTCACGAACCATTGTATCTGTAATGGCTGCTTCAACTCGTACATCTTCGTGTAGATAGTAAAAGGCATAGAGAACACAGTTGCGCTCCTTTAGTTTAGGTATTTCACAACTTTTAATTCTTGGCTTTTTGCGGATAGTGTATTCATCGCCATTATCACCATCATCGTTACCCTTCGATTTATGGCGTAGATTGCAGTGAGACGATTTACCGCGTAGTTTTCCAACACCATGACAGTCTAAAAATTTAATTATTCTTGATTCTGTGCGACCACCTGTAGCAATAAAATCATTTCCATTACTTAGCATATGACCAGATGATGAAACCGGAGGTAGTGTATTAGTACGTGATGCAACAGTAGATGGATCTTTTGAGCTTTGACGTTTAATAGCTATTAAAGAATCCATACTGTGAGTATATCCTTTGCTAGGTAAGCCAGGAGAATTTTCGTGTATAGTCTAAAAATGACAGACAATTAACGAAACAGTTATTCAAAAAGGAAAAGGAACGAATTTATTATAATTTAACTAACTAAATCCTAATATAAAAATGTGTAAAAACAAACTTGGTAATTTATTACTAGTTTGACCACGGATTGATATCAGTTAGACAACTATTAAAAATCGGAGAGTACTGGACAGCCGTTTCATCCTAGTTCGGGAGTCATCGGCAGTACGCACCCACCGCCAGGGTTCGAACCCAGGACTTTCCGGTTACAAGGCAAGCTCGTATACCATTCAGCTACTGGGACCCGAGTGAATGGCCCATGAATTCTAACAAATTTAAGTTACTTATGTTTATTGGATATAATTTGATGAGGTCATACATAACGTAACTGCAGGGAAGTGTGATCAGTTAACCGAAGGCGGAAGCGAAAAACTGAGCGTATATTCTACTCAAGAATATGTGTTCAGAAAATAAAGTAAGGAACAGAAAACAACAAATTTACGTAATTCATTTTGTGCATCCCACCGTCTCACTCATGAAAGCTTTTTCTGAGCTAATTTAACCGAATATTTACGAAAAAAGATTACATCCAATGAGTCACACACCAAAAAAAGCACTTCTACATTCAAAGTGTATTGGAATATATATTCAAAAAAAGTAATACAGAGGACCATGTACATCTACAAACTCCTTCTGTCATTTTTTTCCCTTTCTTTATTTTAGTGATAGTACTTTTAGAGTTGTGATGCATTACACTATTCTAATATTCTTCATGTTCACAAGATAATCGAATATCTCAATTGTAATTTACGCTTTTTATAGCATCTTTTGTTGACAAAGGTTCGAAATCGTTCATAAATACAAGGTTTATAATTTTTTTTCTCAAATTAGATTTTTGATTTCGCAGCTATATGTTGAAGATGTTTACACTAACATGTCATCGAAGGTAAAACATCCTTGACCAACCGACTGCACTTTATATTATTATTATTATTGTATCCTTTAGTTCCTAGAGGAACATAGGGCTTCAGCTGCGCACCTCCATTGACTTCGGTTTTCTGACAACTTTTTCACCCTGCTCCAGGTCTGTCCACATGCTTTCATCTCCTCCTCGCATGACCTCCTCCAAGTCACCCTTGGACGACCAACTCGCCGCCTCCCTTTCGGGTTCCACTCGAGGGCTTGTCTAGTGATGTCACTTGATGGTTTCCTCAGCGTATGGCCAATCCATCTCCATTTCTTTCTGCCTATTTGTTTCACAATCGGTTCCTGATTGGTTCGCTCCCAGAGATCCCTGTTGCTGATCTTTTCTGGCCATCTGATCTTGAGTATTGAGCGGAGACAGTTGTTAATGAAGGTTTGAAGTTTGTTTGAGATGCTCTTTATGACTCGCCAAGTCTCTGATCCGTATAGTAGCACTGACTTCACATTGGAGTTGAAAATCCGGATCTTATTTTTGATGCTGATTGCTGTTGACCTCCACACAGATTTGAGAGTAATGAAAGCTTGTCTTGCTTTTCCGATTCTGGCTTTGATGTCCTCGTCAGTTCCGCCTGTAGTTGAGACGATGCTTCCCAGGTAGGTGAAGGAGGTTGTTTCTTTCAGGTTCTTCCCATTTATGCTTATTGTGGTCTGTTGTTGCTGTTGATGTTGATGTTGGCTAGGAATCTTCATCATCTCTGTTTTATCTATGTTCACGTGAAGTCCTATCTTTGATGCTTCTTCTGCCAACTTGTTACTTTTCATTTGCATATCTTCCAGTTTATGGGAAATCAGACATATATCATCGGCGAAATCCAGATCCTCCAAGTCTTTTGTGTCAGTCCATTTTATGCCTGTTCCCTCGTTGGTTGCCGTTGTCTGTCGCATTATCCAATCAATTGCAATCAGGAAGATCATTGGTGATAGTAGACAGCCTTGCCTCACTCCCGTCCTCACTTCGAAGGCTTCCGTAAGTTTCCCGTTGTGGATTACTTGGCATGCAGCATTGTCGTATAACTGTTGGATGAGGTGTATAATTGTCGATGGGACCCCGTAGTAGCGAAGTAGTTTCCAAATGACCTCTCGATCGACGCTGTCGAAGGCCTTTTCAAAGTCGATGAAGTTGAGATAGAGAGGTGACTGCCATTCCAAGCTTTGTTCAATGATGATCCGTAGAGTGGCGATTTGATCAATACATGATTTGTTTCTCCTGAATCCAGCCTGTTCCGGACGAAGTTTTTCATCTAGGGCTTGTTTGATTCTCTCCAGGATGATGCGACTTAGTATCTTGCTTGGAATGGACAGAAGCATAATTCCACGCCAGTTTTTACATTGACTTAAGTCTCCTTTCTTTGGAAGTTTGAATAAGTAACTGTTCTTCCAATCCTCGGGTACTTTGCCCTCTTTCCACACCTTCTCCAGTAGTGGTGTCATCAAGTCCGCTGTTGTCTCTGGGTCTATTTTCAAAGCCTCTGCTGGGATTCCATCTGGTCCCGGTGTTTTCCCAGTTTTAAGCATCTTGATTGCATTCAGGACTTCTGATTTCGTCGGGGGGTCAGTGTTCACTGGTAGTTCTGCTTCCGTTGTTGGTATTGCTGGACGTGTTGTAGGTGGCGGACGATTTAGAAGTCTTTTGAAGTGTTCAACCCAGTGCTTTCTCTGTTCCACCTCTTTGGTGATTGACTTTCCATTGTCGTCCTTTATTGGCTTAATCTGTGTCGAACGTTTGCCCGAAAGGTTCCTAGTTGTTTGGTAGAGTGTGGCGAGGTCTCCTTTGCCTGCAGCTTGTTCTGCTTCGTTTGCCATGGTTTCATAATATTTTCTTTTGTCTTCCCTGGCACTTTTCTTCACTCTTTTGTTCAGTGTATTGTAGCTTGCATTCAGCTCCTGTTTTTGTTGCTCGTCAGTGCACTTTATATAATGTAGACAATTTTTGCGTATTATTTACTGCTGAAGAATCCCAAACAAGGATGAAACGGCTATCCAGTACTCCCAGGTTTTCCAGTGGTTCTCTAACTGATGTCAGCTCATGATGAAATCCTCCATGCAATTAAAAAATAATTAAAAGAAGCCATCAACTTCGGTGACGAAATGGCCACGATATAACACCAAACTTTAGGTGATATGAGATGAATTCTGTAGAGCATGTTTGAGCACTGTAGCACTTTAGTTGTGCTATTCCAGCTTAGTTATCTGTAGCTATCAGTTATGTAGACGGCTAATGTAGTATTCGAAAGGTTACTTTAGAAATATAAAATGCGTACGTACATTTACATAGAAAAATAATATAATGTAGTGTTATGACTATCACTAATTCAGGTAAAACAAGGGGGTATCTACCGGGAAATCAATGCTAGAAAATAAAGGCTTAAATAACCAAACTCATTCATCAATGAGATTGAAGTTCACAAGATACAAATTTTCATCTATGCTGCAATCAGGTAAAAGCGGTTCCGGTTAGTCAGTCAGTTAGCAGAAGTCAATGGCTGGATAAATAACCGTTCGATAAAGCACAAAGTACTGTTTATGGTCATTGCATTATTTTAGAGAATTCAATGCTTCTCCTTTTACCTTCCAACCAACTGTTTCACTTCATGATGTCAATTAAATTACAGGTAATTAAAAAAACGGGCTTACTTCGACAACTGGAGGTTTTAGTAGTCCTTGTTTGATGGCATCGTGAACACTGATTGAATTCGATGGAGTGGTATCACTAGAAGTATTCAGTTGTTGAAAAGTATTTGTCACTGGATCTATCAAACCATCTTGAAGAGCTTTTTCAAAAGACAAAATTTCTGTTAAAGATGTCTGTTTTTCAGACACCAAACCTCTATTTACAGCTTCAGTTAAAGGAATCCGTTTGTTTTTATACAACAAAACTCTTTTATGATCATCGATTAAACCACGTGAAATTGCTTTGTTCAAAGGACACCATTCTTCTGTATTGGATTCTTTAACTAGTGTATTGTCAGCATCAACTAGACCCATAGTAATGGCGGTCTTTAAAGATATAGTATCTGCATCTTCTGGCAGTTTGATGGCGCATTTTAATCCCGATTGTTTCACTAATTGACCATTGTTGAATAGCTGAATTAAAGTAAATGGTGCTTTCTCTGTATAATCTACCATTAGATTATCACGGGATACATCGTAATCTGTAGTATGCACTGAAACATAACCTAATTGTTGAGCTGAATCAATTGATATACTTGGTTGAACACCATTATAAGTGAAAGACTCCAGATTAATAAGACCCTTCTTTACAGCCTCATTTGGATCAATTCGAGTGCTAGTATGAGGATCGAGAACATTTATAATTTTATATGTACATGTCTCTTTAACAGAAACAATTTCAATTGATCCATTGACTTCCGTATGAATTGACTGAGGTGTATACGTGTTACCATTCTGATAAATCGAAAAAATAAGGGGAAAGGAGTAAACACATACAAGAATTATAACTTGGAGGATAGCAAAACGGTATTGCATAAATGAATTTTATTTCTGTCCGATGAAACTTGGTCACATTGTCTACCTGAATATAAAGATTTCAGTCTGGTAGAGGTATCCTTAAAGCCATAACATAATAACAGATAATAAAACAACAGTTGTGACCAATTTGAGTGAGAGAAAAAAAACCCTTTTAATCAAATGATCCACTGACTCACAAATAAACATAGAACTTCACACAGACATGCATCACTTTTAACTAACACATTTCTAAGAAGTGTGCAAAAGGACAGAATAGAAATATATTGATAATAAAATGGAAAAGGTTGTATTGGAGGAAGCAGAAATTAATGGAAATATGGGGAATTTCAAAGATAATGAATGAATACGATTTTGAGCTATATCTTTCAGCTGCCCTAACCGTTGATTCTTAGCTTGCTGAGGACTGTCCTACATTATGATGTGTGACTGAGACCGACAAAAGTAATATCTTCATACATTAGTGTCATATTGATATCTGGTCATCCTTAACACTTTTCTAAAGTAATCCTGTCTCACCCAACACTTCACACTATTGAGGAAGCTGGTCTTGGTATACGCAACACATTACCCAGCCATCGAAAATTATTAAGGTTCACGAACATATCGAATGACGTATCTGGCTTATTTAATAATACTCTACGACTGGTTTCAAATCGTTCCTCCAGATGCCAGTAGGCGAATGAAGACATCTATAGTCAAAAAACACAAAATGTGTTCTAGTCACTAAGTGGCTATATCTTAGGAGTAAAATAGGATACAGTGAATTACGAAGCAGCACACTCCCTGTTATAAGTAGTCTGGCATTACTTCAACGCCAAATTGAGCAACGAGCCTTTCATTAGGAAGCTGTCCAATATAGATTATGAAGCTGCTTAAATAAGTGAAACGCAGTAGACTAATTCACTCCTTACCATTACGCTATGATTTGATGAAGATCCATCTTGCAGTATCATATTACACTTGATAGATGAGAATCCCACGTCAAATATAATGAGATATTCGCGCAAGGTGTTTAGAAAACTGAACTCTTTTGATCTCATCACATAAAATGACTATATAGCCTGCACACTTTAGATTACTGAGATTTTTCACTGATAAAAAGTTGATCAGGATCATATCCCCTAATAAATTTGTAGTGAAAATAAATAAGAATGGTAACAGTGATCATCTCTGTGGAAAGCAGTTACCTACGTTCAAGTGGAATATCTTGATTAGCATAACTAACTTCCACCGCAGTCTACTCTTTACTAATGTAACCAAATGCTGAAGAAATATGACAAGTATCTGAGACTGGTATGAACGTCCATATTTTAGAACTCGTCAAGGAATAGACCAACGGATGGATCCTGCTGGAGCTTGAATTTCCTTCTCCTAAAGTCCCACTTAGTCTTTGTTTGATTAAAGGATATTATTGCAAGAAATGATAGAAATAATAACAGAAAACAAGTTAATATTATATAAAATGTCCTGTTTTATTTACTGGCAAACAGTGAAAGCATTGATTGTAGCTGAATCAATTTAAATACACCTTTCCTCTTTTATAATTACGTTTCAGTTACCTTATGAACCAGAAAACATCTTTAAAAGTAAGACAAGTAGTATTCAGAATTTCAATGAACCTGATGTTTTGAATAAAACAAAATCAGTCTGCTTTCCCTTTCCTTTTCTTATTATATCATACTGAATTTCCGTGACGGTAAGCTGTGTGTTTGTCTAGCAAGGGTACATATTCCGCATTGCATAATTACAAAAGCTACTCTCCATGAGAAATAGTAATATCATGAAGCACCAATATTTGATTCAGGAATCGCAGATAGTAGTTGTTGTCAGAGATGAAGTATCAGAAACTATGGAGTGATGTTCGGAAAGCTGGAATAATTAGCAGAATTTCCAGAAAATGTGTTGTCACCATTGAGTAATAAGGAAGGCGAAAAAGTTGACAGTAAATCCGTGAGTGCTCTAGACATATGTTAGCATCCTGGAAAATTACCAAGGATATGAATTTTAGGGGATTGAAAACATTTATTTCCCAATACAAATTGAAAACAGGCAACAGATGTTAATAAGGCAGGATTTAATCAATTCATCAAATCCGTATTCAATACCTCAACGAAATACTCTATGTACTATGGGAAACACATAAGCAGATATGTGACTATTAAACAAACTCCAATGAGCATCAAGTTAGTTTTCAAGTGCTCGAATGCAGGGATTTGATTGGTTTCAGGTTTTATCACGAGCTGATTTCAATTAGAGAACCACTGAGAGACCAGGGAGTATTGGAAAGCTGTTTTGTCCTAATTAAGAACTCGTCATCAGCAGGTACCCACCGAGGTTTGAAACCAGAACTTTCTGGTTACAAGGTGTTATACATCGCGAGTTGGCAGAATTTGGAATTTATAGGCAATTGAATCGGGTCCCAGCTATCCATTACACCCCCCAGTTCCCCGATGGTCCTCTAATTAGTGTCAGCTCGTGATGAAACCTGTAACCAATCAAATCCTTACAAACCAATGCTTGAAAACTACAGTCGTAGCAAAAAGAAAGGCGAAAATGTCTTACAGGTCAAGCTCAGATGGACGGAGGGTGGAAGAAGCACAAGAGAGAACTTGAAAATAATAATAATAAAATAAATAAAAGTAATAATAACAATAATAGTAAGAGTGAGGCGATTTAAGACAATTATACTAACAAGAATTAGTTTTAACTAAGACAAGAATAATAATGGATGGAACAAAGTAAAATAGTCGTAATAACAATTAGCAAAATAAAAGATATTACCACAGCAGATTCAAATTTATCACCATTTCCTCCTGTACACAGAGACCCAGTTTATAGACTCTAATTTCACCTATTTGTTTGTTTTTCTGATGACAATAATCAATCACTTGAAATGCCCGCTTTTTATAGGATGTTTTGTTATCAAACGTTTTGGTACTTTGAATTTACCCTTCTTCAACCACTTATCTAAATGCTCGACTATAAAAGTAGACTGTCGTCTTATTGTAAAACACAATCAGAAGCACATACTTGGTGGTGTTGAGAAGCACGAGCTTTGAAGCACAACAAGTTCTGCTTATGACTTTTTCAAGTCTTAACTTGACTACTTCTTGTATATAATATCCCTGAAGTGGTTAACTAATATATACAGGCTTTTTTGAGACGATTTGGACAGTTTTATTGACTCCCATTTCTTTAGAATACTTCCTGATATACCTCTCAGGATATTTATTCTTCGACAGAATATCAATCAGTGTCTTAATTTCGTATTCAATTATACAACCAGAACATGCATTTAAGTCACCAAACGACAATAAAATCATACAGATCTTTCTTACTAGCATGTTTTATTCCTTGAAGTGAATTATAACACTATGTAGTATAACGAGAACTGTAATGCACCATATTTTTTGTTAATGTTTTCTTAAATGTTAAAAATGAAGTCATTTGTGAGTTGTGTTTCGGTTTGAGAAAGTCCGTGCTAACTTGTCAATTATTCTGTCACACAGCTAACGACACAAACAGCCATGAGTAAAAAAATCTGTAGTAGCTCAGACCTTAATCTTGGTTTTCAGTGATCTGTTGCATTCATTGAAATTATGTTATTTACCTGTTTTCTGTAGTCTGGTGCAGTACACATACCATAACTTTTATAGTCACTGCGACCACTAACCACTGATCCTTAAAAATTTAAAACGCTTCAAAACTAGTAAATCCAAAAGCAAATTCACCTTCCCTATGATACTATTACTACACTAAGAATGTTCACTTTTCTGAATGCTTTCTGGAGTTTCTGTCAAGATTATTATGGCAGGCTTTGAAATTTCAAAGAACTTTACAGGTGATTTGCATTAAATAGCAAATATTCACCATCAAATTACTCAGTTTAAATAACACAACACGATGTATATGTGTCATCTCACACAAACTCGAAGACTTGCAGGCAAACGAAAACCAACAAGCTGGTTGAAGAGGCACATAAAACAGGATCGCGGGTGAACACAGAGAAGACAGAGGTGACGAAAATAACCAATCAACAGCAACAACTACCAGCACCAATCACCATCAACAGGAGAGATTTAACTGGGGTTGCCTCCTTCACTTATCTGGGAAGCATCGTTTCAACTACAGGCGGAACGGACGAAGATATCAAAGTCAGGCAGAATCGAAAAGGCAAGATACGCCTTCATCAACCTGAAACCAGTTTGGAAATCTTTTGCACTCAGCAGCATACAGGAAAGGATTTGGATTGTCAACACAAATGCAAAGTCAGTCAGAACTTCTATACGGGTTAGAAACTTGACCAGCGTGTCACCAAAAGCATTTCCAACAAGTTACATACTTCTGATGTGGTTGTGTTCTCTGAGCTGGATAGGTAATTTGTGAAGCTTTCATCGCCCTACTAGGCGACATCTTCAGCGCATACTTCAATGCGATGAAGTGAGCTTCTAGATTTCTCCACGAGTTTATTAGTCATCTCTCTTGGTGACCTAGGACGTGATTGGTTGCTTTTGTGTGTTTTCACACCTTCTAGGTTACTTGTATTGGAACTGATTGTTTCTTGGACTTGAACTTTAACCCTTTGTGTGTGAGGTTTCTTTCTTATCGGTTGATAAGTTTTGTCTATCTCTATGTGTCTATTGATTGATGATTCACTGGAATGCCAAGCTTCTAAAAATTCTCTGGCATTCTTGGTGTTTCCTCTGTCTAATATTTGAACACTGGTTGTCCCAGTCGAATTGATGTCAGCGGTTGTCTGTATGCAGCGAAATAAGAGAGGGAGTGGATGTCATGTACTTTGACGGCTGGCTTATGTTCGTGGATACAAAGACGAAGGGGACGTCCACTTTGGCCAATGTAGTGTTTTTCGCAGTTGTTGCAATTTATTTTGTATATGATGTTGGTTTTATCTTCTTTCGCTGTTGAGTCTTCTGGTTAACATAGAACTGAGTGAAGTTACTTTGTTGGTTTGTGTACGACGTCAATTCCTACAGGTTTGAAGAGTCTTGTAGTGATTTCTGAGATATCCTTTATATATGGTAGGGCGATTTTCTTTGTGCTTTCCTTGGGAGCTTTTGGTTTGATAGGTTGGTATGGGGGTATGTGTCTTTTGATGAAATTCCGTGGATATCCATTCTTTTAGAAGACCTCCATGAGATATCTTTCTTCAATCTTCTTTAAGGGGGGCGTTGAAAGCTTCGCAAATTAACTATCAAGCTCAGAGAACACAACCATATCAAAATCATCCACCTGAGCTACAAATCTTCTCTATCATATCTAAGTTACATACTTTCATTAACAGCTGGCTTCGCTGGCTCCATAAATAAGATCAAATGGCTAGAAAGAATAAGCAGCAAGGAACTTTGGGACACAAACCAACGACGAGCCGATAGCTCAACAAATATGTAGACGAAAGTGGAGATGGATCGGGCGTACACTGAGGAGGCCGCCGAATGACATCGCACGCCAGGCTGTCGAGTGAAATCCCGTTGGCAAGCGACGAGTGGGTCGTCCTAGGAGACCATGTGAGAAAGAGATGAGAGAGTTTGGTCAATCGTGGACCCAGCTGAAGAGGAAGTGGAGATGTGTTGTTGAAGCCCTATGTTCCACTCAGAAAGCAAGGGAATAATAATATTATAGTAATGTAGTTACTAATGTTACTCTCTTGAACACATACGAAACCCAATGGTTAACATCATGAAATGATTATTATTATTACTTTGATTTGTAGAACGTCGCTGACTTCTAAAGGCCAAAAATATAGACTAATATTAGAGTGGGATTTATGGCTCTGTGGTAGGGTATAATTCCATGCTAGATAAATGCATTTGATACCACATTTCGAACACCATTTATTGCTCATAATCATCTCCAAGTATTCACATGACGTTTTAGCTTCCTTTTAATGTGATTTTCCATTTATCCGAAACTTGATTTGTGTCATTTCAATTGCACTCATCAACTACTGACTACTAAATGAACAAAGATTCAGTAAACAACCGCTCTCTCCGATTTATTACATTACTTTTGAGTACTCTGACCCTGCTGCAATCTATTGTGTAATTGAATTCAGCTGCATGCATAGCAGTGGTTGAGTTTTCCCTCTAGATTATTTAACCTAATGGAGTCCATAGTCCTAGATCTAGCTAAATTCCTATGTTCTGATAATCTAACTGAGCTTGATCTACTGGTCTGACAGGTGCACCTGACTTAAGTGTCATACGATGGTATCTATAAAATAAAATGCCTGGTAGAACGTTTACACAAGAAACCTTTAAAAAAACAGAGTTTTGAGGATTAGAGACTCTAAAGGTTAAAGATAAGTTAAGGATATTTCTGGATGTGTCTTCTTTTATTCACCAATGAGCCTTTGGTTAAAACATTGGATAATATATTTAAGAGACAATAAAAGAAGGTATATGGACTGACATTTGTGTGTCTTCATTGGAGGAGGTGCTTTTAAGATACACGATGGACGTAGATTTTCTTTTCAATAAAGGTACGCATAAGCAATGAGATAGTGTTATTATAGAATCACCACTAGGTCCAATTCTAGAGGACGTTTTACTGGCATAATTAGGGAATGACGCCCTGAAAGATGTAGTAAAAGATTTGGATTTTTATTGTCGTTATGTTGATGATACATTTATAGATTTAGGAAATAACAGTGAGGCGGCGAACTGTATATTGGAGATATTTAACAAAGCGATCTCATATGTAATTTTTAATAAATGTGGAGAAAAGAATGTCTCTATCTCGTTTTTGGATGTTTTAGTGAACATGTAGAAGTTCGCATCGTAAACCTACATCAATTGAACAGTATAATCACTTTCTAAGTTTCCTATAATACAAAACTGATTCTGTTTAGATGTTTAATTCATCAAACTTGAGTTATTTGTTCTGACGAAACACAGCAAAGAAATCGGTAATATTAATGATTTACTGAGTAGGAATACATATCCCATGGAATTTTTGAATGCATACACAGATTTAGCCAGCCGAAAAAAATCAGCTTTCCTCAGACCACACTTTACGGGGAATGTCAATAATGAGATTGTATCACAAAGTCTGAGAAAGGCCTTCAAGAGGACTTTTGATAGAGCTAAGTTATGCTGTTTGTTTTTTTCAACTAGTAATCAGTTCATGAAATAAGGATAAGCTACCTGTGTATTTACCAGTTCGACTGTTCCTGTGGAGTTAGTTACCATGGTCATACGATTAGGCAGGCTCATCGTCGAATTTTTTAACACAACCCATCTTCCTTAGGCAAAGGACAGAATAAAGCGACACGTAGCTCAAATTATAGCTCATTTCGTCGATACGGGACATCAAATCGATATTAACAAAACTTTCCAAGTTATTTATCGTCTACGGAATATGCATAAAGTCTTACAAATGATTTTTCCCTATACTTGTAAACACCATTTGACTTTGTTATTTTATTTTATCATTTTATTATGATTAGTATTCTGGACAATTCGACTAACTTATTTGTATCTTGGTATTCTCACGTAATCCATTTATCAATTCTTTTTGGTCATCATTATTCAACAAATTATTGATCGCGTAATAACCTGTTGCTAACCTCAACAAATTATCTGATCTTGAATTTCTTAATTATTCTCATCCCCTCTTGTAACACGAAATTTATACCTTTTTGTTGACTAACAATCTGTTGCTAACTTCCAATAATTAACTGTCTTAATTTTTGCAATCAATTATTTCCACCCCTCATATACCTTAAAACTGTCTAACTGGGCTAGTTGGATCCTTAAGCCAACGACGTTTGTCCCTGAGGTTCGGTTATCCTTCTGATAAATAACAAATTCAAAAGAAATTCATAGAAATCAAATGGTTATAGCCTCAGATAGGGCTGTTTTTTCGTTCTCAACAAATGATTTCATGAAATTCCTTGTACTGATTTCATTTGTTTTCCATCCAAGAGGTAACCAGAGGTCTGTTTTAGAGAAATAGATTTCACTTCACAAGTTGGCTAATTACTTCTGCATAACTGGCTTTTCTCGTCTCAGGCTTCAGCTGTTCCACCACAGCAATACTTTTTGATGGTCCAACCGATTTTATGGAAACGCTTCAGCTTGGCTAGTCAGCAATCCATATTTCTAGGGTACTGCTAATTATCTAACAGAATAGAAAAATACAAACACTTTGCAAGGACGGTCATGTATTGGAAAAATACTCTATTCAAAATCTGTATATAACTCTTCCTTTAAAAAAATAACATGATAGTTATTGTTCAGATTGCCACCCAGAGGACAATCACGAGCACACCGAGGGAGTGGCCATCATGATGTCACCAACAGCAGCCAAAGCCCTCATGCAGTGGGAACCAATCTCCTCTAGGATAATGACAGCCAAGTTCAACTCAAAAGGAAGGAAGGTTACAATCATCCAATGCTATGTGCCTACAAACGTCTCAGAACAATAAAAGAAGGAGGCGTTCTGGAGACAACTGCAAACAGTAATCGACAACGTCCCAAATGGAGTTGAAGCCCTATGTTCCACTAGGAACCCAAGGGAACAATAATAATAATATTGTTCAGATTACCTAAAACAGCTTTATGTTGATAGATAAACATTTATGTAGTGGTCAAATAAAAAAGAAAACCTACAACTGAACCAAAATGAAGAACAGTTCAGCATCTAGGCTTAACAGAATCAACTAGCAACTCATATGCTATTTGGTGTGAATCTCTCCGCAGATCAGGTCTTCACTGGTAACTTCAATAAGTATATAAGGTATTTAACGAGACTAATAGACATACTGGGAAATTTATTTCTGATTAAATATGTCGTTTTCCAGACTTGTTTTTTTTTAGTTCAGATAGTTCCTATAAGGCGAAACGATAATGCTGAACTTACTACTTACTAGTGGCCCATCCTCAATGCATTTGTCACAAAATGTCTCTCTCACACAAACACACATTATAGAGAAGGCTGATGTCAATTTCGAGGTAAGAATATTCCACTTGAAATAGAATGAAATGAAAACAAATGCCAGAGGTAACAAGTTTATAACTTACCAAAATAGGCTTTTCTTTCACTAAAATATGTCCTTTTTCTATTGCTTCACTAATGGGATAAATTTGATTAAGAACAGGATCTCGAAATACACCAGTCTCCATATCCAATAGATCACGACGAACTGCTTCAGCTTGGGTTACTTTGCGTTTACTAATCGGATCAATAACAGCTACAATATCATCCGATCGACATATGTGCTTAAACCATGAACCATTTGTTGTCCTATGCAATAAATTATCATCATGTAAACCTGGACCAAGCCAACCTAAGCGCGTTATAAAACTTTGGTTGACTAAATAGGCTAAAGAAGGACGGTTGGTTGATAAGCCCAATATCAGTTGAGCGCCAGATGGTGTTATATCAATATTTTTCATTGTTTTAACCTTAGACGTTAGCATCATGGAAGCACCGGTAATTGGATCCGTTATTTGTCCATATACGTTGGGATTATCTTGAGAATTTTCACATGGTTTAAACCATCCAGCACTAAGTGCATCCAATCCAGTCAGTTCATGCCCATCTGTATTGAATAATCCACAACCTTGAGTTAATAACTGTATAGAATGTAAATCACATAGTGCTGAGTGCTTTGCTGATTTTCTTAAAGCAATACGTTGTTGTGAATAATTTTGACTATGTTGACGTGCTTCCATATTGGGTAAAACAATTTCTTCTTTTGACGAATCAATTAAACCAGTACAAATAGCTCGTATTATTGGATGCTGTTGAGACATTTGATTTGATTTCTGAACTGACTCCAAGCTAGCGAGTACACCAACTGGAGGTGGATATGCTTTAGTATAAATGAGTCGAATATGATTACTATTGACTGCATCCCATAAATTCATCGGAGCCTTATCTTCTAAAGTTATAAATCCAGATGGCGTCATGATATTCGTGTTCAATGCTTCAATTAAGCTCAAAGTTTGATTGGAATGCATTAGCATTATTGCTGGTTGGTCTCCAATAACCAATCCACGTTTAATAGCCTCAGGAAACAATACATACTGGCTGTTATGTGCATCAAGAATGCCTATTTTGTTATTAAGATGTGTCTCGCTCATATTTGGAGTGCTGAATGAAATCAAACCGGACAAGACGAGTTCTGCTAGACAAGGAGCTCTGGCTAAAAGACCTGCGGCCTGAGCCACTTCTACCCCAACTTTCAGACGACCAGAAGACGAACCTGATCCAAGCCAGCAACCAGTAACATCATCAATTAGACCCATTTGAATAGCTTCGGAAAGACTGACACGTTTATAGGAATCACTATAGTAACCGCATTGCTGATTTCCAACGGGAACAACAACTTCTGGAATATTAGGATTCAAAAGGCCACTTTTGATTGCATCTTTGATTGTCATTTCGTTTTCAGTAAACAGAAAAGAATTATTCAACCGCTTACTATGTTTGCCATTGCCAATACTTTGTTCAGACTTAAGAAGATTAACACGTAAACGTCGTGTGAATGGATTATAGGCACCAGCAGCTAACCAGTCAGACAGACAAGGTTTCAAATAGGCATTTGCTCCATTTACATTAGATGCTTCACACCATGCAACATGACAATCTCGAAATTCTACACATATACCACTGGAAAGAATTGCGGCTAAATGGTGAAAATCTGCATCATTTATGAATCCATCTGTATATAAATCAACAATCTTTTTACCATAGGGCATTACCACACCGGTTTTAGGGTCAATATACCGACTGTTTATGTTATGCACAGAAGTAATCAAGAAATCAGTTACGGGTGCAGCATAGTCTCCAATTTTTATGCACTTATTGAGAGCTTGAACAGAGTAGGCAGTTAGCCAACCACGTTCTACACCCTCAGACAATGATATAGCAAGTGAACATCGGTTTTGACGACAAGTTTTTGTAACGAGATCAATCAATCCACAACGTAGTGCATCTCCAATACAAAGAGTTTCACCAAGTCCATGTGTTTCATTCTCACCAGCAAGTTGGGTCACAAACCATGAACCAGTGGCCTGAAATATTTTCGATCCATATAATTCATGTGCCTTAGATATTGTAGACAACGTGGCTGCTTCCCAACCTGTTGGCAGCATACATATAGGTAGATTATAAACGCCGCTAAGATGGACACCCAACTTGAGCGCTATTTCCTCAACAATGTTTTCATTTGAGTCTTCTGTTAAAGTATGTTGTTTTCTATTCTCCAGATACCTCGATTGTATAATAGGCATGAATGGAGATGATTGAGCCTCATTTAAACGATTATTTAACTCTTTAGGCCATACTCCTGTATACAATTCACGATAAGATTTGACGAAACTTGGACCAGATAAATTATTCAGAAGTGTAGGTTCTTCAGATCTTAAAAGCTAAAAAATTTGAAATAACAGGAAAAAAATTATAAAACAGAGTGCATCAAAACAAATCAGCATGGGTGTATGGTTGTTATTTACCACTTACAATGTTTAGTTGAGCTGTAGTTCATTAGTTCAAGCAATTAACTTAAAGCCAGTTGGTCACTCATTTGAATCCTAACCCAAAATGTTTAGGAAATTCGGTAGTACCATTAACGCTCGAACAACAAATGTGTCTGACTATCACAACTGCACATAAATTCAAGTGGTTGTTGAGTAAAATTTCATTGTTTCTATTCAGAAGTTTAGAAAAGTCACATAAGCAATTCTAACCTTGAATGTGGTAATCTGAATAAATTACTATGAAAGAAAATGCGCCACCTAAATGTTCTACCTTCTAAATTTGCACCTTGTTACAAACTGAAGCAAAGCAATCAAATCGGGATTGTTGGAGAAAGCCTTCATAATAGTGTAGGCTTTGTTTTATAGACACCAGTGTAAAAGATCTCATTGGTAACTTTCGTATGTCAGCTTGAAAAGTGCATAATTTGTGAGCTTATCAGAGAGGCCTGAGATGCCAGTCACTGAGCATCATCAAGAGTCCTGAATCTCTTGTAATAGTTATTTGTACAAAATTAAGTTAGATTGATAGGAATTTAAACCGCGTGATTGAAATATCACCGTGAAGTTACAGAGCAAAAAAGCCCCAATGGAAACTTAATTAACATAAGCAAAAATCATGTTTTTCGGGGGAAAAAATTCACCTGAACTTTGAAATTTCTGTCATTGAAATATCTAGGCTATCAAGCACCACTATGATTACATATACCTGTTAAAATAGTGAAATATGTTTCTTAGTTTCTGTTGTCAAATAAACACCTTGTCATTGAAGTTGTAAAAACCAGGCACAAAATAAAACTTACTCTATTCAAACAATTCACGATATCATATATTTGACGAGAATGTGTGTTAAATTGAGTGTTCAACTGATCAGTTGTCTGCAGTATTCTACCCATATCAAATAAGCCGTAGCCTGGTGACCATTGATAATCTCTTGAGCCACCAGATTTTTGAAATGTACTCTCAACTAATTCACGATAATTTTGAGTTTGCTGAGCATAGTTCTACAAAGTAATTAAAGAAAATAGCGAAAAATATGTTCATTCTGATTTATGAAAGCGATTTTATGGTAAAAACAGAGGTGGACTTATTTATTTATTTTATTTTATTCCTTGCAGCATGAGCCTTGAAGCTAGTGCTTTGCAGTTTCAGTAGCAGTGGTTTTATTATCTACGAGATGGGCTTGCTAATCTCACACCTAATCTTTCCTCTTTGTCCGACTTATTACCAACTAAGTGAGGTTTAGGAGTGCGCCAGCCGCGAATCGAACCCCGGACCACGTGAATAGCTCGCGAGCATTCTACCTCTGTGCCACCGCGACGCACTCCATTCTATTTACAACTCGTCAATTATATATCTCTCTCTAAAAGGAAGTATCATCCTTTAATCCAAAAGTCGGGTAGCTGAAATCACTTTTTATACAAAAGGAAATGAATTTAACATTTTCCGTTTCCTTTCATGTCAACTCAGATTCCATCTACATAAAAATTTTTACTTTTGTAAATAGATGAGCAGAACTAAAAATAGTAGACATATTGATGTCAAAATATTTTTCCATCCACAAAACATAAAAAATCACCTGGTTTTAGCAATTTATATCTCAGAAATTATTTAAAAGTTCATACCTCAGAATAATCAGTTTTGAACAAAGTTGGTATTGAAATTTTTTACTAATTTCTGTTGTATTTTAAGCAAGTAAATTCACCATCAGTTCACTACATAGATGAAACGAATCGCGAACAAATTTATTACCTGGTTGAAATATGACAACATTCTGTTACGGCACCTCAAAGACAAATTTGGATTGAATGTAAGAATTGGTTATCCCACATAGCTGAATCCCCTATACACAGCACTGGACAGGAGTCAGTGAATGTCGATCTGAGACATGCAGTGAATTCAGTATCACAAGATATTAATGATCAGACTCCAGGCTATATGGCTGATAATCAGTGGTATCCAAATCGTAATATCACAATTCTCCATCCCTATAATCACACACTAAGAAAATTTACACCAATTCCTCTTCTTTAAATAATTAATTTCTTTAAACAAAACATAATCCCTACTCATTGAAAAATGAGTAATCGGATTCGGTTAAGTAGTTATCTATTATCGCCAGAACAGCTGATGACAAGCAGCGAGAAAAAAACGTAAGAGTTAGGAATTTAAAGGATAGAGAGAGAATGAATGGGAATGCATTATATATGTTGTTAAAGCTTTCAATAGGCTTCATAGTTACACTATTGACCACAGTAAAGTAGTACAGACTATAACCAGTTAAACATATTCACATTCTCTGAAGCTGTAAGTCATTCAAGGCTCTGTCAACAAAAAAATTCTGCTCAGTACACTTTAGGACTTATTGGTGAAACTGAGTTAGCACTGGATTTGGATGAATGAAGTATACGTCGAATCGTCCTGATACCTGGACACTAATTTCACTTCAAATCATAACTCATTACTTCAAGATTAAGTTGACTAATATATAGAATGTTGGGATGGATACTGATGGACTTTATAGGGGGAGAACAGCAAATACATTTTAATGCAATAATATGATATCACATCTATGTTTTATTTTGTTTAGAGAACTTACAGTTAAAGAAGATATCAATTGGGCAACTTCTTTGTTCAGTTGTTCAATAACGTCAGAGTGTTCTTGCAAGTCAGTTAATAGATCATCTGATTGTTTAAGAACTTCTTTTAACAAATTAGGATATTGTACAGAAACAGTATTTGTACTGGAAGACTTCAATCCCAATGACTGAGTCGTTTCACCGAATGATCGCATACGACCAGCAAATTCACTTAGCCATAAAATAAGTTGACTGGATAGCTTTTGATAATTTGAGAAACGTACTAACGACTCACCGAATGCTTTAAGTCTGTTAAAGACACACAAACATAAATGTTAAGGAAAGTTATATATTCATTGCAAAAAATGCATATACTTTCGAATAACTTAGAAACAGCTTATTTATTTAATGCAAATCGTTTATACTAAATTGGGGATCTGAGAGTGCAAATGAAAAACACACTAGGTATTCTGCTTTGCGTTCAAATGATGACGGATTGGCAAAGTTCAGTTCCATAAGTCGTACGTTTCTCTACGGTGGCCAAAGGCGGTTCTTCTGTATGGACGAAGCACAACAGACTCTATCACTAAACACTCCATGTGTGATTGGCCTCAAGCAGTTGTATATTAGACGCTACACTAAAGCTCTCGATCGAAGTAAACGATGAATTGCATCAGGAACTGTCTAGTTTTCAGCCAAATATAAAAGGCTAAGATACTGTGATGATGATCAAGTAGGAAAACTGAGCCAGTTCGAAAATTAAATTATGGGAATCCATGGAGTTCTGTGCGAGCAGACTGTGACAGGGATTATTTCCAATACAAATCTATTCCCAGTGAGCACTAATTTCAAACATAAGGAGACACTACATCACCTGACATCAAACCAGATACAGAAATGAGTACAAAATCTGGTTATAAGCTATTGGTGCAGAGGGCCATCGAAAGAGTGCTGGCTCCCCCACTGGAATACTTGCAGTGACCCTGACTATACATCAGTTTGTGAATGTGTATGTCTGTGACTGAAATCGCATAAAAAACAAGAGGCTGAGAAGCCCTGACGCATTCAGCTTTTGTTGAGGACATGAAGTTTGTATTTAGGCAAGATATAGTTAAACATATATCTGAGTATGAAATTGTGTGACAGAATTTAAAACTTGCATAATTAAAAAAGGAACAAACCCACGTAAAACAAGGAATCTATTTATGAACTGTTTATCAACATGATTTGTAAAACTTATTCATCACTAAGTGTAAAATTATTAGAATTTATTACATAGATTTCCGTTAGTTAGTTATCAAAACACTGTTTAACTTATAGGAACATCTGGTGTTTCAACTGTCTTGCAATGTGAAAGTGCTCTTCGCGCTGCATCTCATACTGTACCAGTTTGGAGAGTAATTACATCATATATGTCATAAACTATTCACGCATCGGTGGTATAGCGGTTAGGCCGTTCGCCGATCATGCACATGGTCCGGGGTTCGATCCCCGGCCACCAACGCACTCCTTTACCTCGCTAAGCCAGAAATAATGCTGGTAAAGAGGAAAGGTTGGTCATGAGGCTAGAAACCACATCCTGTAAAATAAACACTGCTACAGAAACCTCAAGTCACTAGCCCTATGTTCCATTGGGGAACGTGAAGGAAAAAATAAAATAATAATAATAATAATAAACTATTCATGTTACTTATATAGCATAAGTTAGCAGTGGACTCATAAGTTGGATATACTAGCATCCTAACTGCTAGGTTTCCTTCGTCCTTCCTCAATTCATTGCCGTGCAAAAGTAGAGCTTCTGCACTGCAGAACTCCATATTAGTTTGTATGATATAGTACATAAATACACTATATTCTTTTATGAATGACATTTTAAGCTATTTCGCTCATAGTCAAATGTAAACAAGGTTGTGGGTATGAAATATCAGATAAACTAAATTAATGTTACAGTTACATTAATGTAGAAGAGAACTTGAGTACTGCAGTGGTGTGTAAACCTTTATTCGTCCAATCTAATTTTAAACATTAGGCTAGAGGTAATTAAAGATAGACATTGAAGAATTGACTTTTTAAGAAACAAATATATTAAAACCTCAGTGGTTTATATAAATTCAAATATGAAAGTGTAATTACACGTCCGCTGTATCAGGCATTGAAAAAGTTATTATACATGCACCAAATTTATTGTAAAATTATTCTATAAACTGCTTGTAGGTGGAGTGGAACAATGAAAAAATTCAAAAAAGTACTCAAGAAGTCTCGTTTTCCACGTTCCAGTGAAAATAATAAAGAGACACAATTTCGAAATTCAGGTCTTTATATCTAAACATTTTCTGACACAAGTATACTGCAAACTGGGATTTATTTAGTCATTTATCATCGTATGACAAATGCGTCGTGCCCTATAGGTTAAATAGAAAGAAGAATATGGGGAAAAAGTCCAGACATCATTAAGAATATTTTTGTATTTCTCAATAGATGAAAAACAAAACAGTATTGTTTTAAACAAGGCATTAAGAAGACAAATTTCGCGAGATGATATCATTTCGTAGTTTCGTTACAAGTATTATTTTAGTATTTACAAGTATTGTTTCAGTTTAGTATTGTTTTTGTATTCGCAGATCTTCACACACTGCCTAAACATTTGATTCTGTGTATCAAATTTATTTTTCAGGGGTGTGAGGTGATGTGTGTCGCCTTTTTTCCCTCACCTCCTTGTCTCCGCTCTTTAATAGCCAATGAAGAATTAGGTAAAACTGTCCAATGAAGGCGCTTATCCACAGATAACTACAATCATGAGTGACATGGAATACCACCGCCCACCTAGCCTGAAAATAAAACGCACTTGTGTGTACAAAAAACAATAGACTTCAATCTTCACCTACCATGGACAACATGACCTATCTAAATATGATTGATCAGTAGTATGTGCCCCTGTAATTGTTTAGTTTGTATAATTCTCTTATCCATTGGACAGATAATCACGCTTTTTAAGCATGCCCCCTCTGGTCGGCAGTTTGCTTCATAGAAAATAAAAAAGGACTACCAATCACAGTGTAAGCACCTGATCATAATCAATATCAGTAAAAAGTTTGAGCATTGTGGATTAGATCAAATAAAGTATAATTATATTTCAATATTTCATCATGAGCTGACATTGGTTAGAGAACCATTGGAAAACCTGGGAGTACTGGACAGCCGTTTCGTCCTAGTTTGGGACTCTTCATTAGTACGCACCCACCGGGTTTAAACCCAGGACCTTCCGGTTACAAGGCGAGCTCGTATACCATTAGGCCACTGGGACCCACTCCAATGGTCCTTGAATTCTAACACCCCGACCGGCTGCACCAGTAGGGCGCAGGGTGTGAGAACAAATACTCGCCGAAGACATTGGCTAGCGGTTGCGCTATGTCGTGAATTGGCAGAAGTTAGAATTCAAGGACCATTGGATCGGGTCCCAGTGGCCTAATGGTATACGAGCTAGCCTTGTAACCGGAAGGTCCTGGGTTCGAATCCCGGCGGGTGCGTACTGATGAAGAGTCCCAAACTAGGACGAAACAGTTGTCCAGTACTTCCAGGTTTTTCAATGGTTCTCTAACCAATGTCAGCTCATGATGAAATCCTGAAACCAATCAAATCCCTACGAACCATCACTTGAGTATATTTCAATAGTTTACACACAATGATAAGTTTTGTTACTGGTAATATTTCCAGCAAAATTACTGCCCGTGTTCACACCACTGTTGGACACACACCAAAACACGAATGAGCAAAAAAAATCATAATAATGAACTATATTCATGAGTACAAATCATAAATGTGTGAATAAAACAATTCCAACAGTGGTGTGAACACGGGCAGTAATTTTGCTCGAAATATTAACAATAACAAAACTTATCATTGTGTGTAAACTATTGAAATATAATTATAATTTATTTGACCTGATCATAAGTACAGTAAAATTCAGAACATGGGAATGCTAAGATTGATGATTATCATATGACGGGTTTGTGAGGATTTCAGAGGATCATTGAAATAATTATGTTAATAATAAAACGACGTCCAAGGCAGTTGCTATTTAACGCGGAAAACGAAGGTAAAGAAAGCAGAATTTCGATTAGATAAAAAATACCGAATTCATCACTTGGACTGTCAGATATGAAAAAGGAATTTATCAAATTGATAAATCATGGCTAACATTTTCTTGTTTTACTATCTTTCGATAGGTGTTAAGCACTCAGCAGCATCAAAGGAATGTCTACGACACGGCAGATACTTCATTATAGGACCTCGTAGGATTTTTATACCACCTACTGCAACTACCTCGGTAAATGCCTAATCCTGTGGGTAGATATATTCTCCTCAGCACAACCAAATAATGAACATTTGAAATTATAAACATAATTTGATAAGCAGATGAATGTATCACTTCATTAGTGGTGATCTTAGGCATCCACTCAGAGTCGCGACTGAATATATGGTGGTATTTCAGAGCTCTACAAATGGTTCCCTTGCCTTCTATACACCATGAAAACCTGATGATAAAGTCCTACAGATATCTAATTTTAACCAGAATCTTTTATTTCTTATATTTTCAAACTAATTCGATATTGCGCTACATATGGCAAGTCCGCCATTGGATTCCACTCCAGGTTCCGGGTTCGATCCCTGACGGGGTCATGGCTGCGTACTACTGAAGAGACCCAAACTATTAAGAAGCGGTATTCCTTGATTTTCAACAGTTCTCTAAATAAAGTTAGCTCGTGACTAAACTTGACATTCGACAGTGTTGTTGAAGCAGACTTCGCGATTGCGACTTCTATGCTTAAAATGAGCACAATTAATTTTTGAAATGAAGAGCAGAGATAAAGTTGAAGAAAGTTGTGAACAATAAGCTTGAGTTTGAGAGATTGCAAACTATCTAGAAAAGAATTCCCTTAGACCACCAATGGTAATCACAAGTTGCCCTTTGTTTTGTAGACTGTTCACATTTTATTTCCACGATGAACGTGATCAATAACTTTTAATTAAAATTTTCAGTACACCAATTAATTACTGTTGTAGAACCAAAAGAAAGGATATAAATAAAAATATTTAATTCATTGTTAACTTACTCTTGTTCAACTTCTTTAGTTGCCTCTGCTAAACGATGTTCAGAGTGGGCAAGATTCGCTTCTAAGTGGTGATTATCTGCAGGTAGTGACAGATTCAACTTTATTAAATTTGACTTTTCACAGGAATTAGGGTCACGGCTAAGTGTATCTTCGTAGGTCCCACTGGAGGCCATAAACCGAGTTAACTGTTGACTAAGCGAATCCAAGTCCGATCGGATTTGTGGGAGACGTTCGGCTACGGACTACAGTAGTATTATTAATAGTGATAACTGGTGATGGACATAATATTAATTATAATGATAGATATATGTTTGTTAATTAAAGCATACAAGTATTTACCTACAAAACAACGAACACAGCAATCGTTTATGGATTCAGTTAGCTTAAAAATTCTGGTGGATCAGTTCAAACCAGTTTGGACTGTTCATAGGTAAAGGCTTCAATATCATTTAAGACAAGGGAAATCAGATAAATTTCCCAACACATAAAGTAATAAATAAAATTGGAAGAAGATTCAGTGGGACTTCTTCGACTGGATCAATATCCTGTCTTGATCGTATGCTTACGAAAGTGTGGATGATTGGCCAAAGTACTTGAATTCCAGTCAGACAGTACCTACCCATCTAGGGTCTCGGCAGTTAGGCCATTTCCCAAGCTTTTAACACATAACTGACTTGGTGTAGTGTCCTATGAGCCGGATGATTTAATTTAAAAGTTTTCATTGTCCTTTGGGACAACACCCTCGATGCAGATTTCTACAAGACGTGACGTTTTAGAACATCCCATGACTTTATTAGCCATCTCTTCTGGCGAGCTTGAACGTGATTGGTTGTTCCTGGAAATTTTCTCAAACTTAAGACAACTTGTATTAGTATTGATTATTTTGCTGTTAATGCATCTGTCGATTTTAGATTGATCTGAGTACCAGGCTCCCAGAAATTTCCTAGTATTTTTGGAATTTCGTCTGTACATTTGTCCAGTCCATCTGGTGCTCTCAGTTGTCTGCGCGCATTCATATGAGGAAATGAATGGCACAAGTTGGTAAATGCAATACGAGAATTTTGTATTCCTGCTGAGATTTCGACAGCAATTAGTCGATTATATCTGACGTAACTTCCTAAATAAGTAACGTAATCAACTATTTCAACCAATTCACTCCCGGTGTAGACTAGTCCTCCAGCATCATCATAAATTCAACAGGTGCGAGTCACATGGTAAACATATTAAAACCTCAGTTTCAGGTGTTCATTGTCTTCACTTAGAACGACGATATCAACTGCTTGCTGTGAATCAACGAGGCTGTCCCACGGTGGCAGGTAAATCTCTAAACTGGATTCAATGTCTGAATATGCATATGATTTCTGAGTTCATATATTTGTAGTTGGTTACTAATTATAAAATCTATACTCAACCTTATAATTATTCTGGCAATATTTAATGTTAATTAACTAGATTTTAGACGAGTATTTCAAACTAATGAGTTCAATTAGAATTACAAAAAAGGTAGTGATTTCTGCAGATCACTAACTCATAAAAAAAGACTGTACAATTCCTGATTAGATGAATGCACAATACAAAGAGAATCTATATCCTCAATAATCTCAGTTCCTATGATGCGTGAAATTTCCACCTTCTTATACGAAGGCTTACTTATTACGAAATATTAGATAAAAAAAGTGAAATTGTTGTGACAGTTTACACTGTTATTACAATAATAACAAACAAAAAAAGAATAACAAAGTATACCTTTAAATCTCTGTGAGCTCTCTCAACTACAGCGACACGAAGACCATCTGGATCTGTAGAACTGTTTGGATCAGTGTTCAAATCATCTAGTTGCAAAAGTCCATGTACACGTACAGCGCATCCTAATAAGCATAGTTCACAATCCATCAACATTTGATCCGTCTGTTCTAAGCGAGCAATCCATGCATCAGCATCCGCTAAACGACAGCCGAACTCATGACCTGTTAAAGCTAATTCGCTAGCTGCTCTGTGTAAGGCAAACAGACTAGTACTCAGTATGCTATCTGATAATCCATTAGAAGGTTTATCGTGTTCATTTGCCCCCAGTGACTGATTAAGGTGCTGTTCCAATTCAGTGCATTGTGCCAAAACACGAGCTAAGGCGTGAGACCATTCCTAAAGTGGTATATTTAGAAAAAAAGGTAAGGTAAGTTACTATTATAGACATAAAAATCAACAGTCGATAAAAGAGGATGTTAGAAACGCATGCATGCCGAGAAATGTCACTCTTAAAATAGTTGTCTTTATGGAATACTAAGTTAAACGATAAATGAGAATGCAGGAAAAAAAATCACATATCATCAATGAAAACTTTATGTAGGCAGACATATACCTCTCAGAAAAAGACACGACAATGCAAATCGTCACAGTTCGTAATAGAAGGTAGAGAAAAAGAACAATAATAACAAACAAGTTAGATGGATTTAGTGTCAGATGGAGGTGGTAGTTTGGTAAAACCCAACGTTGTGAGTAACTACCACTCAATTATATCATATCTATAACCTTGACTAATCGGAAATTTAAGGGATATTTACTCAAAATAACATAATGGTATGCATTATTGAATGATGTAACTAGCTGAAAACCACTCATATAAGCTAGTATAGAGGTGCTTACCAGGCAGTCAGTCATTCCGCTTGTTTCCAGCAGTACTAATCTGAAGTGAATCAGTTCAAACCACCACCCTACTGTTGCTTGGGCGACCTACTTTTGCTTTGTATAACATTCGACGACATTACCCAATGATGGGTGATAACTAATCTCGATAACTAATTTCATCATAGACACATAGTACCTAATCCCTAACTTCTGTATTGTATGTGAGATAATTGTCTTATCACACTAAATCAATGTTTGAATAAATACAATCTGTATAAATACTTCATATTTAATAACTATTCTTCTCACCTAATAATACAAGGACATGGTATTATATAGTACATAAAGACGAAAGAACAACATGGAATAAGAAAAGTACACATTTGATATTTAGGCATGCAAAAATATCTTATAACTGGTTACACATGGTTTTTCATAGTTTTTCAAAAATTGTTCAACGTAAATGAGATGAATATACTGCACTTTCACTTCCCATATCTTTTACCGGTGTATCAAAGCTAAACACATTACTATCTAAGAGGTTCTGTTAACACGCTATTGTTGACGCTGCTCTTATCATCAACTGATGACTTGAAATAGCACTATCTGTTTGCATGCCAGACAGAAACTTCTACGGATAATGTTGTATGTTTAAATCAAATGCATTTTCATAAAGTACATTGATGGAAGCGATAGAGGAATTACAACGCGGTATAATATGTAAGGAAATGAAAATTAATTACCTGTATAACATCTTGAATAACTTTAAAGGGTGGAGAATTCTATGAATACCCTTATTTCTTCATTCCCAATTTTACTATCCCCTAAATGATATACAGAAATAAGGTCTGACAATATGGATTGCCACTTAATACTGCTAAGTCCTACGTTAACTAATCGACAAACTCCAGCAGCTTGCCTTCAGAGCTTTGCTGTATTGTACTGTATACATGTTGCTTTGCTTTTACCTAAGTATGCGGACTGACTCGCTGTTTAAATGCATTCGATACTTCTTATCAATACGAACGGCCTCATCTGTGTTTGATTTTGCTAATGGCATAATTCAATATGGTGGTGATGGCCAGTTATTCAAGAGTACTTCTCAGCTTCTTTGCTATAATAATTGATGATTATCATCCAGATAAGCTTCAGAGAGAAAAAAAATTAGTTTGTGTTGACGAGGAATGGTGAAATACTAACCTTATGATCCTTAATGCGCGCCTCTATATCGGTTGATCTGCCTGGTAAAGGTAAAGAACTGGATTCTCTCAGACGTTCTGTCAGTGTGTTCAATACTGTTCTCAATTCATCAGTAATTGTATACAGCTCAGATGACTGAATTTGTAATCCCTTATTATCATCATTATTATTAGTTGTTGGGACATTATTTAATTGTTCAATACAGTTATTTTGAAACAGTACAAAATGTTGCTTAAAGTTTTCCACTTCTGAAGGAGGTACATTGGCTAGTTGGAGTTCTAAGCAATACCTTTCAGCATCACGATAAATCACCTAGAAAGCAAAAGATGGAAAAAATTAGCACAGAATAAAAGATATTGATCGGGTGTATGTGCTTTTGAGGAGTCAAACATTTCTGTGACATTTTATTAAAATAAAGCAATAAGAAGAGTTCATTTGTCTGAATCGTGTAATGTATTCGCGCAACACACTTCGAACAATCTGATCACACACAGACTTGTCATAAGAATATATATTAAGGTAATAAAAAGTTAAGAGGTAAGAGAATAAACATAGGTTAAGTTAAAAGGACATATTGAAGGTCAAAATAACAACGAAAATCACTAAACCAAATAAGAGGGGTAATAGTACATCTTCCCTGGTATCAAAACAAAGTTTACCAATGAAGGTTAGTCATCACACTAAACCTTCTTTAGTAAACTTTGTTTTGATACCAAGGTGTTTTTTCAATTAGAAGCTGATGTAATCCAAGAAGGAAGGGGGATTAGAAACTACACGATGCTTACTTGATTGATGAGCTTGAAAATACTCAACAGAGTATAATTCTATGCCGTCAAACTTAAACCTTCTCACAAATATACCAATCTTGAGGTACTGCACAATCACGCTACTGTTAACGCTACTCACTTACATTTCATCTTTAATAGAGAAAACTTTTAGTTTGATATCAGAAGACAGGTAGCCCCTGTCTGACATATGTCCCTTTCTTATAAACAATCAACAGTATATTCGCAACTTCTTCAGTGACTTAAAGATATGTTTCTCAGATTCGAAGTGGAAAACGTCACCAGTAAAACTATATCAGATTTCTCAACGACTGAACCACACTAAATTTGTGTTGAGTTACCAAGGTGTAAAGTTGATCGGTAAACGTCGATTAGTGCTTAGGGTGTGTCATTCAATATGCTTATTCTAACTCTTAATTGATCACAAACACACTGACAAATATAATTCCGAATGTCTCACCGCTATGCCGTTTCACCATACGCACAAACACGTACTCATAATAAAGCCAGTAAATAAAAGCCAAAAAGCGAAAAGTTTAATGACACAAAATCCATTTTTCTTTTATAGAAAAAATTATTATTTTTTAATATTCATTGTTTTATGTTAGGAGGGAAAGAAGTACATTTCTAGAGTATAATACTATTCACTTATCAGTGAATTACAATACTTTTTTTTCTAAATGTCACAGCCAGATAAACAACATGAATGCGTGTGTGCTTGTGTATTAAGTATGAGCTTAAAAATACTTCAGCTAATTTACCTATCAATAGGTTCTACGCATAACCGCCTTCTAAATACACACACATACATACATACATCATGTGGTTGCACTAATAATTAATATAGTAGTATGCTATTGATGTTATTTTCAATTTGAATTGGTGAACTGAATTTAAATTATGATTGTTATTACGGTTGATACTCTTGTTAATAAGTGGTACATCTTACCATGAAACATGCATAGTAAAAGTAGCCAGTATTAAGATGTGCTAATCCTGTGAAAAAATATGTATTCAAATGAAATGAGTGATGTATTCATGTGGCGAAAATGTTGCCAAGAAAAGTTCCGATCAATACCATACTCTTATTGCGAATAGCAGTTAGTAGGGAGAACAAAACACACATTTGTAAATAGCTAAGTGTGATTTGGCGCTTTCAGATGAGTCAAGCCTGATGCATCATTGATGAGCACGGCCCCAAACGAGCAAAACGACTGTCCAGTGTTTTTGGATAGCTTTAATCTGGCTAGAAGGCACCACTGGTTGCTGTGGGAGGCACTCAACCACTCATATCAACCAATCATTAGTATATAGCATCATGTGATTTGTTCCATTTACTATTTTACTTTTTTGAAGAGATCACTGAATATTATTCATATTTCTAACTTGCTATCGTATTTACAAAATCCTGTTCATTCCACTTCACTAAATTCATTATTATTATTACTATTATTTGACAATCATTCACCAATAGTACTTTTAAGTTGACACCACATCATCGTTATTATTTTACAATCATTATTATTGTCGTTATTTTCAACCTTGAACTTATGTCTAGTCCGCACCATTCGTTGGTTTATTTTCTGTAATTTTCATATTGTCTGACAAATCACCGATTACACTGACCCTCGAAACCTGTATTATATATATATATATCATTAAATTATTTCATCTCATTTTATCTCACTTTCTCATGGACCATGCATATTCAAAACGAACTGACTATTGTTCCATCCCATCTTATACTTGTCCCACAATACATTTCTGATATGATTCTAATTTGCCTTTACTGGCTATTGCAGGCTTAAATTAAATTAATGGATTTATTATTGTAGAGCCTGAAGAAGAATTTATTGAAAACAATTGCTGAATAATTAATTTTTAATAAATTAATACCTCCTATTAAGGAAGCAGACATTCACCTGGAAAATATACAGCTTTTTTTAAAACTACACACTATCAACACGTCGTCATGACTCGTCTATCACATTTAATAAAGTTGATCCAATCATAATAATAATAATACAAACTGAAACCAAACTGCGATCGATTCATGTTGGTCAGTGGTTCAGAGGTAAAATGACCGCTAACCACGCACGTGGTTCGAGTCCCATGCCCAGCAGACAAAACACTCCTACACCTTGACTAGCTGGTAGTAAGCCCGGAAAAGAGGGAAATTTAGGAGTCAGGTCAGCAACTCCACGCCATAAATACGATTCAACCGCTACTGAAACATCAAAGCTTAGGGTAGAAACCCTATACTCCACTTGGAACGCAAAAGAAAAGAAAGATTACAAAAAAAACTTTGACTGATTGATGTGTTCTACTGGTATTTCCTATTTAAAATAATCTAAATAGACTTATTTCACTAGGAATATATCTCTCAAGAATATATCCAAAAAAAATACTCCAAGTGAAAGGAATAATAGGCAACGATGAGTTTCTTTGACAAATAGTTTTTATAATCTATAAATCTATCTATTACATTTTTATAATTTAGTGGTAAAAATCAATTAGTTATTTCTATATGTAATAGTTTAATGTACAGATACTCACGTAAAATGCTTATTCAACCAGCAGTGCTAAACAAACACATTTACACACAAACACACACACACACACTACTAAATGAACGCCGTTACTACTTCATTAATTGAAAAAAGGGAGAAGGATATTGATTAGATTATATCAAAATATATTCTGAATAGTTATCCATCTTAATGTAGAGAAATGTTTACCATATTGAATAGAAAGAAGGAGTACAATGTGTATTTAGGCATTCGTGGGAAAAAGAAATAAACAGAAACATTAAGAGAAGAGAGAAAAGGAGTGAGAGATAGAGAGAATAACTACTATGTTAAATCTTTTATCAGACCGATACCATGTGAAATTTTATTGAGAAAAAACATGGTGAAACAAACAAACAAAAAACAAACCCTGAATACAATTGGGAACTAATTTATATCTTCCATACAAAAGGTGTCCTCTACCAATCACAATTATGAAGCTAAATTAGGTTTTACAACAATCCAGCTCTTTAGTCAAAACGGTGACAACTGGTGAAATGTGTCAGTGTCGTAGAATTTTGAATAAAACATAAATTGGTAAACACAGTCACTTGATATGTATTAAATTTTATGATAGTGGCAGTAGCAATGAGTTGTCATTGCTAATATCAGTTTTGTAAAACGCTTAAACATACTGCTTTAGGCTACATTTTACGTCGCAAGAGTATGAGTCCTACAGTCTAGGTAGAAGAACTGCATCTTCCATTCTACTGGTAATAAACTCTCCATTCGTGTTTCAACTTACTTTAACTACATTAAACATTGGATTCAGCCGAAATGTTACAAGACTAGCAAACAGTGAACATTATTATTTATTGGTGTAAGCCATATACATTATGGTAAGCCAATTAGAAGTACTAGTACAACTTTGAATAATCATTAGGGTTTCAAGTGGAATTTGTATGTACTTATAAATTTAATCACTCTAAAATAAAAAATGGAAATTTTCTTGACGTGTAGAACTTTACTGAATACATATGAGGTGAAATCTTAAGAGAAGAAAAATTATCGACATTCTTATACTGGTGACTCACTCGGTTCACCCATTAAAAGTAAAAAAAATTTCTTCGCTAAACAAAATCTGTGTTTTTGCTTATCTATATTAATAAAGGCAGATAGTGAATATAATTCATTTGTCCAATACACAACTCAATACTGTCAGAGAGGATAGAAAGACAAAACTAGTCAATGTTTACCATATGTTATAGATTACACATTCGTCCTCAGCCAAGGTCAAAGATCGTTTCAGTGGCACTTGGTTCATCCAATGTTAGCCAATGTATGACAAGATAATTTCTCTACATTAAACATAACAGAAATTTCCCTTACTTACTCCTGTCTTGTGTGTCTTCTGAGTAATGCTGGGACAGTATTTCAGGGGTAAGGATTTACTGTCAAGCGCAGAAGTATGGTAAGTTTACAAAAGCTTTTTTCTGATCCATAATCTAACACAGTTAAGAAAAACCTAAGATGCAGTATTAATTCGCCACTTCAAATACAATGATATTGCAAGTCAATTAGCATGCAAACAACACAATCCACGGTATAGAATCATCAAATTCGTAATAATATTAAAGACTACCTGTGGAGATATAAAACATGATTATCTTCAGAGTCTCTGACTTCAAGACTACTTAGAGGACTAAAAAAAGCCGAGTTCCTATGGTTGCCAGTGTCTGAAGTAGATTCATGTGTTACTGATTCTTCCCACGATTTTTATGACCACCTATTTGGATTTCCTTTGAATCTTTCAGGTGAACCCTCGAAAACTATAAATCCGATAAAAAGTACTGAAAATAGCTTTACCTTACTCTTGTAGGGATAACCCAGCAACTCTACGGTAAAAAAGGATAAGTTCATCGACAGAGAGCTACACTAGAGCATTGAGAAATAAAAGAAGCTATTCAATCATAGTCACATAGTAAGTACATGAGATACAATTCAGTGTTCTTGAGTGAGTTAATTGTCGAAAAAAGAAAAACCTCACTGCCATTGCAAACAGTTAGCCCATCATTAATGAATGAAAACCAGGGAGTACTGGACAGCTGCTGTTTCATCCTAGTGGGTGCACGTACTGCCGATGATTCCCAAAACTAGGATGAAACAGTAGCTGTCCAGTACTCCCTGGTTTTCAATCCGTGATCAACTCGTAAAACATAACTAACCCTTACAAACCAAACTATAGAAAATGAAGATATGTTATAAAAGACATTGAAATTGACTCAACCGGAAATGAAATGTACTTTCAGTGATTATAATAAAGTTGATGAAACACAAAAGTATAAAAACTGTAATATCCTTTAAAAACTGTTTCAGTTACACATAAAATTATTGAATACCTGGTTACACGACAACAACAACAACAATAACAACAAAAATATATGTCCAAATTAAGCCTACTTTTCGTATATCCATTTGTTGAGGAATATCGTACTGAGTAGGAGTTTCAATAAGTTTAGACATTGCCAAAGTTAATAAATGTCCACGTAACCGTAGATTCAATTCAGACCAACATGTTTTAAAGTGTTGTAGAGTTGATATAATACGCTTAGCTCGGTCCATCGCTTCATTACACGGCCAACATGGCAAGAAACATGTCACAGGTACAGTCAAAGTCGATCCATTAGACGTACGAACCTATTAATAATAATCATTTAAAAAAAGATTAGGCTGGGTATAAGAGTTAAACATGATAGTAACAAATAAATATATGAGTAAAGGTAAATCACTTCAAGTTGCTAAAAATCAGAACACCACACAAAAAAAGAAGTGGAGATATTACAGTGAAGAAACATAATAACCATGAAAGAAGAATAGACAGTTAAATGGAGCTAAATAGAAATGTTTAGAATCCCTAAGATAACTGAAAGAGAATATACCTGTGGCGTTATGAGCCATTTCGACGTACGCTACGAAAAGTTATCCAAATGACTATGAAAAATCTCAGTCGGGCGATAACCAACCTGGTTCAGACAAAGTTTCTGTTTTCTGAGGAGCATTTAAGTTGGAAAAAGAAACCTTAGAATAAGATGGATACCAGCTACACTTGCAGAATGATGGTTTGAGATGAACGTGAGCTAATGGTCTGTGAGCTGTTTAGCATAGGTTAACAATAGTTTGTAAATACCTTTGCCCAAAAAAGGCGTTAAGACAGAGACCCGAACACCTCCCATTTGCTATTTATCTAAGACAGTAGGTGAGCTTGCTGAAATCCTCGTAATAGAGCAAGTGACAAAGAAATACGAACATATCTATTCAATTAGTGGTGAATAGCACCTACTGGTCATGGTGGTAAGAAGCTACTGAAATCAGATAGTGTTGCACATAATATTAATGTCTGTCTGTCTGTTTTCGACATAGAACTTTGCACATATGTGCGGAAGTTCAAGTCGCCACACTCCGTGTAGCACGCGAAGCAAGAGAAGAAAGTACAAGAAAAGCATAATAGAGACAGTAAGCAGAGGGGTGAGACAAAGGAGGAGTAATAACGAAGAACAAAACGGTTTCATTGGAGATCATAAGTCACAGGGAGTGGATGTATCTGCGCCAACCACTGAGAACGATTTTGAGCCATATCACCAATTGTTTCCAACCATTGATTTTTGCCATCCCGAGGACCCCAGTCAGGAAGTCTACACCTTCCTATGCGGCTGGCTTAAACTAACTGTTGTGGATTTCATTGACTGGTGCCAAGTTTTTGTTTGACCGCCGCTAGCTTTTTTCCAGTCAGACCAATCCTATATCCGCTAACATTGCCCGTCGGTCGAGGAAGGCGATGACTTGGCATACGTAACACATGTCCTAACCATCTCAGTCTTTGTAACTTCACGACTTCGTCGATTGATTTCCCCTGTTTACCTAGAACTCGACGCCTAACCTCAATGTTGCTCACCTTAATATGCCACTTCACACGGGAAATAGAGCGCAGGCACCTATGATCAAAGACAGCTAGTCTTTTCATGTCTTCCACTCTCAGTGGCCAGGTCTCACAGCCATAATGGAGGACAGAGCGGACCGATGAGCAGTACAAACACCCTTTGGTCGATAGTCGGATATCTCGCCTACGCCAGAGATGGCGTAAACTGGCATATGTGAAACTATCCCTCTGTATTCGTGCTGAGATTTCGTCAGAGAACAACCCGTTGGGGCTGATGCAACCTCCCAAATAAGTAAAGTGGTCAACGTGCTCTACCACTTCACTTCCTATTTTTAAACTAGGCGTCGATGTAGTCCAGTCCTGTAACATCATCTTGCACTATTTACTACTGATTCGTATAAGTTATTGGGAACTATCAACAATAATCAATAGTGTTCATTAGTTGGACAGAGTCAATCTAATCATTGGAAGGTCAGATTGAAAGTTACAAAATATGAGATTGTCAGTGACACACCAAAACATTCAGGAATCCTGGCTAGTTACTTGATTTAACAGAGAATATACAAACTAACACCATCTGAAGAACCAATGAAAAAGTGAAGGAGACTGGGCCCTTATTTCAACCTGGTCTGTCACTCATTAGTGTGGTTGAAACGTCTCTTTAGTGAACCGTGGATTTTAAGGTATTTCTCTGGCTAATCTAGACATAGGGAGATATAAAATAAAATCAAACTTGACACCAGAAGGACACTAAAAGAACTAATAAGCTGGATATAATAATAATAATAATAACTATTATTACTCTTGCTCGCAAAATGAAAGGCATAGGAACAAAATGAGCGTACTTGTAGTTTGTTATCTTCTGGATTCTCCAATACTGTTAGAAAATCACCTTTATCAAAATAGCCAGTAGCATCACCGATTGGCCAGTATATAGGTTCTATGATGCTACTACTATTCACAATTGATTTATTATTTGTATTGATAACAGAATTAATTGACAGCATATCACCAGAAAAATACTGATGACTATCTATAAAATAGTCTTTCGGTTGAAATGAACAGAGAACACGTATACGACGACCAATCAGTGTTGAGGTATTGTCATCCTGTGAATTTATATTATTTGGAATCGGTGGCACAATTTCTTGACTTAAGTCAACTAATTGGAAAATGAAAGCTTCTTGACCGATTACTCGAGTATACAGCTCCTGAAGCAAAGAAAGAGATGGAGGATTAAATTCTGCTTAGAAAAAATTTCACCGGTAAAATTTTGACTAGTTTATTCAAAAGCTGACCGAAAATTAAGTATGCTTCAAACAAAGTATTGCATTAATACAATTTACCAAGTACCGTGTAATGAATGTGAATTCAATTACATAAATCAAGCTAGTAGATTACGGACACCTAGATTATCAGAACATAGGAATTTGGCTAGGTCTAGAATGACTGATCCTGTTAAGATTTTTTTAAAAACTCAGCCATTCACACTTGAAAAGCTAACATAGTGAAGTGAAGAGAGAGGGAGAGGCAGAGGAAAAGTAATCACTGAATCTTTGTTCATCGAATCAACACCGAATATATACAGACGGGATGACGCAACACCTATCCGTGAAATGGATAACTGCGATAAAAATAGCTGGCAATGAGGCTATATGAAGCAAGTTATTAGGTCATATGAATACACTGACATGATTATGAGCGACAAATTGCGCTTGAAACTTCATCCAGTAATTAATACTGTATTGTACCACTGTGTTATATAAATTAAACTTATTTAGTAAGGAATTGTATCGAACTAAAAGCTGATATATGCGCCAGTGGCATAGCGGTTAGGACGTTCGCCGACCATGCACACGGTCCGGGATTCGATCCCCGGCCACCAACGCACTCCTTTACCTCGCTAAGCCAGAAATAATGCTGGTAAAGAGGAAAGTTTGGTCATGAGGCTAGAAACCCCATCCTGTAAAATTAAACACTGCTACGAAAACTTCAAACCACTAGCTTGAGGCCTTATGTTTCAGTGGGAACGTGAAGGAAAAAACAGCTGACATACACTTATTCAATGCCTAACTGTATATACCCACAGTGGAACAAGTAATCAACGAGGCTATCGCCATTCATTTTGGTATAAGCATTATGCAGTGACGATGACTGAATTTCATATATAACCGGCATCTGATATCCACCTATCGGACCAAGGAAATACAGGACCGTGTACTTTTGGCTACGTCACACAGTTCACGGTGTAATACAATCAATCGACTAATATGAACTCTTGTGATCTTGCATCATTGTTATTATTCATATAGTGTATTTTATGTCTCAGATTGCCAAAGTTATGGCTGAACTTTCCTAAACAACTGTGCTGGGTAGACAATTTACAAAGTAAAAGAAAAAGTTATCTGTACGTTAGAAAGTTACTCAACTATAAGTAGGCCGAAGAAGAAAACACCAGAAGATAATGCCAAAAACTGCTGGATTCCGGTCTTTAATTAAAAATATAAAAACTCACTGCAAAATAAAAAGCAGTCTGATTAATACAGACTGAATGAAAGGAACTTTTGACCAAAGAAGAAGTCTGCATAATATTTTACACAGGTTATTGTATTCCTTTATCAGACTTTTATGCAACTTTACTACACAGAAAGAACTACATATAACACGTCAGCTAAATTACTCATTGAAAATAGTGTATCTAATATTTTTCTTCCTCAGAGGAAATTTACACCAAAAAAACACAAAGAAAACAACTATACAAATAGAATGAATTCATACACAGTAAGAAACACTTACTTGTAATTGTTTCAGCAGTGCTTCACCTCGTTCACTTGTTGTCGCCTTCAGAGTTGATTCATAATACGAACGCAATTCCTCTAATGCTGTAGTCAGCATAAGTTCACATTGTCTAACATCATTGAAAAAGCCTTGGAAACGAGTTCCTTGTTCTATATGAGCTTCGAAACAATACGTTAGTTGTATTAGCCAACCCCAATGACGTTCTAACGCATTGAGATAAGTCTAGGGATAAGAAAGTGTATTTGTTTTAAGGAAACAAAAATAACAATCAAATAAATGACAATCACGAAGAGATATAAAAATTATAAGTGAACATGAAGCTAATGATAAGTAGATACAAAAACCATCCCCACTTCTAGTCGTCTAAATATTATAACATTTACTTAATATTATTCATGGGTTATGTGTTGTTGTCTAGATAGAAAATGAAGGCTTCGCAATTAAACCATTTACATAAGAGAACACAAAAACCCCCAGGAAACCATATATTTGTACAAAACGTTGGCTGCGAAAGCTTGTGCAACAGAATGATACTGCATGCCCTACAGGTCTCGCAAAGGGCTAGGATAAGAGTGTGTTCGGGTCTCATGAAAACCAATTTACAATAAACCAGTAGATGAGTGTATGTTTGTGTGAAAATGTCAGCTGTTCCATCAATACAATTCCTTTTTATGTCTGTTTGTTCGATATAACAAGCAGTGATGCTAAGTTAGGAATAATAATAACCAACTAAGAGTTATTCAAGTGTTGGTTTGTAGGGATTTGATTGATTACAGGATTTCATCCTGAGCTGACATTAGTTAGAGAACTATAAGAAAACCTGGGAGTACTGGGCAACTGTTTCATCCTAGTCCGGGACTCTTTATCAGTATGTACCCACTGGGGTTCGAACCCAGGACCGTCCGGTTACAAGGCGAGCTAGCTCATAGACCATTAGGCCACTGGGACCCGATCCAATGACCCATTAATGGTATAGCTCACCTTGTAACCAAAAGGTCCTGGGTTCGAATCCCGGTGGGTGCATACTGCTGAAGAGTCCCAGACTAGGATGAAACAATTATCCAGTACTCCCAGGTTTTCCAATGGTTCCCTAACTAATGTCAGCTCATGATGAAATCCTGTAACCAACTAACAGTTCTTAGTAATTCAAATTTGTCCAACAACAAACAGGTTACTTGGTAAGGTTTATCTAAAATGAACATTTCCATAATTAAACATCCTATTGACGGATGCAGAAATTTATAGAACAATTGATGTCAAGCAGTCTAGAAAGATTTATACTTCTACGCATTTTTAAAATGTCCGTTTTATTTACATTGGTGGATGATGATGATTCTAACGTGATTTGCTATGTAAAATAGAAACAAAATATAAAATTATACCCTGTTCACTATAATTCCAGATATCTTCACTCTGTTAAATAAATAATAATGATGGTGATAATAATAATAATTATAAATAATGCTGTTTGAGAACGAAGTTATTTGTTTGAAAATTACGCAGTAAATGTTGAAATTTCACTAGTTTGAAAAATAAAGTGTTTCAGAATGCAAAATTCACTCTGCTCGTCGTGACTGCAAGGGTAACGTCAAAATAGACAGATTGTTTAATCCTAAAATTCTTATCTTAATTTCTGTGATCAATTTCTACCCTGTCTACACATCATAAAACTGATAATATGTTGTTAACTACATGATGGATACATACTGTGTAAACGATTATTGATGAGGACTTAATTGCAATCTGTTGTATTTTAAATGGGACATTGTCACCACTTCTGGTGACAACTTGCCGTAAGCTCTCATCTGGCTGGCTGCATGAGTTCGAGCAGAGTGCCTTGATCATTGCAATGTATTTTCTCGGCATTCCCCCTTCACAGTCAAACATTGCCATAGTTCCTCTTGGTCGACGGAATCGAATGACCCCTTAAGGTCAAGAAATATGACGATTGTTGGACACCGGTAAGTATACCTATGTTCCAGAATCTGTTGAAGGGTGAAAACATGATCAATACACCTGCTGAATATTTTTCAGTAGGTAGACTGAATCAACATCACCCAATAATGGGCAAGTAAGATAGTGAAAAGTGAGTGAAGAGAAAATTTTCTGAATAGAAGTACAGAATAGCAAGCAAATTCATCCGGAAAATTCCAGTCTCACAAGTGAAAAAGAAATAACACTTGATACAATCCCTCATAATAATGTAACATCTTAGATTCTCAATATGATCGATTATTATGCCGATGTTATGAAGGAATTCAAAAACGTCAAACGAATATTTAATGCCTTCTTTTGTTGTCAATGTTTGCTGAACTCGTAGGATGATAGAATGTCAACTTTAAGTCAAACAAGTGGACAGAATATAAGTTTTATTACAATAGGAAGAACATATGATTTTAAAAAGTGAGTGTAAAGACATTTTAAAATGAAAGATGTGACTTTATTCCTTACCTGTACAAGATCAGTTACAGCATAATTGTCTAACTGGATTGATGAACCCAATACACTGAGTTCATTGTAGACAGTTTCTTTTTCATGAATATCATGCATAAGTTTCTAAAATTAAGCAAAAATATATAGTAAGATAATAGGCCAAACAAACAGTAAATTACCAAGGTATGTGTAGGTCGGCCGACGTGTATTTAGACTACTCTTCGTTATGATTTAGAGATAGATTTAAGCGTTAATGTAGCTTATTGCCAAAGCATTAAAATGCATGCGAATGACTAATCATTTCGCAAAGTAGAACTTTTTGAAGACAAAACTACCTTTGGTCATGAATACTTAAAATTTATTCCCTGTTTGGCCCCAATAAACGATAAATTAATCTAATCACGTCAAATATCCAGGTGTCATGTGTATGAATGATATATTACTGTCTCTTAATCATTGCAATAACTGCCATGGCAGCTAGGTCTTCTCCTGTCACCCCTAACTTGTTAACTGATGGTGAGACCATCTGAAATAGTTTTGAGTTGGCAGACAGTACTGCACTAGTCATTCACACGATAGTTAGCCATTATCCTTTCTAACTGCAATGAACTGGTGACTTGGTTAGCAGTTGACCTCTGTAGCTGCTCAGCTGGCTCAGTACCGAACTAGTGATTCGGAGATGGCTAGTTAGACCCGTGCCATGCACATGCACACTCAATAAAACAAAAAAGAATGACAACCTTTATAATCGACATCCAGTATGTATGCGTTTAGCGCGTGTATCATCTAGTTATGTATAGATGAATCAATGACTGATTGGATTAAACGTACTATTATCAATTAATATTACAAGACAGTGATTTTTGTAGCCAAGGTTTATCACAGTCTTTAGATGCGGAAAAGGGAACTGATTCATTTTTTGCGTCGGTGGCACAGAGGTTAGGACGCTTGCCGATCATGCAAATGGTCCGGGGTTCGATTTCAGGCAGACGCACTACTTTACCTCGCTAACCCGGCCGACAACTGCTACCTTTGTGGTCAGAGCAGGCTGCTAGCCAATTGGTAGACGTTAATTTACGTCAATGTCTAGGTCACTAATATTGGCCGTGACAAAATATGAACAAGGCTGATTCAACAACCAATCACAGCAGACTTAACGTGGGCAAATAAGATTCGCAAAGATATGGCTTAACTTTCCGAGAAACCAGAAACAACCAATCAGAAGACTGCATTTGTCTGCTTGAATAAGCTATAATAATGTACATGAAATATATATAGATACGTGCTGATTTCCGCAATAAAACGATCTGTTGCCGTCCCTAGTCTTCTGTTGTCACACCTTGCCGTGGTGGTCGGGGTTGAATACCGCAGTGACCCAACAAGCTAAACTGGCTGGGACTCATGTCCCTGCAGGTCCTACCATGTCAGGAAGGTTGTTTGGATAGCGATTACACTAAACGCAGTTACCGTGGGGTACATGGACTCCAGAATCCAATCGGATCAAATGGCGTATGAACCCATATGGGTCACCGTAAACCATGGGAATGCAGCTCCTGACACTGCTCCGCTGCCTTGCGGATTAGACTCCAAGCCAAAGGCTCTGGGGGTGGTCCCTTAAGAAAACCACCTGCTTCGGTCTGGGGGCCCGGGCAGTATCTCAACCCTCACACAAGAAATGAAGTAAAACAACAAACAAAAACCGAGGGATGAAGGATTTTTGTGCTAGATTAGCATCGGTTAGTGTGTCACGACTCCCTGGTTGGGGTCCGCGAGATAGCTCAAATCGATGGCTCGAAACGTTATCGGATAAGGCCAAGAATCGTAATCAATGGCGAACGTGTTGCAGTTTCCTTCTTTCTTCCCCTCCCGATGATAGTTAACGAATACTGTTTGAACTTGTTAAGCATGAGTGATTTCCTTCCAGATGAAGTTCTTTATCCGTTCTCTACTTATATTTTTTTCTTTTGATCTATGTTGCTTTATTATTATTGTGTGGAGCATCCTTCTTGGTGCCATATTGTACCACGTTTTTTATACGTTTAAACAAAATAAAATAATAATTGCCTTGCTAAGCCAAAAATAATGCTGGTAAAGAGGAAGGGTTGGGCATGAGGCTAGCAAACACTGCTACGGAAACTTCAAGCCACTAGCTTGAAACCCTATGTTCCACTGGGAATGTGAAGGAACTGATGCATTAATTAACATCTAATGATAAATAAACACACTTGCATCAGACATCTGGAAAATTCTACTTCCTTTACGATAAATGGGTGATGGGGAGGAATGAGAAATGTAAGAACCAAGTTTCGAAGTTGTGTAGTTCCAACTGGCAATGATTATGAACAATAAAATCTGTCCCAAAATGTCATCCAGTGAATAATACTGTTTTGCTGTGTTATATATCCAATAAACAAATAAAAATGTAGTTTGGATCTGGACGATAACATAAACTTATATTTCGCCTTTGTTGATATTAAGCAGAACATCGACAGAACTTATACATTCGGCAAAACTTAGGTATTATGATAGGCAATTACTGATGTGTAGTAAAGCTGAGTATGACAACTGAATCGGCTAATGACTTAGTATTTCAGCTTAAAAACAAATAAGTCTGATGTGGTTTTGTTCTCTGAGCTGGATAGTTAGTTTGCGAAGCTTTCATCACCTTACTGGGTGACATCTTCAGCGCATACTTCAAATAAGTCTACTAGATAAGTTAATTTCTTCCAACTACGGACTATCACTTGGTTGAGTAACTAAATAAGTGTTGATTAAAACTTAGGGTAGACTTTCATTTACATCTGTCCTCTTCAGCTCCATACTGAAGGACAGATAGCCATAAAGGATTAGCGACAAGGAACTCTGAAAACGAAGCAACCAAGAATCTGTTACTTAGCAACTACGTCGAAGAAAATGGAGATGGATCGGACAGATGTTGAGGAGACTATCGAGTAACATCATGATCCAGATCCTAGAGTGGAATCCGAAAGGGAAACAACGAATTGGAGTACAAGGAGAGAGAGACAAAGAGGAGATGGTGTGAGGAAGAGATGAAAGTTAATGGGCAATCGTGGAGCCATACAAAAAGGAGTGAGGAAGACAGGATGAAATAGAGATGTGTTACTGAAGTCCTACGTTTCACTAGAAACCTGAGGGAATAATTATGATAATAAAACTCAGACCAACAAAAGTTATTCTATTGAGATCTATTTATGAATGACTTGGTAACAATAGGGCATACTTTTACATCTAACTATTGTGATATAACTGAAATGCGTATACATTCGTAAATAGATAAATACTTACTTGAAAGTGAATTCGAACACGATCTAAACCATCATAATAGACTTCATTCCAATCTCTTGTCACTTCGCATGACTCACGTTCACGCAGCCAAATTAATTCATTATGAGCGCGCTCAATAAATTCCAATAAAGACTGAATCATATTACGACGTTTAACCGATGCATCCTGTTAAATAAATGTTACATTTAGAAAAGAAAATCAAAATAATCATAATCATAACTAGAAGGCTATAATGATAACAAATTTTAAAATATGGTAGACTCAGATCCATGTGAGGTCACTTTACCAGACTGATAGGGTGAGTAAAACTATCATACCACAGAATCTGTCCAAAGGATAACAATTTCAAACAAAAAGTTAATACAAGGAGGAATAAACTGATAAATCTGCTTAAACAGTTAGGTGGAAATATAAATTAGATACAATAGCAACATTATTACAACTCTGCCTATCATATCTTCACTCTTCGACAGATTCTAGAACATAGACACACTTTTCGGCGTCCAACAATTGTCATATTTCTTGACTTGAAGGCGGCCTTCGACTCCGTGGATCGACAGGTACTATGGGAATGTCTGACTGTGAAGGGAGTGCCAAGAAAGTACATTGCACTAATCAAGACACTCTATTCAAACTCACGTAGTCGTGTAAAGACTTATGGGGAATTGTCATCTGAATTGGTGACAACCAGTGGTGTCCGACAGGGATGTCCACTATCCCCATTTCTGTTTAACTTCATCGTAGATATGCTAATGGAAGTATCCTTAACTGAACGTAATGACTTAGGAATCGACTTGTTACCAGGGAATAATCTTATGGACTTAGAATATGCAGATGACATAGTCCTGTTAGGGGAGGATGCTGACAAAATGCAGAGTCTTCTGAACACCTTGAGCAGCAATCTCCGTATGTTTGGCATGCGATTCGCCCCTACAAAATGTAAGATGCTGCTACAGGACTGGACTACGTCAACTCCTAACTTAGTGATAGGGAGTGAAGTGATAGAACATGTTGACCACTTCACCTATTTGGGAAGTTGTATCAGCACCAACGGACTGATTGGCGATGAAATCTCATCACGGATCCGAAAAGCTCGAGCTGCTTTCGCTGACTTACACCATCTCTGGCGTAGGTGTGACATCCGGCTGGCTATCAACCAAGGGACGTGTGTACTGCTCATCAGTTCGCTCCGTCCTTCTCTATGGCTCTGAAACATGGCCAATACGCGTTGAAGACATGAAAAGGTTGACTGCTTTCGATCATAGATGTCTACGATCTCTGTCTCACGTTAGGTGGTTTCACAAGGTAAGTAATGTTGACGTTAGGCGTAGAGTGTTGGGCAAAGAGGGAAAATCAATCGACGAGGCTATAAAGTTACATAGACTAAGATGGCTAGGTCACGTGCTGCGCATGACTAACCACCGCCTCCCCTGACGGGCATTGCTAGCTGATATAGGTGGAGGAGGTCATGCGAGGAGGAGATGAAAGCATGTGGACAGACCTGGAGCAGGTTGAAAAAGTTGTCAGAAAACCGAAGTCAATGGAGGTGCGCAGCTGAAGCCCTATGTTCCTCTAGGAACTAAAGGATACAATAATAATAATAATAATAATAATAATAGGTGAAGGTTGGAAAAGAGTAATTGGTGGCCAAACAAAAACATGGCCTAATCAATCCATGAAATCCTTGACAGTTAAACTGAGTCGGTCAGGTAGGGAGATGCAGACTTCCGGGTTGGGGCCCTCGGGACTCTAGGAATCAATGGCTGGAGACAATAGGTGACATGGCTCAAAATCGTTGTCAATGGCCAGCGCAGATGTATTCAGTCTCTGTAATCTTTCATATTCCTTTCTACCATTACCCATTCTGTTTCCCTCTTATATGTGTCAAACTCTATTGATTCTCTTCACTCATCTTCTTGTCTACATCTGTGTGCTATTTGGAAGGTGGCAACTCGAACTGGTGCACTTCGGTGCCAAGTTCTATGTTGAATCCAGACAGACAGATCATCTTCTGTATCGAACTGAACATTATGGAAGTAGAATAGGCACATATGTATCCAAAACACGGTTACTGTCATGTGAGAGCTTGTTCAAAAGAACTGACGGGTTTTTGTGACTTGGTTTCGTTTCAATCTGTTCCGAGTGGAAATACAATTTCAAGCTTGACCTTTGAAGTTTCGGTACATGTGTTGTTATTTTTTAAGGGATGTGGTTGCTATTCTAACTCCTAGAGTTCACTCTTTACCGGGCTTGCTACCGGTAGTCGAGGTTCAGGAGTGAGTTGGCTGAGGATCCAACCAGAACCACGTGCGCGGTCGGAGAGCACTTAATCACTGAACTACCGACGCATTAGTGGAATACGTAATAAGTTTGTCATAAGGGTAATTAATCGGTCATATTCATTGATAACCACATCATTTGGAATAAAAAATGAATTGCTTATATGGTTCAAGTAATTACAGCAGGACTTAGCCAACAAAAGCAGAATAATAAGAACACAGTACTGGTTAGCATCAGTTTTAGGTATAAAATGTAACCTCCAGACAATACTATTGCTATCGTCGACCGCAAGACTGGCATCAGACTAAACGCAGTTTCACAACAATTTCATGTTCATATAGAGCGGCCACAATGAGAAGTAATAAAAATGTCAAATGCATATCTTCGAACAATACATAAAATTTTTTTGACCACAGTCCTAAGGCCAAGAAATTAGGTTGGCATTAAATACATGACATTCTCCAACGTCTCTTGTAAATTAGTGAATTTTATGATGCACATATATATGTGGAATCAACAAATACAGGAATCCATAGAGAACCTACAGATGGTATTTATACTAGTCGTGAGAATTCGCAGAATTAGTGTCTCAGTACTTTTGACTGGTACACGAAAATCGGTCGTCATTTTTGTCAATGAAAAAAACGTCTCCTACTTTGCTTGTTTATTTTAGTTTAGTTAGATCACAGTTACTCAGTATTGGGCTATAGGCTGCACTTACTGTGTGGGTGCAAATGATACTACTTAGTTCCCCAGGTTGAAGTGGGTGTAACGAGACTCGAACCCGGGCCCATTAGCTGAAACTTCAGTGCATAAGGCAATGCGTCACATCTCCACTTTGCTTGTTGCTTTCACTAAGTTAGTTGGAGAAACCACTATCACAGTGAAAGTGGACAATGGAAATAAGGTGCAAAAAGTATTTCAAATGCAACTACTCTAATGTCTAAACCACAGTAGCATACATAGAAGGCTGTTTCAGAAGTAATAAATGTAGTACTCGCAACAATTCTATACAGATAAAAAAAAACTATTAGAAACAAACAGCTTATTTTCAAGTATTGGTTTTGTAGGGATTTTGTTTGATTGCATGGAGGATTTAATCATGAGCTGACATCAGTTAGAGAACCATTGGAAAACCTGGGAGTACCGGACAGCTGTTTTTGTCCTAGTTTGGGACTCTTCAGCAGTACGCACCCAATGGGATCGGGTCCCGATGGCTCAATGGTCTACGAGCTCGCCTTGTAACCAGAAGGTCCCGGATTCGAATCCCGGTGGGTGCGTACTGATGAGGAGTCCCAAACTAGGACGAAACGGCTGTCCAGTACTCCCAGGTTTTCCAGTGGTTCTCTAACTGATGTCAGCTCATGATTAAATCCTCCATGCAATCAAACAACTTATTTAACAGTCAACTTCATTTAGATACAAAGTTTTGGTTCAATACTCATCATTACTGACCGAATCAATGAGCAGAATTATCCAATAATGCTTACAATCAAACAAACTGCTAACTTCACTATCGATCTATCTGGAAACAACTATCCGGATTCTTAAATAAAGTTGTGTGAGGAACGATGAGACAGCTAAAGGTTCACTACAGTAGGCACTCGATTTTCAGTTAGTTAGTCGGGAGTCCCTCAACGTTGAAGAATGTTATATAGAAATATGGGGAATGATTTTACATATCTGCAACAGACATGATACGTGATCTAGTGTACCGAATTAAATTATCACGTCAAAATTTATTAAAGATGTTTAAAAGTAATTAGCTATAAACAGTACGTTCAGATGGTTCAACCAAAGAGGATCTGATGATTAACATTATTTTAAACCAACCGACTAAACAATATGTTTAGAATGGATCATTTTTTCGAAGTAAATTATCCACAACTCTTCAATTAGAGACACCAAAATATAATTTTATAAAATATGATTTATTATTATCAGAGAATATGAACTGCACAACTAGAAGTTTTTTTCGGAACAAATAAATAGCTTTATCAAAATACACAAAGTGAATATAGTTCATTTTAATTTGAATAATCTATAAGACTAGAAAATGTTTTCAGAAGTTAGAATCTGTGGGTCATTGAATCGACTCCCAGTGGCTGAATCGTATGCGAGCTTGTCTTGTAACCGGAAGGTCCTGGGTTTTAACCCCACTGTGTGCATACTGCCGATGATTCCCAAACTAGAATGAGACAACTGTCCAATACTCCCTGGTTTTCAATGGTTCTCTAAAAGATATCAATCCGTGGTCAAACTCGAATAACAAGTAATTTTTAGGATTACTCTAAAATCAGTGGGTTGATAATCCTTTTTATTTTATTTTTTTTTAAACAGAAGACACTGAATAAAGGAATATTTTTCATACACTTACCACTAATTGTTGATAGTTCTGTTCAAGTATTTTTAACGATTCATCTAGAACTTGCTTTTCTTCCTGCGATCGTGTTGGTAACTGAATTCATATAGTAGAGTAAAAAAGGAATCAACAGTGTGAATGCGATTATACTAACTACAGACACATGAAGGGAATATTAAATTTTATCGAAAAATACAACCTCAAAACCAAAAAGCATTGATGTTTAAAAGAATTTCGTAGACAAGAAATTTTGTAAAACATTGAAGGTCAAGTGATTCGCCTGGTAGGTTTTCTGTATTTGATGATGACACCAGTAAGAACCGACATTAGTTTTAGAACAATTGACAACTGGAAAGCACTGGACAGTTATTTTGACCTACTTTGGGACTCCTCATCAGGGCATAACTTTCATCTCAACGGGAATCAAACCAAAGATCTCAAAACTTAGGAGTGGAGGACACTTACTGATCACTCACTCGATTAGCATACAATAACCTATGGTTCCTAACTTTTGTCAATCCATGACACACTGTCATTACTAGTGGCTGAATGATAAACGTGTTCGCCCAGTATTCTGATGGTCTAAAGTTCAGTCATGGGTGCAAGCTGTTGAAGAGTCCACAAAGCTAGGAAAAAACAGCTGTTCAGTGCTTTTTTGTTTTCGACGGTTGCCTAAATGATGTTGGTACGTGACAAAATCTAGCAGGAAAATCTAAATCATCATTATTATGGCAACTTTATAGCATGCAAAAGTATCTTTTCTGTTTGAGTTATACTATTAGTCCAACTAATTATAGATTTCATTTAGATTTAAT